TGGTGGTCTCGGGAGACCTGAGGACTGGTGAGGTTGTTCTTATTTTGGGTTGGTATGTCATTAATATCTCTTCATCGTTCCGTGGTTTACACTGCGGAGGTCCGTCTGTCACATTGACAGCCTACAGCGTGCTCTGGAGTCTGGGAAGTCTAAATATAATATTCTATATAGTGCATTAAGACTCACCACTGCCACATCCTACAGCATCCTGGGTCCGGGGAATAAGTGATTGTGTCACGTCGACGATGATTAATGATTGATCGACGACTCGTGGACCATGTGCATGAGCGCTTGAGCCATGCATAAGGAGTACTACAAGCAACGCTGAGCGCTAGGTCAATTGTCATCGTAGAACTTAGCTAGTCTCGACCAAGACGTTCTAGGAACACCGGAAACATCCGGATGAGCGCCTGTGTTGAAGTCTTCTCTGTTTCTTACATAAAATATCTAATTTTCGAGACGAGAACAGTCTGTAGCCTAGCGCACTGGGGGCCGCGGGTCCTGTAGTGTCTCTCGAGTCCCTAGGAAGTACCCATGTACTGGGGAATCTAGGCCGCTCGAGAGAGAAAAAGTACTTAATTGTCTGATCTCAGAGAGTTAGATCATTTATGTACGTAGTACATACATGTTATTGTCAACCTAATTAATAGCAATCTTGAGAAGTTGTCGAGAAGCAGGACAAAAGGATGAGTGCCTTGGTTGTGATAACCAGATAATAGATTGCATATGAAATCTCAGATAGTGCTTCATATAGGGATGCCTATCACTCGGAGCTGGCGATGCAAGTGATACCCTGTGATACCATTATTATTTAGCCTACGTGACCTTGTAGTAAAACAATACGGTACCGAGTATAGAACAAAGGTGTCATCGATCCTCGGGTTCATTGTACGTTAGCATTTGATGGGCGACTAGGATCTTTACGACACGGGTTAGCCCGACCGCATCACCCCCATTCGAAAGTTTGAAACGTTGATGCATGCACTGTTGAAGCCTTCTCCTATGAAGAAGGAAATTCGAGGAATGAATAATTTCCTTCTATCAAGGTCTGGCCACTGGAGTTCAGGTAGTTGACCAGGTCCACCTTATTACACGGTCCATCTACATTCACCTGCATCGCTGATACTTGGTATGTCAAAGACTTGTGTATCATGTCGATTAAATGCCTCCTGTTGCATGCCAACAACTACATTCCCCCCCTCAGCGGACTGGAAGGCCCGCTCGAAAAATGCTTCAAAAAATGCGCACAATGGATTGTTTTCCGCATGCGCATGTTAATCCTGCATGACACGCTGGTCATGATCCACGTCGTCCTTGTTATCTTTTTGCCCGTCACTGGGAACACAATGTAACTTTCTCCTTCACACCAACATACAATGATTTTTGGCCTGTGGTGCTGAGTGCTTCATTGCAAGCGTTTTATACTGTACGTGTCTACTACTGTTATCCTAATAATACACCAACTATAAGACCTGATCCAGATATACACGACTATTCTACTCTTCCTTACCCAACGGCTTGCGATTTCGAGGATACTTGTACGTCGTCTGAGACTAACTGCTATTCATGACATCTCTGGCGCATGGGCCGGCCTTGGCTCTGCACTCAGTAGCGTCTGGCATCAAACCGACATCCCCGCCTCATGGTGGACGACTTCTGCTGTGGCAATCTACCTTGCGAATATAACCATACTGCATGTCACCTCTTCCACTCTCCTACAATTTCAAACCTTTAATACTTCCATGACGACATCGGTGCCAACAACACTAGGATGGCTAGATGATTCATCGTACGGCTCTTTCGCGAACCTGGGACTCATTACCTCATCCCTACCAATTGTCAGTCATTTGACGGGACTGGCGTCCGCAGGATTATCTAACACGACACTCTACGACACCCTCAAAACAAACGCTATAGCAGGAAATGCAACTGTGAACGCAACGACAGTAACATCGCATTGCGGATTGATTCCAAATGTGACATACTCTGCGAATACCAGCACGGCGATCGTTCCATTTGGGCCAGATTCTTCTCGCGTGCTTAATGCAAGCACTCTCTGTCGGTAGTTGTGATTGTGGTGATGTTTATCATGCTGAAAATGTCTACAAGGGCCAGACCAGATACATATAGTTCCATGGGTGGAATATAAGATCCTTACAATGAAGTCACGGAGGTAAGCGTTCTCTGAGATAGCTCATGCAGACTATAGAAGCTGAGTAACAAATCGACTCTAGCTCAATGGTGTCTACCTTATGGTCTCCACATTACTGGAGATTGAGCCTTCAGTACAAGATGAGGTCGCCGTAAACATGACTTGGGGTACGGTTCATGCTTGTTTGAAATACAGATATGATAACTTAATACGTTCTGCAGCTATCCCTGGCGTTGTCACTCCATACGTCATCCAGGTCTATTTCGTGCAATGTTCGCTATCAGCGAACACTACAAATGGGGTGGTCGACATGCAAACCAACAGTCTACTGAGTTCCACGTCCATATCGCAGCCATCCATGCAATGGGAAATGAATCAATTTGAGTGGTCGAATACTAGTTGGCAAGCCCAGGTGCGTTATACAGCCCCCATTTCGAGGGGCTATGAAAGTTTAATGATTTACCGTTGATTTTAGATCGGCAGTGCTTTGGCTACCCCAGACAGCAGCAGTGGGATTGTATTTGGCGGTACACCTTCACAAATCACCGAACTTTCTGTTGCTGACGAGTAGGATAAAAAATTTCCTTGACAGCACTGCTTAAATGTCTCACATGCGGCTTGATTTCTAGGTATATCATGTCATTGGTAGGATTGAATCTCACCGATGAATATTCACAATTCCTATATGACGGTGCTCGTCCGATTTCCAATTTCACTTTGAGACCGGATCAACTAGAATTTGCGATTGCGAAAGCAGCTGCACAGCTTATCTGGATAGGTAAGGATACATTGTTTCAAGCACCGCCCTGTTCTCGCTCATTCTGTGTCATATGCTTAGCGGGTCAATTGGGCACATCCAATGGAGGAATTGAGCTCGGCAATGGGACGGCATATGTCAACGAGGAGTTAATTGCCCTGCGCCTCAATGTAAGTGAACTGCACAGATGCTGTTTTTGATTAACTGATGAAGCATATTGTAGATCAACCTTCTTCCTGTGAGCTCGTCGTGATATATATGCGATAACTATTCATCGAATATGGTTCTAGTTGGCTTTCGCGACATCCGCATCGGTAATCATGCTGGGACTGGCGCTACACATGATAAGAGCATCCGATGCATCGCACGACATTCAGGCTGCTATCCCGAACATAGGTGTACTACAACTCTTGTGGTTGGGTCATCGTTCAGCCTCTATCAATGAAGTCCTGGAAGATGTGCAGCATCCGACAGAGACCAATCTGCGGCGAGCAGGCATGATAGATGTTTGCCTTGCGAAGACAATGTCCGACGAGGAGGAGCTAGGAGGTTCAGCAAATGATCTCTCCTGGTGAGGTCGACCACCATCATAACGACGAGATATGATTTGGGTTCAAGAGGGCTGGTAGGCTGCGGCTGCTCATTGATGTTGAGGAATTTCTACGCGACGCGCGTCATGAAGTAACCCCGCCGCCGAGTCACCACAAGGAAGCATTGCTGTGTTCTGCGGAAGGGTCTGTTATGTAAATTAGTAACATTGATGTCGTTGCATTGACCGCGATTCGTGATCCTCTTTGCGTCAGCCTTGAACGTTAACCTTCGAATGCTGGCTGACGTGGCCTACTAAGCCTTTGGCAGGTTCTAAGTTGACCACAGTTCGTAAATCGAGGACCATGTTTTGCACCTTCAGACCATCGCCGCACGGTCGATGGTGGTTCGGCATCGTTGCCGTCGATGATTTGGTCCATTACACAATGAGCATGACGCATTGGCTGACCCAGTGAGTATATTACGTACGGTACTCCACGCCACTCTAATAGGAGTCAATCAATTAATTGCCGCGTACGCGAACAGTCGCGGCTCGAACTTGGCTTGAACATACGTATAAAAGGCTCGCAAACATTTACTACAGTCACCATCTTTGATCACCCACAGTTGAAGTTCGCCAATTTTCTTCAAGCTCCACTTGAATTCTAAAGCCACCACTCGAAGTCGCTTCTCATCATTCATCATGGGTCATATCTGGTCAGCGTTCGTTCGCGAGACTTTTCCTCCGTCGACGCAGTTTTTCGCGTCTGACGTCCCAGACATGTCCGGAAAGGTTGTTCTTGTTACTGGTGCTAATTCAGGGATAGGCAAAGAGACTGCCAGAGTTTGTCTCCCATCGACGTATTTGCCTCATGCTGACATTTTTATCGTTAGGTCCTCCTAACAAAAAACGCCAAGGTTTACATTGCTTGTCGCGACAAGACCAAGGGTGAAGACACTATTCGCGACCTAAAGGAGAGCACCGGAAAAGAAGCATGTTTCTTGCAACTCAACTTGGCAAACTTGAAGTCCGTCAAGGCTTCTGGAGAAGAGTTTCTGCGGTACGCTTGCATTGCATCTGTTAAGCAACAAGACAACTGACACCTCCCCAAGGAGAGAACCTGTTCTGCACGTTCTATTCAACAACGCGTAAGTGTTGCCTAACTTGTCGTCTCATCGTCAGCTCACACATCGCTCAGTGGGGTAATGACTCCTCCTATGGAGATGTTGACGGACGACGGTTATGACTTGCAATTTGGCACAAATGTCCTTGGTCACTTCTACTTCACGAAAATTATTATGCCTGCTCTTCTAGCGGGTGCTGCGCAGTCACCTGACGGAGCTGCGCGCATTGTGAACACGTCTTCTAACGCCCACTGGTTCGGTAGTCTGGACTATAACACGTTCAAGGACTCCCCCGCCAGGAAACAGAAGAGTGCCATGGGGCTCTATGGCCAGAGCAAAATGGCAAGTTTTGTCCCCATTGTGTCAACTCCTCTGCTGAACTCCGGTGTGAAAAGGGCAACGTCTTATTTGCAGCTGAGGTAGCTAGACGATATGGCGACCGGGGTATAGTCTCGACAGCACTCAACCCTGGTGGTGTCAAGACGGAGCTCAGCCGTTATTATGACTCCTTTAGCAAAATGATAGGCGTATGTTATCACATCATTGAACCTTCCGGAAGCTGATCGTTCGATATTTGTAGAACATGGTTTTCCATGATGTATCATTTGGCGCGCTCACGCAGCTATACGCTGGAACCACTGCAGAAGGAGCAAATCTTAATGGAAAGGTTAGTCCTCTTCTCTCTTGACTGAACTCGAACTTATATCCTGGACAGTATCTTGTTCCTTGGGCGCGCATTGGGAACACACACCCAGAAGCACAGGATCCACAGCAGGCTTCGGAGCTATGGAACTGGCTTGAGGAACAAGTCAAGGACATTTAGGTTCGATCGATTCTCAAGTTGATCATGTCGATACTATACGATTGCATAATTGCCTTCAACGTTTCAACAGTCTAGTGGTACATAGGTTTGTCAGTTTTCATCGTTTGGTTGGGTCGATATTTATGCTCGAGGCAACCACTCGATCTTGAATCGAGTATTCCATTGCATGAAAAATGAGAGTACTATTCCCGATGATTTTTCTTGTACATACATTGTATTCGTGTACAATAATGGTCCTTATCCTTCTGGACTCGAGCTTTATTCGTTATGATTTCTACCATAATTTATCGTTCAATCAAGATCGACGATAGAGTCCTCGGAACTCATCATAAAATAAAATAAAATCGTTTTGCGACTAGATCACAGTGAAACAAAATCGCATGAAGAAAAAGCGATCGTACTCAAAACCCTCCATACTTCATTCCCTGAAGCCTCCAGGGTGAAAGTAAACACAAACTCCATTACAAAAAAGAGACGATGCAAAGTATTGATGCCAGACTGGGTGAGCAGAAGGATAACAGGCAAGAGCGAGCCACTAAAAGAACCAGTAGAGTACGAGCAGCATTATAGTAATCACAAACTGAATAACTGGAAAGACACATCGCAATGTCTTCAGGAGCTGCATGAACCAAGTAGGCACGGATGTTGGAATCGCGCGTAGACTTTGAGCCCTATGCTTGGGGAGGCGACGGGGGCCATAAGGTGACAATATCAGAGTGAGCGTGTATTGACGCATGAGGTTCTTGCCCAAACCGATGATGAGTGCCACGCAGAAACTTAGCAAGCTACCGACGAGGAGGACTCCACGTGAGAGTGTATAACGCAGTGAAGACATTTGGGGTTCGTGCGTAGGGGCATCGGGAGATCCTGGTGGCGGTGCATTGAACGCTAACCCCCAAATTGACCCGGTTATCACTGCCTGGAGAGAAAGAAAACCATGCATCGTTAGAGGATGCAATGATACTGCTGATGATGTGAACTCACTGAGATCAGTGTCCAGTTAAGGATGACGACAAGCATCTCAAGAGAGGTTTCGTTGGCACTCAAAATTTCTTCCTCTTCCGATTCTGGGATCAGTTCGTCAACTTTTTCCGAGTCTGCGAACTGTTGTTTTTCCATGTCGCAAGGTTCATGAGAAGGATGAGACCTGGAGTAGGGAAGTCTTCAGAACAATGGAGTCGGAGCAAATGGAAAATGGGCTTGCCTGTTATCCATTTCCACTAGACGCACAGATTGATATTTCTAGTAAGAAAGGGTTGTGGTAAACGTAGGTATTATGTCTGGAGAAGAGTACAGGGAACCGAAGTGACTGCAGTGCGAAACCTATTATAACTTCTAAGGCCAGCCATGCTGAGTGAGCGCCACACAGCTTTTACACAGCTTTCCTAACTATAATAAGACATGCGCCCTAGTATTTTATCGCCGTATCTTATCGATCTAATCACTCCCTTGATCAACAATACATGTCCTATGCGAAGTTGGGACCCTTGGCTTTTTTTCTGACATTCCTACTGTTATTTGCATCAACTGTTTGTGTTCTGATTCCTCCGTATCGTTGTCTTTTCTGCAGTAACAATATGATAATATTGAGTACGAGTACTGAAAGTCATAACATACGTTATCTTTCAAGACGCCCAAAAGTACAACTGCACACATAATACACACAGCTTACCAGATATTACTATAATGCAGCATCCGTTTTTGCTTTTTTTGATGGTGCAATCGTGGGGATGGCCTGACCACGAACACCAGTATCAGGGCCACCATCAGGCTCAATGGCCCGTTTGCGCTTTTCTCCGCTCTGTTCCTCAGACGTTGCGGCGGGCTGGCTTTTCTCGCCACTGCGACCTCCACCACGGCCACCACCTCTCCCACCACGGCCCCCTCCTCTGCCACCCCGACCCCCGCGTCCACCTCCCCGACCTCGTCCACCGCGTGATGCACCACCTTTTCGGTCCTGAGAACGCGAGAGAGCTGATCGCGCAGCAAAGTTGGCACGATCGATTTGGAATTTTTTCTCTTCTTCCTCTGCGACACGATAACAGGAGTAAGGCACGGATCATATACAATACGGGGAGGGTGACACTACCTTCCGGTATAGACCACTGGACTTCATTGGAATTCACAGTCTTCAGGCTGGTCTTCACGTAGTCGATCTCATCTTCCGTCAAGGCTTTGTCGAATCCGACGAGACCAAAGTCATCTCCCTTTGAGAATTGGATGTATGGTACCCGAGCAAAACGCTCTCTCAAAGGAGTCTATTGGTGCAGGAAGTCAGAACCTTGATAGACGAAGTGAAAGCCACCAAATTACCTTCATCTCTGTAAAGTTGGCATCACCACCACAGCCAGTGAACTTCATTGTTGCGCCTTTGATATATGGCACATTTTCACTCTTCACGCTGCCTCCATCTTCCTCCTGCACACGAATCTTGGACCCCATGATCTCGAGCCAGACTTCGGGGTTGGGCTTGTCTTTACCCTTTTGACCTTTCCCCTTCTTCTCGTCCTGCATCTCCTGGAACGCATTGAATCCCTTCCGGCTTGCCATGCTGTCCTTGCGCATCTCGGCGGTTTTGCCAGTAAGACCCTTTTCTTTGATTTTCATATCGCAGTAGGCCTCCCTAGAGTCCATTAGAGAAAAAAACTCGAGAAGAGAGACATCATACTTGGACATGATCAGCAGCTCAGCGCCATCCCAAGATGGTTTAGGATCAGCACTTAGGAATGCTTCTGCGGATTTCATCTCTGCAAATTCGACGAAGACCGATCCCTATGAAAAATATGAGCACGTATGTTTTTCTTGACTGAGTCTATGAAGCATGCCTTGAACTGCTTGTTCCCGTCTACACGACGCATCCTGACAGCATTCGTTTCTCCATACTGGTTGAAAAACTCTTCCAATTTCTTCTGCAGATCGGAGGTCTCGTCGCCAAACCCTTTCTGTAGTGTCATGCATGAGCAAATTTGTCGATACCTCAATGATCTAGCTTACCGCGTAAATACTTCTCTCAAACTGACCCTTCGGTGGTTGCACCTCAGTGCGACGCCTCGCATTTTCACCAGCTTCATCTACTTCCAGTTCCATGCTTGTCCGTAAGGCCTTCACTATCCACTCGTGGCCGTTCGACACATACTCTCGCATGCGCTTAAACGAAGAGACAGTTTTGATGGGTACCCAGTGTTCCGCATTTGCGGTGTGGAGGCTCCACATGAACCTGAATCATATCAGCCATGCACGCGGTGCATGATGATCATGCGCACTTATCGAACGGCAGGTTCGAGTCTGCAAAATAGAACTCGACTATGATATCCACGGAGTCGACAATCAGCCATCTGTAGAAAGATGACAGAAAAAAACACATACTCTGCTTGCGAGCATTTTGCAACTTCTCATCTTCACTTCCTTCATGCATTACTGTACCCTCTCCAGGGTTTTTCTCGTCAGAGACTACTGCAGGCTCCGTAGACATGGGTTATAAACAAAAAATAATTCAAGAAAATTGGGAGTAGTAGAGGAAAGCGCTCGGTTGAACGTTAATAGTTAAACAGATTGGGAGATGAGTCAACAAACCAAGTTGACTCGCTCGAAATTGAGTACTGAGTTGACTTGAGCTTCGGCGCTGGCAAGGAAGGCTGCTTTGCGTCGATTATATATGTAGTTATGCAAGAGTCACATCAAATAAAATCGGAGATTAGATAAGGCTTGCATATGTGCGTATGAATCAATAATCATATCGCGCGAAGTGTCGGCTGAGCTAGTGTTGCCACTGGACAGAACTATTTTGAAGTAGTTTTACCGGCAGAACCTGGCAGGCTGCAGAGTCGTGTTCTACCAGTGTACGTAGTGGATGGCAGAATCGCAGATGGTATCAGAAGTACTTGTCGGATGGAAGAGCACTGGATATCGAGTCAATATAATCCCATCATCGATTCAAATTTCAATATTCGTGACCATCAATGATCATATTCCGGAATCCCATGGCATCCTCCGAGTCAGCTGCTGCGACAGGGTCGACCCCTCGTCAATACGTATGCTGCAAAGTTCTGCAAAGTCAAATCTTCTTCTGGCCATTTCAACATGTCCTTCCTGTCCACATCCCAGTCCGAGCTCGAGGCAACTCAAAACTCTGTGTCCATCATTTGCTCCGAATTGCTATCCAGCAAACTCAGCATCGAGGTTACTAGCACGAACCTTTCGAGCATCTCAAATGTGATATCACACGAAGAAGCTGGCCCGGCAAGTGCCTACTCATCCTTCAATTGCATTCCACAACCATCCACTGAGTGAGCTTTCCATAGCAAAACATCCATCCATCCATCCCATCACATGGCTTTGCACTTTCCATCAATCGACAGCTGGATCCTTCCACCACCCAATTTTGTCACAACTTACAAGCTTTGATTCAAATCTTCATAACTATCGCCCAGATTATTTCTAACCACACCCTTGAATCCAGCTACTACTTTCAGTTGGTTCATTGCACCTCACATATTACAACCTTCATCAATGAGTGACAATCAGTATCATCTCTTATCTCTTGCATGCTCTCTGAACTCTTTGACAATTCTTGTTACAGTCACGTACACCCCTATTCATTTTCCTCTCCTTTCCCCTTGTATTACGTCACAAGCCACATGTTGCCACCGCTAGACTTATTTCTGATTCATGACTCATCTGTATTACATCATGATTGCCACTGCTGTCGCTAGATGACTCATTCCTTATCTCTGACTCATCATTGACTTATGTCTGCCCTAAATCATCTACAACCCTATATATAGTCAACAATGTACTCAGTAGTACTTCACTTTGATCTTACTAGGTTTTACCTGGAACATCTTTCGCTTAGGACCTCCAATCCCAAGTCATCTGAACCGATATTCAAGTCAGAGACACTCTTTGCCTTGTCTTATGACCCTTGTATTTGCAAGGTCTTGATCATAACATCAGTTGTTGCTCTTATTGAGCTGCTGTTGTTACAATTATCCTAGTTCATAACAGTTCTTGAAGGAATTTGGGTGAAGCTGTCCAAGGTCACTGTCATGGGTGCTCAATATAACTCTCGTGAACATCTACCCAACCTGAAATGTTTGCAAGGGACTCGGGTAGATCTCAAATACATTCATGGATTCCTGGATGACACAAACTCATTTGGCTGCATGGCATAGCTGGCGTTGGAAAGTCTGCTGTTGCATTTACAAGATGAAAGCTCTAAAAGTGATAGAAGAGATGAATGTTGAAAAGTGGCTAGCAGGGACATTCTTTTTCTCATGCAGGCACACCAAACATTGTATGGCTGGATATTTCTTTGCAACACTTGTCTACCAGTTTGTCAACAATTTTCAAAGCATCTGGAAGGATTTGTGCATATCCATGACAATCCTGCTCTACTAGATCCAGATACACCTATCTGTGACCTGATGGAAGCTTTCTTTCTTCAACCTCTCTGGAAACTCCAATCCAGATTGTGTGGGTGTCTGCCTTTGTCATTTGTCATTGATGCCCTTGATGAATGCACATCCAAACAGGAACTTATCGATCTCATCCTTTCCCTTGCACAGGCTCTTTGTGAGCCTGATCTACCTGTGACACACATTTGTTCATGAGTTGCTTGGGATCACATATTGGCAAGGTCTTTCAGAACAACGAGGTGTGCACATTGGTGCATGAGATACTGGTGAGAACTTCTGGGGAGGGTGACATCATCTCATTAGATGGCACAGACATTGACAAAGACATCTGTACTTCCTTGCAGCATTCCTTCAAAGAGCCATCCTGATTTCCACCAGCCATTGATGCATGATCTTGGAAAGCTGGTGAGCCAAGCTGGCAGATGTTTCATCATGGCATCTATGATGATGAAGTTTGTTGTTGACAATGGATATAAGGATCCCCACAATTGGCTACAGCTGATGCTCAAACTGATGAGCAAGCTACTAGCAGCAACAGAGGTGTACAAGTTATACGATCATATCCTCTCCACATGTGCCAATCCCAAGCGGGCATACCTTTGTTGCTGCACTTACAGACCCTCTACCACTTTTGAAACTTATGAAACTTCTTGGCCCTGGTCAGGACTGTGATACCAAGATGATACTAGGGCAGCTACGATCTATTATGGATATTCCTACCCACACCAGTCTCCCCATGAATATCTATCACTCATCTGTTCATGACTACATTTCCAACCCTTCAAACTGCAGCCTCCCATACACACACGATCTGTTAATAGCCCACTCCATCCTCTTCACTTGATGATGAAAGACTCAAGAGACTCCAGAAAGCATGACTTCAAGAATAGTTCAATGCTGGAATTGCAAAGCGTGTCATAGTCATCATAGGTGCCAGAGACCCAAGAAGTGCCAGATCACCAGCTGCAGACCCACACATAGTGAAAGTGGCTGCTGACCCAAAAAAGGCTGGCCTTGGTCTGGGATGCTGTCATGTGGGGGCATTCCTGGAGAGCATAGGCCATGAGCTCACAAGACTGGCTGCAAACCTGGGGAGGACGAAACTGGCTGCAGACGCCCCATGGCCAAGTGTGGCAATCCACTCCCACAGTGTCTTTCTGGGTGACTATGGAAGAATTCTCAAGTACATTGAAACCAATTAACAGGTATACCATCGTTTCAGAATTGCCTTTACCACTATCCTTCCAAGTTATCCAGCAGCTCAAAACCTTGCTGGATTTCTTAATGTTGCCAGCATTCCTAGTGTTAAGCCACAAGCATCATTCTGCCTCTGCATTGTCAACACATCTCCACCAAACAGAGACATCATCCATGTTATGAATGTCTCTATGACTTTCACACACAAAGCACAGTAAAATTCGATTATCTTCTGATGCTCTCAAGTATGCCTGTCAAAACTGGACTATCCATCTCGTGTGCTCCAAATCTATGAGATGACACGCTCAACCATAAATTCTATGCTTTCTGGAATCATCACCTCCTTTCCTGGCTCGAACAGCAGTGGTGTTTGAAGAGTCTATGGTCTTGTCTTGAAATTAGGGCAGAAACTTGCAAAAATATATATTTCTCAGCTCAGCCACCCAATTCTCCGACAAGCTAATATTGCTTTGTTCCAGGTTCGGTTTTTCTTTTCCATTGTATGAAACCCCTTTGTAATTCTAACTCATCTTCAGTTTTAACCCGACAATGTGCAACCGAGTGAAGGGCGGCAACAGAAGCTTCTGCACCCGTGTCCATCTATCACTAGTAGTCGTTTGCCTTAAGATATCAATATCGAATGTTCAATTGATAGGCATCGAGAACAATAATAGACTCACCACCATGTTGTACAAAATCCGCTGAGCAGAGCCGCTGATATATGACCATAATAGCGTCAAGACTGCAGTGCGTCCCAGAATATTCTTAACAGCCTTTTTTCGCCTTGCCCATGCCCATTTCTCGGCGCCGACTGCCACATAATGATCCCAATTCGGTGTGCGAAGCCACCACCACCAAAGCGTCACAGCCCAAGGGAAAGGATTATATACCTTGCCTGTGCCGTTTGTGCGTGCCCAGGAGTAACATTGCACTGACACCGAGCGGGACAGTCGTTCTTGAACCTTGGCATTATATGCATCTGTGGGTGAAGCTTTGACGGTGAATGATGAAGCGGAACCGCCGAGGACCGGCTCTATGAGTTGAAGGATATATCCAATCTTGTGACAAATTTGAGTAGAAACACACAAAAAGTACACTGGACTTACTTGAACTTCTTCCATGAACAACGTTGATGCCGGTACTCCGGTATTTGGTCCTGTGGTTAGTACATCAGGCTACAAATTGATGATAATAATATGTCCTTTGTGAACTCACCAGCTAACAAGTAAAAGTTTGGTATGTCAGGAACTGCAGTCCCGAGGTATGCGGTAGGGCCACCATGCGCATCATAATAGCCTTAGATAGTAGCTCCATTCAAGCCTCGAACGTGCATTTGGTATCGGTCCTGTTTCTGCAGTTGGCATCTTGTGAAACATTAGATCTGTGTAAGTAGCACTTACGCTGATGAATCCGGTCGCGTATATGATGACATCAAATGGTAACATTTCACCTAAACTAATGTGAGGAGAGTGATGATCGTTGACAGCCTGTACATACCAGTGTTAGTGATGATGCCATTCTCCACTATGTTAGCAATTCCATCGAAGTTCAGTGTCAAGTTAGGCCGATGGAGAATATCCAGGAAACCACTGTTTGCGACTGCGTGGAATGAAATGAGAAAGGACATATCACAGGTTCAACCACCGCCGACGAACCGGTCCGCTTACAACCTGGAGCTGTGGAGCATGTGAGCACAAAGAAAATTCCTTGACCAGACACGTACGATAATTGGGCATCATACGATCATGGTATCTAGTCGGTGCGTTGTCGAGAATGTATTTCGTCATCGCCTGACAAAAGCATTGGAACGAATGCCCCGAGACTCTCGCAGCCTGCTCACCTCGCGTCGTTTCTTGAGAGCTTTGTCACTCGGGCGCACGATAGAGGGAAAATCGAACTACAATAAACGTTAGCAAACTAAAACCCTGCAATGTAGCTGGTCCGACCCAGAACATGATCCAAGCTCGGTGCAGTCTCATTGCCAAAGGGATGTTGGCAAATATCCACTTCTCGGTGTCCGTGTACGGAATATGTGGCTTAGATGTTTTGTTTAGTTGTTCAATCATCGAACACAGTACAAAGAATCTCACTCGAGTGTTGAACCAGGTCGGAGTGCGGATGAAGTTAACGACTTCGACGAACGGGTCTTCAGATATAGATGGCACAAACTGTGCTCTTGTTGTATGTCACCACCGATTACTTGCGCAGAAGTCATTGTACGACTCACCCGGAAGCGGCATTTCCAATCACTGCAACACGCTTATTCTGCATATCTATTGAGCCTGGCCACTGTGCGGAGTGAAACGAAGTCCCCTGAAAGTTCCGAACTCCAGGGATCTCGTATGGAATCTTTGGAACCTCCAAAACACCAACGGCAGATATCACGATGTGAGCCACACTCGACATTCGCTTGCCTGAAAATATGTCTTCCGCGACGACGGTGTACTGTTGCTTGGCATCATCCCACTCGGCAGATAACACTTTTGTGTTGAACGCAATGTGTGAATATAGGTTATATTTCTTCGCGAGCTTAATCCAGTAGGCTTGAATTTCCGGTTGAAGGCCATGCGATTTGTTCCAGAGTGGATAGAGGTCTGATGATAAGCTGTACCAATGAACTTGGACATCCGACGAGCATCCCTAGAAGACGCTTTGAGGTGAGCAATATTCTGCAGTTTGCCATAGCCGTTACCCATACAGGATATGTGTTGGCCTGTGCAAAAAATTGTCAGGAGAACCTGTCGCACATCACAACAACGTACCCTCCACGCCCCACCGACTTCAGACCCTTTTTCATATATCTATTGAAATACTCAGCGACCATACCACTCGTTGCATGGATGAACCCACTGTAAAATCGTGAAACCTGAGCTTAGTTTTGAGAGCAATAGCTTGGGACAACCCGCCAACACTGCGAGCGGATATTCAGTTGGTGTAGAATCACATCAAAAGCGATACTTACCCGGCGCCAATGATGACGACTCTTCTTTGGAGGTCAATCATGTAAGAAATGGCCAATCTCAAACTGAGTATTCCTTTAAGCTTTAATTCTTGCTCACCTAGTACGGGAGGCTTTATCGAACGAGGTCTATTAAAACACGCGGGACGCTAGACTCGCTTCCGGCTGTTTGTTTGTTATACCTCTCCCGAGTATAGCAGTGATCATCATATTACAACAGATTCAAAATCTGTTCCTCTTAGTTCAAAACTTACCGATCGACATTTATCGGAACACGCCTCGAAAATTCGCTCATGGATGGTTTCCTCGGAGGATGGGTAACTTCGTCCTGACCAAAGTGGCTAACACAACAGAATCTAAATATGTCTAGAATTGTTCCAGTGCAGGTTCGAAACCTGCCGATGCACAAGGTTCTTCTTTCTATCAGAACACGCTTTGATTCTTGAAGCCCAATGAAAATCGACAAGAAACAGGCCGATATGTGGCGAAACAGGTCGAAGTAGATAATGAGGTAAATAGAAATCTAAGAAATTCGAGACGAGAAATGCTCAATTTTGTGCAAAATGCAAACAATCTTTGCTAACGTCAAAAATGCAAGAATGGTGTTGTAATTTGCACAGTGCATTCGACAAACTTAGCATTTGCGACGCTTACGTCGTGCATATCTTATATCATAATCACGCTTTGCACTTACAGATCGAAATTTCTCTAAGTCACCACATACCATACCATGGACAATCTCCAGGCTGGTATATACCGGCCACACGACACTGCCATTGTTTATGTCTGCGATTGCGATGTATGTCTCCGAAAGAACTGCGGAAAACCCAAGCAGGTCAAACGCACTGCATACTTCGAGCATCGGCCTGGCAGACTTGCCAAACACAATGCCCTTCCTCCCTCTATTGTCCCATTGATGCCACCCAAACCTCAGATTCTTGTAGCATCCGAACCTCTTGCAGTGCCTGAACCGTCATCAAGCAAGCGTCCAAGTACATCTGAGACAGACGAACCATCCAGTAGCAGCAAGAAATCACGTACCGAGGAGACATCTGGTCCGTCGGTATGTAGCCCAGCCCCGAACATTGCAGCGCTCACCGAAGTACTAAACTAGACCCTCAGATTAAAGTCAGCAGCGCCGAATCTAGTCATATGCCTCGTGTTGAAGATAATGGGATGGCCGACGGAGAAGATGATACATTTGATGCAGCGGCCGGTCATGACTTCGGAGGTGCTGACTTTGGGCAAGGTAACATGACCTTTCCTGTCTGAACGTGACTGATCACAATCGAACTCAGATTTTCAAGGCCATGATAACGACAATGATGACCTTGGATACGAGCGACAGGAGGAACACCAGGAAGAAGTCGGCGAAGAGCGTGAGCATGACGAAGAGCATGAGCATGATGAAGAGCCTGAGCGTGGCGAAGAGCCTCAGCATGACGAAGAGCCTGAGCATGACGAAGAGCGCGCTAATGATCCCATACAATCAATGGGATGGACTGACGAAGACCTAGAAGAGTTACACCGCATGGCGCAGCTCGAGGACGCCCAAGATGCCATGTCATTTATCACAGCGCTCCGTAAAGCGTCTTTGGATGACCCCCATTCACACCTGCCTGAAGAGGCTCTTGCCAGGCTTCGCAATCCCCCTCATCAACTACCTGACAGTACAGACCCGGACCTCATTTTATCGCTCAAGTATTATTTTGCCAATCTCACAGTTAACGCTTACAACCTTGTCCGCGATGCCACCATGGAACGCCACCCAGAAGATGACATATACAGTCACTATCGCATCAAGAACGCAGTCACGGAACTCAGTGGCGTGGTCCCCATTGTTCACGACATGTGCCCTAACACGTGCCTTGCATTCACAGGGCCATATGCTGACCTTGCTCGTTGCCCTCGATGCGGAGAGGGTCGATGGGATCCCAAGAAGACTACGGCTACTCAGAAAGTAGCTCGTCAAACCTTCGACACCTTTCCAATAGGACCGCAATTGCAAGCCCTTTGGCGCCATCCTGACCACGCGGAGAAGATGCGATGGCGTGAGGAGCGCACACAGAGCATTCTCGATGAGCTCAAAATGACTGGAGGTATGTGCGCATCACACTCAGAGAGTTCTTAATGTGCTAAAGATCATTGAAGGTATCCCTGACGTCTATGAAGACGTCTTGCACGGCAAACAATACCTTGATGCATGCCAGTCTGGCAAAATCAAGGACAGAGATGCGGTACTCGTGCTGTCGATTGACGGCGCTCAACTTTACGAATCCAAACGTTCGGATTGCTGGATTTACATTTGGGTCTTGTTCGACCATTCACCAGATGCGCGCTATCAAAAGAAATATGTACTACCTGGTGGCATCATTCCTGGGCTGAAAAAGCCTAAAAACCTCAACTCATTTGTATTCCCCGGTCTCCACCATTTATGCGCCATCCAAACAGAAGGACTTGCAATTTGGGACGGTGCGCAGCAAAAAGAGTTCCGCTCAAACCCCTTCCTCTTCGTTGTCACTGCGGATGGCCCTGGGATGGCATTCTTGACCGGCCTTGTAGGTCATCATGGCAAGATGGGATGCCGTCTTTACTGCGGACTACGTGTCTTGTACTTACCTTCAAGACGAGCAAGGGAATCCTGTCTCTGCTCAGCGTGCCAAGGCAATCCGACAGCTTATGCTATCAAGCTTTCGTCAACTTGAGACACAAGGTCTCGCGCCTGATTCAATCGGTCAAGCCTCGTTGCAAGTTTTATGTTGGCTCACTCACACGCTACGCAAACAATTCCTTGAACTTCGTTTATGCGCTGACAACCGGAAATCCATGAAATTGATGACAGACAACTACTCTCAGTGGTATAACTACCATGTCAAGAGGAGAGGCACGAAACGCATCAAGTCCGAAGACATCCCTCTTGCTGGCGGCGAGCTGCGCGAGAGTTCTGTCGACACTTTACCTTCCACCTCTACATCTGCCAGTGATCCCGAGTCTTCCAGCGACTACCTCGATCCGATGATTGACCCGGTGCTTCAAGAACCTCCAACTAAGAAACAGAGACTCGACTCACTCGAGGATGCTGACATTCAGATCTCGTTACCACCTGTCAAAATCGACGAATCTGCTCTAGTACCGTCCGTCTCCTCAACAAACGAGCAAACGGAGACTCTTAATGTGGAGGTGCGTAGTCCGACTCTGATATTTTTAAATACTAACTTCAACTGCACTCGCTAGATAAAAAATCCACTGTAAGTCCTATGTCTCGATACTGGTCTATGTACTGATATATTAATCTAGGGATCACGTTCTCTTGAAACCTCGACTTCGACCTATCCCAAAAGTGACCCCGGTGCCCTCAACCAATGCCCAAACCAACTCACCGGCACCTTCCAACGACTCGATACCTACGCCATCCTTAACGGTGACCCCAACAAACTCCGACTCTGATGCAGCATCGCTCTCAGTCAAGAGAGAGCTGCTTGTAGCTGCGCCCACTAAGAAAACTCGTCAACCCAGTGTGAAACCAATGCGTATTGGCATGAAAGTAACACCTCGGTATGTCTTAGTTGATGTTACTTACTAGCATTTTCTAATCTTTTCCGTCCTTGTAGTAATCTGTGTGCACTCGATTGGCAAGCAAAAGGTCACCAGCGTGAACCGGCTAGTGCATTCGCACTCTACTGGAACAATCTGTCGGCCAGTATCAAGGAGGTATGTGCTACATCGCAAACACCTTCCCGCGCTAATGTGTTACACCAGGAATACAAACGAATGGCCGCAGCGCAGGTGAGTGTCGTCGTGCCTGCTGGTACTATAGGCCACTGTACTAACTGGTTCTTCTATTACTACAGATTGGCTCTTCTTTGACACTCCAAGGCAGGGACAGTGAGAATGAGCACCATGACTAGCGGTGGGATCCCGATGGATGTGTGCAGGCGTCGAGAATCGGGATGGCGGGCGAGGCGGCGGGATGGCGGGATGGCAGCGCAGCGCGCAGTGGGTACCCCAGTGATAGCGATACCTAGCGATACCCCCCAAACAATAGCGATACCCCTCGATATTCTGATTTGATTGCATTAGCTGTGTATCGATTACATTTTTGATTCAAATCGAGCGAGAATCCGTATGTAAATGTCTATCTAAACAGTCTCGATCTGTATCTTTTTGCATCTCGAAAAGTGCCGTTTTTTCGAAAGACCTCGAAACGCAGCGATAAATTTGACAGCCTCAATTTTTCTAGACGTATATCATTACGTATCTACCTCTTTCTCGTCGATTTTCACTGGGCTTGAAGATTCACTCATGAATGGTTTCCACGGAAGTTGGTCTTATAGCCAGGTGGTTTCCACAACAGAATCAAAATCTGTTCCTCTTGGACTGCGCAGATTCGAAACCTGCCAATTGATGGCTCTTTTTCTATCGGGACACACCTTGACATTGATTCATGGATTGTTTCCTCAGAGGTCCATCTAATGAGTCTTAGCCAAGTGGCTACCACAACAGAGTCAAAATCTGTTTCTCTTGGAGTTGGTTCGAAACCTACTGGTGTATAGATCCTCAGAGGTCCATCTTAACTAGACCCTGTCATTACGCCGAAACCTCTTTTTTATGCGAAAATCTGTCCATGAAACGGAAGTTCACTTCATGCCCCGTAATGGCTTCAGCTCTCTTCAGCCTTTCCCCGGAAGGTTTTCTGGCTATCATCCATAACTTACAGGCATTCGAGAAGATGACTCAACGAGAACCTGATGCCGAGAACTTAAACACCATCCATACGCCGTAGGTTTTGATTCCACCAAGCTTGTCCACTGTTTATTCACTTTAAGTCATCATCGTTCATTACTCTCAATTTCTTAATGTACTCACAATCTCATCTGACCAACCTTTGCGAGTTGATTGTGTTACGACCACTGTTAAACATGCATTGCCTAAGCTTTCAGTTCACTAAAATGATGTAAAATTAGCGGTGGCTCTTCGTCGGACAAACCTCTCAAAGGAAAGGAATGTCACGGTGCTCAAGCATCTTCCGACTACTGGTAATGATTTTTCGCAGCTTTTCTTGAATGTTGTGGCTCGCTGCTTTCCAAAGGATACCGCTGATGACGTGCAATTAGTAAATCCTTGATCCATTCTCTAAATGATAGTACACGATATCAGTATTTGTAGGACAAGGTTACTGCTAGCGAAGCTCGGCCTTCATCTAGTGCCCTAAGCTTTGCTCATTGCATTCATCTCAGCCGGTGTACTGTACATGTGTGGCATTGGACGACCGGAATACCTATTAATCACGTATATGGGTTCCAAGTTCTCTGGCTGCAATCTGGATTCGAAGTTCAGCCACACCGGTATTGATTGTGCAATGCAAAAGAACTTCAGATCGACAAGTGGCAGGATATCTTCTAAGAAATCGAGTCTTGCATTACAATATATGGGATACCTGCTTGGTACTCGCACAGGTTCAGCGCATCAATCAGACCAACGAGTCTGCATTCTCGGAAACTCCCCGAGGCTTCCCATCTTCCCAAATGCTCTCCGTCTCAGTGGTTTCGTGCGCGGTTTCCGCACTCGACTGGGGTTTCGTTGCTTCATTCTTCTTTGCAAGAGCATTGCGATAAATGCTTCTTGAGGTGAGCAGCCTGACAGCGCCAATCACGATTGCGTGTGCTCCAGCATAGAATGCATAGTACTTAATCTTGGGCTCGCTATAAGCGAGGTGCAGGAAAATAATCCCCATGCTACATCGAGTCCGCAAAGTCAGAAGCTACACGCAAGAGATCGTTGCAGTTCTCCATGGAGGATACCCACCAAAGCGTTGCCGCGGTGCAGAGGCTACATGCATGAAAATTTAGCTCGCCTTAGAGTTAGCCCATTGAGTAGAGTGGACATACAGGTGAAGTATGGTGGTGGCAATTGGATCTGCGACTTGCATCTTGGGCGTGAAGTACAGCAAGGTGAAGATATAGACTTCTGATTTATGCCAGACGAGACGAGGCACTGCCTGTCACTGCAATCACTGGAATATGTAGTATCTTGTTCACGAATTCTGCGCTGTACACGAACATGTGACATCGTGAGATCCGCAGCATTGATGACCAGAATAGCGTTCATATCAGCATCAGCGGAAGCTATCCAACGCCTGACGGCTGTATCTCCTGTGTGGAATATAAGTGTGTTACTCAGCCCAATCTTAGCACCATTTTTCACCTTTACCAGTGCAATCGAACAGTATCATGTCAAACTCGCTCGAGCCTCCACCACCGTTGACTGAGAAGTTGACTGTCAAGGAAGTGTTAATATCCATTGGCGTTGGTATCTTTTTTCTGTAAGCAATCAGATGTAGAAAAGAAATTTGTGACGTGAAACTGACCACTATTCCTTGACAGTTTTAATGTCATCAACAGTATCTGGTGAATTGTTAATTTCTTCTTGACTACGATGATCTAGAAATTGCGCGCCAGCATTGTAGTCATTTTCATCTATCTTGGATCAACCATTCCAGTACTGAAACCATATGCCACCTATGTTGCTGTCTACACGCTGGGGGCGAGGACCGTCTTTTTTGCATGCATGTTCCTTGTCGGATGCTATTGGTGCTGTCTTCGACTGGTGGCACCAAAGCAGGCCGGAAGCAGTATTTCCGAGTGGTATTCGAAAGTGCAAGTACACTCCAGCAAAGCCTCGGTTCCAAGCTACAGAAAACTAGGCAAGGCGGGGAGAACATTGTACGCATTGTCCTGCATTGGATACTTTAACGTTTGTCAAACTGACCAGTTCCATATGCGACTTACAGTTTTGGTGAGCTGTTCATGCTAAAACGAAAGAGTGGTCGCTGATGTTCTTGTGATTTTAGCCACCACGGGCGTACTTTACGCTTTCAACGGCTTGCATTATTGCTTCCGCCCAGAGAGAGTACCCGAGTTCGGCGTGTACAAACCTGTGATAGGTGTTAGTTGGTTCATCTGTGCCGCCTGGTTAATCCATATTGCCTGCGTAGGAAGGGTGCCAATAATGAAGGGCACCGGAGGGGAGAATGTGATAGTGGGCAATAATGGCAGTCAGCCTGAATCGGATGGGGTTACTCCAGCAGGTGAGCATAGAAACGATGACACCACAACTCAGTGAAGTGTTTGTTATACGGGAAACGGTGGAAAGGGCGGCGTGGTGGTAAGTCAGCCGTCCAATGAATCATTGCCTAGCGTTGAATATTTCGACAGAAATGCCTTGATACGTACACAAATCAGTACTCTTTCATGATCGAAACAATTTAATATTATTTACCCCCTCCGGTCTTGCCACCCACTTAGAGGTCATGATAGGTAAGTATTAGTATCTGAAGAACAGATGAGCCTGGAGTAGATAAAACTCGAAGCAATTTTTCTTTGGGTAGTGACTCAATAGTAGCAGGACATAAGTCGCCCCAGAAGAACGTTTAATGCAAACAGATTCGCCATGGGTTGTCCAAAGATCTGGTTGGGGCGAACTTATGAACGAACGTCCGGGTCATTCGTCAGTGCATATGCATTATTTTGAATCGCAAGCAACGCTTACTACTCTGGGATCTTGGAAGCTACTTCTACTTCTCAAATGGACCTGTCAGGATTCAGAGATAGTAAGTTCCCCATGATCATGAGGAAGGAGTAGAAATATACACACAACCCGTGCATCCGCAGTTGGTTTAGGTAGAAGCACACTTCTGAGTCTCCACCCCCACAAGTGCGCCATTGGACTCCCGCCTGTGAACGTCATCTCTTCAATGTTCGGTTTCAACCCAAGCCTGACTGAGGCTGGTTCAGGATACATGCCGAAATTCCGCAAGAAACGGCTGTTCACGCTGCAAGTAATCGTTCGATGCCGAATATCCTGACCGCGATCACATTTCGTTTTGCTCTGACTTGGGCTGAGGTGGTGAGGCTAGATGAGATTGGGATTTGATCACCATAAGTGAGCACAAGTTGAAGTAATCAATGGCTGATTTTCCGGGAGTGAGCTCGATGTATGCCGGTACGATACAATAATACACGCCTGCGGACAAGCGGCGGCGTCGTGGTAGAGCGCGGCGTATTCAAAGGACGGTGCTCATTCCTGGCGATACTACGATTAGCTCCTCGCCCACATTTTACAAGATCGCTGTTGCACAAGGCCTTGTCGAAGCTGCGTAGACTGGTTGATCCCCACTGTGCATGAGTTGGTGCCACCTGTTGATCAAGATCCCGTTTCGCTGAGACAAGGAAAGGATGAAATCCCTGAATGACAGAGCTGTCATCCTTAGTTGCTATGAGGCATCTGTATCTCTGCAGTAATGAGTGAATTGATTGCTATGATAGATATCTTTGAGGAGAGGAAGTGAACGTCAGTATTTGTTGAAATCATAACGATGACGTGAGTCAATAACCCGGCCAGTGGTGAGTACTCGAGTACCGAGAAAGCAGTAAGCTAGTTATATGTAGTCATGGAAAAAGGTGCCCGCGACTCGGATGTGATAGAAGGATCATGCCGGCGTTAAGTTACTTGAACACCACAATAACAGTTTTGGGATTGCAGTGGTAAGTGATGGACAAAAAGACGGTAAGTAGGATTAGTGTAAGGTATGATGCACGCAAGGCCCAAGATCCAAGTGGTCCAAAGAATACTACAAGAAAGAACGTTATGCTACACACAGCAGTGACAATGAATGATTCCGGGATTTATATTCATGTGAATCAAGTCCGATGCAAGTGAACGAAGAAAGCTCCTGACCCGTTAAACTCTGAATAAAAAATACAGAAACGTTCATCGTATGAGGGCCAGACGCCCGACTATGAGAGCACCAGCCATGACAGCGACCAAGCTAGGTAGCGCTTGCGCAAATCCCAGAGCGTTGCTCATCTGTCGACCTTGGCTCGTGCCCGCTAGGGCGTCGGCCAATCCTTTCTCACCGTTTGAGGTAGCCAGCACGGAGGGGTCAACGGTGATGGTTGGTCCGTGGAGATTCGTATATGTGGTGGTTGAGAAGGTCATCGTCGGGCCCTGATCGGACTCGGACAGCGCATTATCGGTGAGGAATACGAGGGCGAAACCAGGAGCAGGTACTTCGACTTGACATACGTTATTGATCTGGTCACAGGGAATCGTCTGTACGTCAAGTGTGCCATTAAGTCGCCCGTCTGATGTGAATGGGCCGCCGAAGGTCTGGGAAATAATCAGTCTAAGTGGTCAATGCGGAAACTTGATGTTGTGCACACCTGTCCAGCCCACGTGAAGTTGTATATTTGAGAGACAGAGTCGGCCAGCAGGTACCTGAGCGAGCGTTAGGAGACAATAAATTTATGATAATACGGGATCACTCACTTGACTTGCACTTGAGCAGGCACTGTCCCCCCGATCGAGATATTCGCAGTGTAATCGCTATTTCCAGACGGATCCGTGATGAAGTTGGTCAGCGCAACACGGACTGGCTGGCCATTTTCGTAAATCGCGTAACCCGGAGTGTAGTCACTTCCACCATTTGCCTGCAGATCCAGGACCTGCGCGGTATTGGAGGAGCCCAGTGCTTCTGCGACTACTAGAGCCGAGTAATAGATCGGACCTGCGATGAGAGCATCATTGGCATACAATAGAGAACTGATGCAAGGTAGCTCATACCAATGGTCCACTGATTGAATGTCGACTGGTTTGTCACAGGTGCTAAGGGGCAAAGTTAGAACAATCTTCATTCAGGCAAGACAATTAATACGAACGTGTAAAGGGCTGTAGAGGACGATGGTCAGAGGTTGGATGACGATAGGACTCGAGTTGAACGCACGTTGTAATACACACTCTGTCCACCGACATGAAAAAGAACAGTTGAGAAATTGCTGTATGCTAGCTGGAGAGCATAGTCAATTCCCCACAAGGCAGCCCCGAAGCTGTCGCTTAACCCGGGGAAACCTCCGCAAGATGCCGTATTGGTTTCTGACATGATGAAGGGCTTTCCAACAGATTGCGCATAGGCGGGGGCACCAGGGAACTCGTTAACGATGCTTATTCCGGCTTGATGTGTCAAGAAGGACGGGAACATCTCTTGGCCAGTGCGCTCAGTTCCTATGCCGAACTGAGCATAACAATTATCAGTAGGGTACCTTCAGGGTTGTGAGCCGGATGACGATGATAATAAACAATCTATCATTCACCTTTCAACACCCAGTGCAGCAAGGTTTTGGTTGAAGTCTGTGGCGAACCCGGTTTGCCAGATATCCGGTGGGCTCCACACGCCAGCCAGGTTGGGACCAATGAGCAGGTTTTTGTTGGGAATATTAGAGTCTGCGTTCATTGCGTTGATGAGAAGACCGAATTCATCCTTGTAATCCTGAGGGCTATAAGACTACAAGAAGGTCAACAATGTGATACAGAAAGAGGCCAGAAAACCCTACATTCGGACGGTGACCGTGTCTTGAGTAAAGATCAGGCTCGTTGCCAGCCTAAAACGAAAGCAAGCAATCAGATATTGTCATATTATACGTCAACTTTCCGAACCTGTAGACCAATCAGATATTTCCCAAGCATCGCCTCTCCTACTTCAGCGATCTGCAAACGCCAATTCTGAGTGTCATTGAACGGCACACCTGCGCAAGAAGGTCAGTGACGACAGGAGTATTATCACGTATCACATACCCATGTACCAATAGACGTCAGTGAGTGCAGATATCTCAGCCATCATTTTGATGATCTCGCTTGTGAAGACAAGGGGCGGCGTTGATGTCTTGGAGGTGTTCAATCTCAGGATAATTGAGTAAAAAAACATTGCACTTACGGGGTTAGATGACCTCCCATAGTCCTTCTCGAGAGCAGCACCGTCCGGGGTACTGGACACTAGTGTAGCGGTTTCTTGAGTATTACCACCGACACGAACTTTAACGCTGCCCCCGCGTTGTCGCAGGTTGGCCATAAGGTTGAGAAACGGCACTTGAAGGAAAGAACTGCCGATCGGGGTAAATATCATAGTCCTTATCAGTAACTAGATTTGTTACCTGTTCAGCCCGACTACAAGACATGTTCAGTAGATACAAATGCAAGTGAAGGAAGTACTCACGGACTTGCGTCGTAACACTAAACTCTATACTGAAACCAAAGAATGAACCTTCTTGTTGAATTGAAAGTCCCGAGAGATTGTCTCCGGTCTGCAGCTCTACATTGAACTGAGTGGGTGGAGGAGGATTAGGTGGGGCCGGTGCATTTAATATTGTTTGATCATATGAAGCAGCACCGGTGTATGAGGCAGAGGCAGCCGTCGTGGTCCCAAGTGGTGACTGGACGTGTGGACCATAGGCAGTGATAGCTGCCTGAGCTAGGCCGAAGGAAAATAATAACGAATGGACGAGGAGAAGATGCATTTCAATGAAATGTCTGAAGCCATAAGAATTCATCAGCTACCTGTAGATCATTTAGTAAGTGTGAAGGAGTACCAGTTCCTCTAGAGTCTAGATGGCGATTCCACCCCGTTAGAAGGAGTTGAACGTTAACGTTGAAGACCAAGGTGCTCCCGAACTACAGCTTATAGCATTTTCGGAGCCTTTACATAAAGGTCGAGACAAACGAGGATAAGCGTCACTATTTAACAGGGACGCCCAGGCCTGGGAGCTTACGGTTCAATCACTGCGGATCCGGGAAACAGTGCAGAAACGAGTTTTTTTTTACATTATAGAGTAGCGACGATAAACATATAGCATAACCGGACAATAGCTAAAAATTTGTGAGGGAGGGGCAAATAAAAGTCCGATTAAGGTGGAGACATGTCTTCTACTACAGTACCATGGAGAAAACGACGGTTCAATTTGCAACCTTGCAATGATGGCCGCAGCCCGAGCTGTACCGTTCATTAATAACGATCGGTTGGTCAAGAAGTTGGGAGCATGTCATGTGGCAAAGAGATCACCGCTAGAAATGCACGACTAGTTAAAAGCAGCTGGGCTGTTATGAGGTTGAATGATAGTTCTGGTCAAAGGGACTTGAGTCTTGACGGAAAAAAATAAAGGAAGAGTCACCTCATACAAACTCAAGGGTCAGGTTGTGAAGACATGATCTTTTTAGAGGGTGGGTGTCGTTGAGTTAACGCGGTGGATAACTTGAAGTGAAAGTCGAGACTCGGGACACAACCAATAGGGCTGCTCAATTCTTGGGCTCAGTTCGCTGGCGGAGTTCACTTGTCAAAAATCGACGTTTTTAAAAGATCCGCAACACTGCCGACAGCGTGCCGATGGCCCAGCCGTGATGCGGGAATGAATTCAAGGATTGCTGCATGGTGAAACCAACACTGGCCGAACTTCAAGCACATCTCGCGGAGCAAGCCCAACTCCTCATGGGGCTTGCGGCTGTGCTCGATGATGATGACAACAACAATGTCGAATTCGCCAATGATGATGACCTTGATGATGATTTTTTTTCTGATTCTGATGCATTGCTCATGGCAGCTCTTGAATATCGATCGTCTGCAGCGTCTATCACTGGTGATGGTTCCTGAGGCCCATACAATCAGATTCCTCAGTCCAAAGACTTCTTTTCGTGCTGCTTGCAAGGTCCTGATCGTGAATTTCGACACCACTTTAGGTGTGTAGTGTAGATTTATGAACCAATGGTTTTTTGTGAACTTTCAATTGAACCAGAGTCAGTCGAGACACCTTTGACCGGCTGGTAGCAAAACTAGCAGATAATACAATTTTTACTTCAACTGTGGCCTTGGCTGTGGATCTACATGGCTTCTTTGCCGATCGCAATTTTGGAGCAATTGTGCCTGCACGTGCGCGTTTTGCACCACCTTTGGTAGGTGTAGGCGTGCTAGGCTCAGAAGGTGCTGAAGGCAATAGCGGGAGAGCCACTTGGGCCCCTCTGCTCCATCCTAAATTGAAATTAGTCGAACACGCTACCTTCAAGTCTGACAAAAAAAACTTACCACTGTGGTCATCGTAGTAGTCCAGACCTACATTATGGTCATCCCTACCCCAAGCACTGGCTCCTGTAGCGCTGTTGACGGTCGCGGAGCGTGCCAGTGGCTGGTGTTGCGGAGTAGCATATGACGGATCTCCCCACATGTGCTGCCCGCTATAGGCATGCGGTGGTGGCATGAACGAGGCGCTGGTCATATGCGGAGTTGGTGAGACGGACGGCTGTGAACGTGCAAGCTAGTATTAGTGTAAATCAGTCTGATCCTCACAAACGAGCTAGACTTACTGCAAGGAGAGCCTGTGCATACTCATTAGATTCACAAGCCATCAGAAAGCAGCTATTACGGGTATAAGCTGGGGAGGCATGTCAGCTCACGTTTCTGCTAGCCAAACAATACTTACCTAGGCCGCTAGTGATGATTGCTCCTGCACGGAGCGCTCTTTCGATGATCAACGGAACGGAGTGCGTGTTATTTGCGAATGTTGACGGATGTCGGGTGCCTGCCGAACGTTAAGCGATTCATTAGGTGACAAGTGAACTCCGCCAGCGAACTGAGCCCAAGAATTGAGCAGCCCTAATGTCTAATTTGCATCCGTTTACGTCAGACGGTCTACGTCGGATATTACGTTTGTACTAACCACGTCGGATTAGACGCCTCAGTTTTGTAGCCTGTTGCCACCGGTAAACTGAAAATCACAAGATTTCTTACCTCTGTTGCATATAAATAAAGCTTGGTTAATTATCCTCTGGCCCTCGGCGAGCAACTCATTCTGAATCAGCAACACAAAGACCATCATGGCGCCTAGACAAAAAATGGATATCAACCAACAAACAGCTACTGATATGAAGGCAGCACGTTCACGAACCTCGATCAGTGTCCAGACTGTCAGAAACTATCTATATGGTGAATAGTCTAAGTCATCCTAGTTCTTGTAGCACCCTAACTTCGCTCAGGTGGACAGGAAGTGTGGGATCTGCATGAACGCCTGGAAAAGATTCTTGTGCAAGAATCATTATTCGACAAACAGCACAGGTGGGTGTCGGCTATCTTGTCTTTCGTACGACTTATTCTCTCAGGGATTTCCTAGGGCGGACAGATCAATTCATCAGAGCTGCTGCCATCATAAATAGGCTGGATGAGTTACGTCGGATGCATAATTGGTCTGAAGAAGAATACACTACAGCCTCGACACTTCTTTCGGAAACAATATCCACCACACTGCATGACCGTGGTATGCAGACGTATTTCCTTCACGCATACAGCACACTCATAATTTGTGTAGCATTCCAGCCCGTCTTCCTCGGTCAAGGATCTCCTGCATTGATGGAAAGCTATTGGGACTTGGTGCATGAGAAAGGGATTCAAGGGTATTGTCGGCTTCAAGTCATTTTCACCTGAATTATACTCACTAGGAAGCTTTAGGTGTTATCTGCAAACTGAGCTCGGTCACGGTACAAATGTAGCTAGTCTAGAAACTACTTCGACATATATCCCGGAAACCCAAGAGTTCGAAATAAATTCTCCCAGTCTTACGAGCACTAAGTGGTGGGTCGGTGCTCTGGGAAAGTCCGCAACTCATGGTGCTGTCCAAGCAAAGTTGATCTTGCCGGACGGGAAGGATATGGGTCCTCACCTCTTCCTCGTGCAACTGCGGTCATTAGGTTTGCCTGAGTGTTTCCCAATTTATAGCGATACTTAATATTTTTGCAGAGGATCACAAACCTCTCCGAGGAATCACTGTTGGCGATATTGGTCCAAAAGCCTCAGGAGGTACGTGAAATCTCGAGCCGTTTATAACGCCTTATCTGATGTATTCGCTATAGGCATGGCTGCACAAGATCAAGGCTTCGCGAGATTTGATCACGTACGGGTACCCAGGACGAACATGTTCTCGAAGTTTGCCGAGGTCACGACGGAGGGTAGTTATATCCAACCTCCTCACGCAAAACTCAGCTACGGAGGAGTAATTTTCTTCAATTCGTCGTCATATTGATGTTACTGACACGATGTGCCAGATGATGTATATTAGGGCAACGTTTGTCAATCCTCTATATTTCTGCCTAACAGGACTAACAATATATTCCAGCATGATACCAGGGGCCGGATGGACCATAGCCAAAGGTAGAGCTCTAAGCATCCAGTGTAATCCCAAACCTAATCCTTTCGCAGCTGCAACAGTCGCTATTCGTTACACGACTGTCCGGAGACAAGGCGAACCAGATGCAAAGGGACTCGAACGTCAAGTCTTGACATATCCTTCAACATACTACCGCTTGTTACCCATCCTCTCTAGGGCATTCGTGTTCATTGAGCTCGGGAGGTATACGGTTAGTTCTACTTCTTCGTCCGTTAGTCCAAGTGCTCACCTCCACGATGGTCAGATAAAAGCGTTGACTCAGATGCAACAGCGGCTTGCAAGTCGAGACACTTCCCTTCTTCCGGAGATGCATGCTCTCTTGTGTGGCTTAAAAGTCTTTGTTACTACACACGGAATCATTGATATTGAAACTGCTCGGCGTTCTATGGGTGGACATGGGTACAGCGCATTTGCTGGACTAGGGCGATTATACATCGAATACCTCCCTTCCGCAACGTGCGTTTTACCTTCTGGATGTTAATTGACGTTGAAGAAGTACCTAGGTTCGAAGGGGACAACTTTGTCTTGGACGGACAAGTAGTACGCGCCGCTACAAAGTTATGCAAAGCTGTGCTTTCGTCAGCCTTGGTTGTTTCCAAGCTTCCCCTTCCATCGGCTTATCTGCGTCTCTTGTCCACAACCGGCGAGGCCCCTCCACAAGTCACCGCATCAACTTGGCACGATGTCCAAAGTGTTGTCCTTCTTCTAGAGTGGCGTGCTGCTCTTATGGTAAAGAACTTCACACAAACACCAGCGAATGGAGATGTCGATGCGAGCGTCAATCAGCGCTTGGCCAAAGCCGTAACAGAGGCTTTTATCGCCGCGCAGGTCGGTGAGATGATCAACAATCTCGCCAATTTACCTTCGGAGGACGCGAAGGCTGTCGGCTGCCTTTATAAGCTGGTTAGTTGCCATCTTCGTCACTGAAAACGTTCTGATTGCATCACTTTAACAGTACTTACTAACGTGTGCTGAAAGCGCTCTCGTAGATCTCCTTTCGGTTGGATTGATTCGTCATACGGGTGCCGGCGATCCTACACAGGATCTCCGTTCAGCCGTCAAAGCACTTTGTATTGAAGTCCTGCCCAATGCCATTGGTCTAACCGATGCTTTCGGCTTCTCGGATTGGTCCCTAGATAGGTACTTGCAAACTGTATCTGTACGATTGACGTATTGACTACGTTCGATAGCGCACTGGGAGTCTTTGATGGCCGCGTTTACGAGGCACTCTGGCAACGAGTGCAGATGGAGCCGATGAACAAGGATGAAGTTACCCCCGCTTATGCTGTAAGTCTGTTCGTTATTTGGTTTGTCATTTACTCAGTCAACGTAGCCTTATATTCGACCCCTGCTACAACGCGGGCAAGCTGCGGCTCAGCAGAAGATGAAGCTCGACAGTAAACTTTGAAATTACCGATGGTATATTCAAAGCAGCCCGCCATTTATGAGATTAGTACGTGTTCCTCCATAAACACGTTCAGACGAGTAATTTGCGCACTTCAGGATGTTTAGCACTAATGCAGGCTAGCACGACATTTGCTTTTCTTGGATCCATGTCATTTTGTAAGGTATCTTCACATGCACACATACCAGTATTTCTTTATCTTGAGTTAAATTACTATGTTGTATTTGAAATCGACTTATGCAGTGAACTGATACGATAAGTCCAAGCGCCGTCTGCGACAGGTCGGAACATTGACGTTAGCAACAAGTCACGGTATACCCTGGAATAGCGGAGGTTGACGTACCACATTTGAAAATCCATCGTCAACATATATGTTAGGAAGATAGCATGAATAGAAGAGACGTCATGCATCAATATGAATTCACTGATGCGGTGGCGCGTGGCGCATGGCGCCCTGATCCTATCATCATTGTGATAGGCCCGCCTACGCTGAAGTGTAGATCGAGAATCAATCGACAGGAACAAAGATGTACCATGTAATCTTTAACGACCACCCAATCGCGTTCCAACAACTTGCCACAGAAGTCTGCCTCACGCTCAAAGACCCCGGTCATCGCAAAGCTGTTTGACATCCTCACCAAGATCTCGGACTCGACTGATATGATGCTCGTGTTTGGTTCTACACTGGAGAATGAGAATGTATCTTTCTTGTTGGTGGTTAGCGGAACGTTGAGGTAGGCAAGATGATTGTGATTTCGGACGTGCTGAGGCTGTTGTTGACTTTTAGGTTCATTGGGAGATGGTCGCCAACTGAGCTGAAAGCTGCGCTTGAACGGCTGTACACTCTGCGAACAAGGATCATCTGTTCCACACTGTCTTGACCCTGTACGAATGAAAGATGAAAGTAGCAGTTGACAGTTAAGGTGAGGTCGCATCCAAAGTAAGGATTATATGCAGAAGGGAATTGTTCAAGAGACCCACCAAGCGGACTCTCTGAAGACATTGGTTGCACAGTGTCTGGTTCAAAGACTGCTGATAAATGGTTGGTACAATGAGCACATAGCACACTTAAAGTGGACCATTACCTTTTGGAACAGTGACGACGAGCAAGGTGACCGGAACAATGAGAATCTGGATGAATGCAATGTCGTCCTAGTTCGCAGTCCTAAGAAATTTAGCGAGCGGTTGTGATAACTGAAATCAGTCACCTGAGGCTAGTATGCTCGCCTGCAAATATAACAAGTTGCACGATGAGTCCGATCACCGTAGAGAGTAGAGACTCGGACTAGAGTCTGAGAACATTTAAAACATGAGTTAAAGATGATCGATGTCAATGAGCGACTACCAATGCTTCATGCAATTCGCAGTGCACACTTCATGAACAACATTGAACATACTATACGTAAGAGCGTGGCTCATTGGTTGAAGGTTACGTAATGATGGCAGCCTGTCGCCGCTGGCAGTACTCTAACTTCATTGGTCTGCACCGTGCAGGTAAGTTGAATACATGTCATAACCAGTCAGCGCTCTCAATCAGATACAGGATATGTCTTGGATAAGTCTCCTGGAGGAACCGGACTAGCCAGCGCATTCGAGTCCGAGTCCGACTTGCAAGCATTGAGAAGTTGATCCTGGTTGATCACTTTCGTCAGCGCAGTGGCCGTAGGGTGAAGAACATAAAAGGATCGCAACCAATCACGATTATCAGGGGAGTTCAAAGCTGGATTTCGTTATGCTTCTGTTTGTAACCTCACTGGCATGGACGTCAGAAGACTCAGAACGAACTTGAAGGCATTGTAGTTGAATCCATTTTCAAGAACGGAGATCGCGATCGCCAACATGTTTTGATTCATCCTTGACAGAGTCCATGTGCTGTGGCCATCGTTGCAGGGCTAGGACGCAGTGGTATGCTTATCCCTGTAGCTGTGCCTCTACGGCGCTTAGATCCACACAACGCCTTCTCCAGTGATAGAAAACGTATCAAATTGACGAGGTCAGAATTTCACTACTACCTAAGCAAGTTGTAATGACAGTCACTCGAAGAATAGGCGTCAAACGTGCGAGTTGCTGTCGATTATATGCCACGTCGGCTCACCTTGCCTAAGAATTTTTTTTCGGAGAACGGCGCCCCGAGGTATTTCACAAGGTAAGTTCTAGTCTTTAGTCCGTTCGTTATCTCACCCCGTGCAAAGGCGCTTTACCGGATTACGCCACGAAGGCCTTCGAAACCGTGAATTTCCAGCATTTGTATCGGAAAGTGGTTTTGTCAACTGAGGTCATTACCAAACCGGCCGACGGTTGAATTCGAATACGCTCTTGAGCCTCAACAGGACATTTCTATTACCCCCAAATTCCCAGGCTTCAAGCCCAAACCCTCCGGCGTCGGTATCACCAGTTACGGAGAAAGCTGTAATATCTCACTATAATAAGGTGGACACGGCAAGCAAGAAGCCGGCTTACAGACACTATCTTCTCACCGGTTCTCTGGTGCGCCCTTGCGGTCCAGGTCACCTCTGTTGTTGACTGTCAAATCTCTTGGGACGTGCTGCAGCTGCGTCAGAGCGTGGTAACCTGCCGGGACAGTGAGCTTTCTGGGAGTGAGTGAACACCGTTGGTTTTTTGGGTTTGCCACTATACGAGACAAATATCGGGCTTCCAGGCCGCTGTTCGGCAAGGTCCGAACCGAATTCGAACATACTACAGCTCATAGATGATCTATCTTCATATCGATAGACCATAACATGATATCCCTAACGTTGTCCTTATTCTAGGGTGACGTGCTACTATCATGCAAAGAACTATTCGCAAGACAAGCGACAGGAGATGGTGCGAGCGTCAATCGATGCTTGTCCAAAGCCGTAACCGAAGCTCTTGTTGCCACGCAGGTCGGCGAGATGATCGATAATCTCATGTTTGAATGTCAAATCCTGATGCTAAGGTTGCTGGCTGCACTTATGGACCTCGGTAAGTTGCTATCTTCGTCACCTGCAGACATTCTTGTTGATAATATCCCTCTTATAGTACTCACTAAGGAGTGCTGACAGCGCTCTTGTGGGTTTTCCTTCGTCCGTCACGGGTGCCGGTGATCGTACACAGAATCTCCATCTAGTCAACAAAGTTTGGAAGCTCTGCGCACATGATGTCACTCAACCAATAGGTGTTTTGGCTTTTCAGACTGGTGCCAGGTTTGTGTAATCGATATCTGTATGACTCCAGTCGAGGAATCTTCGGCGGAACGAAAGAACCGGTTGGAGTCTATGGCCTTATGGGTATCCGCATTCGTGAGTCACGCATCCCAAAAGTCACTGGCCCTGGATCCTACCTCACGGCTAAAACCCCAAGTTGCCAACCTGATATCCATGAATGCGGAAAACAGCTGATCGGATAGTTGATTCCCTTTGAGGATAGGCGAAGGCACAGAGAGTTCCAAATTCCGGAAGAGCGAGCCGCAGCGAGTGTTGGGGCTCATCCGTATCCCCCTGATAAGAGCTTTCGTCGGATCGACACTGCCACCAATCCATCTCCCTAGCATGCCCCTCCTCAAGCTGACAGAGTCCTATACTCGGGGATGGCCGACCGCTGCGGGTGTGATGGATGTGGTTGTGCTACGGCTTCTGCTGACCCCACCTAGGATTGGCTATATCTGTGACATTCTTCACACGTACCAAGTTAATCAGTGAAGCTGGAGAGCCGTCCGCAATATTAATAGGCCGTAACGAAACTTTCGCCATAGATATCACCAACACGAGTCCCAAGGAAGTTTGAAATTCATCGACCAGGGTATATATGCGTAAGCACTGTTGTAAAGAGTATCTATTGCCAAAGCTTCACCTGCACTTGAGCTATGCCTATCCCAACGACTGAGCTCGTCATTTTCGACACTACAGAAGCGATTCGTAATGATCGCTCAATTTTGAGACCTGCATTCGAGATGGTTTCAAAGTCTGATGGTATCCAGATGTGCGTATTGTTCTCCTGCTAGTGTATATTACTTGTAATACAGGGCGCTCTGATCATACTATTATTGCAACAGGCCTGCCTACGTTGGAACACAAATCGAGAATCCTGCTAAAGGCTATGTCTTCATGAGTATGTGTTACATCTTTCGTTAGCCTTGAAAGGGGCGGGAAATAATACCCTGGCTTCAGACTGGGATAGCCTAGCGCATCATCAGGCGATGCTGGCGTCCCCCTCGTACGCGACTTTGCTTGAAGCTCTGAAACCCGCATATGGGGGCTGGTCGAAGATGTATCATGCAATTTTCAATGCCCATCCCATCGGACTCCAGCAGCCTGTTACAGAAGTCCTCCTCCTCACCATCAAGAACCCCAGTCATCGCACAGAGGTGTTTGACATCCTCACCAAGATCTCGGACTCATTTAAGAAGATGCTCGTGTTTGGTCCTTCGCTGGAAGATAAGAATGTGATTATTGTCGTTGGTGGTTGGCGGAGCGTTGAGGTATGCGTAGATATTGTCGCAATTTTGGGCGTACTAACGCTGATGACTTCTAGGCTCATTGGGAGATGGTCGCTAAGCCTGAGCTGAAAGCTGCGTTTGAACGGCTGTACACTCTTGCCAACAAGGACCATCAGTTCCACAGCACCTTGACCCCTTTCACGGGGAAGTAGCGATTGTGTGTGAAGGATACTGAGGTCGAATTCAAAGCACGCAATTGTATATTATAAGTTTCTGTATCACAAAGTCCTCATGACAGAATGCTGTGAGGGAAGGCAAAACGACATCTTGGAAGGCATGTCCTGACTGTTCATCAGCTTACAGTGCCTCGGTCGGTCCCGGTCAGCTGCCAGTAAGCCAACTTGATGCAATGATTGTCTTTATTGATCGCATGATCTCTGACATCATCAAGGACCCACGTTTTAAAGTTCATACCTATCATATGCACTCTATCTGTGTAAAATAGGAAGGGGTATTCGTTACGTTAACGATAAGATTGTTTGGAATTGCTTGCTTTGTACTGGTAGCAGCTTAGCATTGTATTCGGACCTTCATCAGCCATCATCTATGTCTAGTATTGATGTGCTGGGCCCTCGGATCCTCGTAAAAGGCCGGGCTACTACCAGCCAGTCTACTAGGGTTGTTTGTGGTCCAGAGCGCACTATCCCAAATTTTACGGTTTGCCAGCTTTTACCAGTCCGTCTTATCGTCAGACTCGTCACGAGTTTACTCTGTCAGATCGTATGGCGTTAATACTGCTCATCCCGTAAAGCATCTACACACATACTTGTGTATCGAGCCGGATTAGTAACTATGCACGCACCACATGGTCTCAAAGTCAGTCGTGTAAGCTGTAGGTAGGAGTGGATCAGATCGATCATCGATCATCGGCAGTCCACGCGGTTCAGCGGATATATTATTTGGGGATATTACATAAGAGGCACTTCTCCCGCTACTATCCCAGCGACTGACATCATTCGACACTTTCGAAAGAACATCTCAATTTTACGCCCTGTATTCAGGGATGAGAATGCGATTGTTTTTGTTGGCAACTGGCTGAGCGTTGAGATAGATGTTGATATTATCATGATCTTGCACATACTGATGCTGTTGTGGACTTCTACTAGGCTTACTGGGAGATGGTTGCCAATCCTGAACCGAAAGCAGCGATCGAACGGCTATTCATTCTTGCCAATAAGGACCATCTGTTTCATACTGCCTTGAACTCATACGCGGGAAACTAGCGGTCGAGACCAAAGCTCTGTACATTTCGAGCTCCTGTATCGCAAAGTCCACACGATGGAATCCAGAGGGAAATGTGACGCATTGAAAGCACGCCCTGGCCTGTTATTGGTCGGGGTTGCCAATCAACTCTCGATCCGTTGTGCTGACGCACTTGACTCGTCATTTTTATCGATAGCTCTTACACCATCGAGGACGCATCCAAGCACATTCTGGCCACTTAGACATCCGAGACACAAGTCGAGCTCGTACCCATCGCTGAATGGAATAGCCAGACAGGAGGCACTTATCAACGATAAGACACCGTAGCACGTTGCTTGCTAAGTTAGCTCTAGCAGTGCTAGCAATAATTCCGAATGACAAATGAGCTAGGCGTTACACCGTGCGCGACGGACCGGAATTTCATGGCCAACCAATGCCGTGGAGCTCCCATCCGTGAAGTGGCGGTCCTATGACATAAAAAACTACTATGTTCCTCCTATGACGTCCAGTACAAATGTCGGCTGGTGATCCTGGAAGCTTCCAGATGGAGCGAATTGCGGTAACACGATGTTTCGTGTTTCTGACGATTAGATTTCAGTGACAGCGACATAATACTTACGAGCCCAAAAACGTCACTGCAATTTCTAAGCAATATTTAGATCGAGCTGGGACAAACACAATCATTAGAACTTGCCCTTTGATTAACTTAATCCAGTATGTAGCAGCTACACTGCGTGGGACGGTTCGTGGGTATAACTGAATTACATAAATATGGCGCATGCACGCTCGGAGTCGTGGGTCTCTGTGGGAGACTGGCACCAACTTGAACCTGCTCAGCCACCAAACTTATCTCCATGACTGCAGAAGCCTGGCGTGTAGGCACGAAACTCTAGCTCAAGTACCCGTATCGTGACTTGATCGAACGCCACATGATATCTGTGGCTTTTGGTTCAGACATGTAGTGGGAAAAGAGTGGTTAGTTGAGTCACGGGAGCGTTGGAAAAGGAGTCGATCACTGGCATTGGGTCTGCAGACACTGGACGTCGAAAATGACTTCTTGGGCGATCCGCACTTTCATGGAGGGCCCAGCGGGGTGACCTATCTGTGTAAGTTGTTTGCTTCACGCGAGTCCTATGAAGGTATCTCTAATGTACACCCTACCTCTGAAAGAAAACTCGTCTAATGAATAGTATCGCAGTTAAGATTTGAGGTTTGTGACTTGAACGGCGTGGCAGACTAGCACTAACGAGCCTCTGAATCCAGTAACACCAGCAGAAACCCACAGGGAAAGAGAAGTACAGTCTCATCTGCAAGCTACTCAGGGTCACCTTTGTTCAAAATTTCCGAGCATCCAGATTTAACTTATACATCCGATGGTATCTACCCGTCGAGCATAACATTTGCCGGGAGTCCCAAACTAGGATAGGTGCGCTGACCTCTTGGGCAACTCACTCTAACCTTTGATCTTATCTCATAGGTTACCCAGGGGTGGCACCGTGGCAGTTGTGACAGTGGTGTGATAGTGGCTCTCTACGTCATGAATCATACACGCCCACGGGTATACACGCCGGTTATCATCCAGAAGCGCATATACGAGCTACGACTTATCCTTCCATAAGCCCATCTGTAGTCGACCGTATACATAGAACAGAATCGATATCTTGCCTTCGCTGCTCCTTGGCCGTGGGGAGGTCCCTACTTTTAAATTTTTACTGTGGTAATTCATTCTTCCTTGCAGTGTCCTTTGCATTACCTTTCATCGAGTATTGGTTTACTAATCGAATACCCAACAGTTTGACAATCGTACTGCAACCGTCGTCTCTCACCCACCCCTATCATCACCACCTTTGCAAGCATTCTGACTTTGAGTTAAAACCTCCCGGGCCTTCTGTGGAAGCTTATGCCTGAGAGTTTAGATAAATATTTCGACGAACTTACTCATCGATCTTAATAACATGATGTGCGTCCACGTGACATACAATTGAAGTGTGTCGGATAACAAATCATTTCGACAGACAAAGCCTAGGCTAACCGTCCAGGTACTTTGAGTGATGGATCTTCACCGCAGCGACCGCTTGGAAGGAAATCTTGGCCAGTAACTGAAAAAGGATGATTTGTTTTACCCTTTGATTCAAAGGATCTGTACTGACATCTTCAAGTAAGCGAGCACTCCTACTTCCAATTCAGGGGACAAATCACGCGAGGGAAGAAAAATGACTAGCAAGCGACGAAGACGGGCGCGAAATTCGTGATTGGATCGATACGAAATAAGGAAGGTACGTTCTCGTTCTCCTTAGCAGCCTATATCAATAGTTCACCCACACCCATCATCACACACTTTCGGCCCCCTCTACCATTCCTGCTCTGTCATTGCCAAGTCTTACTCCTTGAGTAATACGATGAACACACAGGAATCTAAAACAGTTAGTAGTGATGTAGGGCCCGGCCAAAACGAGGCTATGTACTGACGTTCCGAATGTCTCAGGCCGGTTCGGCCCATCGGCCTGACCATCTATACAAAGGAAGGCGAGCTTCACTGCCCCTGAACATCGTAGTCGTAGGATGCGGTCTGGGAGGTCTCGCTGCTGCATACTGCCTCGCACAGGCAGGTCATAACATCACCATCCTTGAAGCAGCGTCAGCCATCAGTGAGGTGGGCGCTGGCGTTCAAGCCAGTCCCAACGTCTCGCGTCTCTTGATGCGTTGGGGTCTCGGCCCACATCTTGAGGAACACGGTGTCAAAATTCAGGGTATGAACCTTAAACGATGTGAGTTGCATCGAAGTGTTCTGGTGCTCTTGCTTGATGCCAATCTCCAGGGGCCAACGATGAGGTCGTAGGGTGGACGCCGCTCGGGGATGTGATGAATAAGGAATACGGTTCCCCTTTTTACTTCTTACACGTTAGTCCTCTCCTTGTCGTGCCTATTCTTTCTCACGAGGCTAAAACAGCGGGCTGATTTACACCGTATGCTCTATCAAACCGCTGAGCCATACTGTAACATCCGTGTTAATAGCCGCGTTGTATCCGTTGACCCATCGAAACCTAGTGTAACTCTTACTTCTGGGGAGGTCGTATCTGCTGACCTACTCGTTGGTGCGGACGGAATCAAAAGTGTTACTCGGGAGTATGTTGTCGGTGGGCTCGATAAACCCAGGGCTACTGGAGATGCTGCCTACAGAGCCATCATCCCGGCTGAGAAACTCCTACAGGACGATGAGCTTAAACCATTGGTGGAGAGAATGGAATCGAACATATGGATGGGCCCCGGAGGTCACATCATTGGCTATGCTATTGTAAGCCGACTGTTCGGTTAATATGGTTGACATCGGGAGTTAATGCGAAAATTGGACAGCGTGCCAAGAAAGAATTTAACCTCGTCATGATGCACCCTGATGAAGCTGAAGGGGGCGTGGAATCATGGACTGCTGAAGGTAACATGGACAAAATGAAGGAGTACTACAAGGGATGGAGTACTACGTTAGTGACTTCGTTTTGGTCTCTACCTTGTGCTCAGGCTAACTGGTGGTGTGGGACGCAGTGTTCAAAAACTTCTGGCCCTTGTTCCGTCAACGCTCGATTGGAAGCTGATGGACCGAGACCCACTGCCTTCGTGGATTCACAAGGATGGCAAGTTGGTCTTATTGGGCGACTCATGCCACCCAATGCTGGTTTGTTTAAATTCTCGATCAAAATAACGCATACTGAGTGTCATATCCCCCTAGCCGTACCGCGCGCAAGGGTTAGCCATGGCGGTAAGGAGGAGTGTCGACAGTAAACTGAGCGCTGATGTTAGACTTCTCTAGATTGAAGATGCCGCTGTCCTAGGCAACATATTCTCGCATTGCTCGGACCGCTCGCAGATATTGCCTCTCCTCAATGCCTATCAATCTCTCCGGTACGACCGTGCTACCGCAACACAGAAGTCCTCAAGTCTAAACCGGTACATATTTCACAAACCCGACGGGCCAGAGCAAGAGGAGCGTGATCGCGAGATGCGCGCGGCCATGGAAGACGCATTGCGCATTGCGCGCGGTGAGAAGAGCACGCGTGTACTCGCAGGCAATGCGAATCAGTGGGCTGATAAGACGAAGAGCGACATCCAATATGGATACGATGCAGATGAGGAGGCAGAAAAGTGGTGGCTCGCGAATGGGAACAGGCTTATGACCCTCGTTCCTTCAATTGAATTCAAGCCAAGTGTTGTGCATTCTGCAAATCGCGATCACTAATTCCATAGAAAGTCTTTCAGTTATTTATATTGGTTCCATTCTAGACTATTGACTGATGCCAGTGTCGAGTGTGGTGGCCGTTTAGCTCGGCAGTCCTATCCTACACTGGTGCTGTATGTTGAATTCCGATTCAAGCCCCTATCCATGTCTGCCATTTTGCGTGCGACGCTAGCCTTATTCGTGTCCACTCCGAATCCTTGTGATATTGATATTCCCGCTACCTTCAGGGAACTAGGTATTTATCAAAATGTAAAAAACACTGGTTTTGCATGCCGGATACACGTAGTGACATTTCCCATGTTTCAGTTTGGAAATTTAAACTGGATATGTATAGTGGTATTGGATGACTTCCCGCAGCATTCGAACGTCGTTCTAACTATACATTTAGTTCTAAAGTCCTCGTGCCAACGTCAAACGTCAGTGATCTGCAAGTTCGCATGTCGAAAATACCCAGTTCTAAAGAACTTGATATCTATTCCATCCTCCTCCCCCCGGTGTTTAAAACACAAGCCTTTCAGACTCCGTAACTATATTGTAAGCGTCGCCTATACATGCCCATCTAGATACAATTGACCTGCAGTTTGGAAAGCATTTTTAGATTGCGACAAGGTGTGAGACGATACACTGACTTTTAAGGTTAATCCAGGGTTCTAAATGCTGCGGAAAGTCGCAACGATGGGAACGGCTGCGCACTCATGTATCGTCCAACGTCAGTGTGAACTACTGATATATCTGGTATATACCTTTTTTTTTTGCATCCGATTGAGCCCTCGTATATACTTTTCGTTCGGTGATTCTGAGTCACCGAGCAACTTTTTTTTAATTCTAAAAAGTCATTTTATTGTCCTTCGGGGTCGAAGACCCTATGTATGACATAGCCCTGTTCGCGGGGGGCTTAGTCCCGCTTGTACTATCGTATGACCAAGCAACTTTATAAATGCAATACTCGTTGTCCTCTTGAGTCGAGTCTCGATGTATCGCCATCATGATGAGCTCCATCAAATTTTCCATTATGCCGTCCGTGTGCGCTCATAATGCATGGGTGTTTTCACCTTCTCTCTGTCCTCCCCGACAAGGCATATCATATGCTCCTGAGACGAGCTCCTATATCCGACTGGATGTTTGAATGCTCTGCCGTTGCTGCTAGTGCATTCAATTATTTCATCTATTTCATTACGCTCGGATGTTCAAAGTGTACTCCTTCGCACATGCACCCCTACTAAAAACGGTAGAACATCGTGTATATCATCGACGGTATCCTTTGAAAGGTGGCAAACCGGGGCAACGATCGAGAAAAGCCGCGGAAAATTTGCTGTTGGACAATATGCTACATGTGTGACGAGAATGAGCGCATTTCAATAGACAGGTTCTGATGATTGATTGAGATGGATGTGACTTTCAGAAAGCGCGACTTAAGGGGTTGAATTTACAAGTATGCGGAAGATGCTTGAGCACCGTGACATTCCATTCCTTTGAGAGGTTTGTCCGATGAAGGGCCACCGCCAAGTTTACATCATCGGAGAGTTTGGACAATTTATGTTCGTAACCCAATCAACTCGCGCAAGTTGGTTTCACTTGGTCAGATGAGATTGTAAGTGCGTTAAGAAATCGAGAGTGATGAATAAGAATAACTTACAGTGAATAAACAGTGAACAAGCTTGGTGGAATCATCACCTACAACGTATGAATGGTGAAGTTCTCGGCATCGCGTTCTCTTTGAATCATCTTCTCGAACGCCCGTAAGTTATGGATGATAATTGATAAATTTGCGAGGAAAGGCTGAAGCCATCGTGGGGCGCGAAGATGAATTCTCATGGACAGAGTATCACATAAAAAGGAGGTTTCGGCGTAATGACTGGACCTAGTTAAGATGGACCTCCGAGGATGGATACACCGCAAACATGATGTCAGTAGGTTTCGAACCAACTCCAAGAGGAACAGATTTTGACTCCGTTGTAGTAACCACTTGGCTAAGACCAGTTAGATGGATCTCTGAAGAAATCATCCACGAGTCAATGTCAAGGTGTGTTCCGATGGAAAAAGACTTGTCACCCGGCGGGTTTTGAACCTGCAGAGTTGAAGTGAAACAGATTTTGATTCTGTCGTGGTAGCCACTTAGTGAAGACCAGTTAAGATGCACATCCGACGAAACCATCCATGGGCGAATATCGAAGTGTGGTCCAATAGGGAACAGAAACCTTGTCATCGGCAGGTTTGACAGACTTTAAACCTGGCTATAAGACTAGTTAAGATGGACCTCCAAAGAAACCATTCATAAGCGAATTTTCAAGGCGTGTTCGACAAGAAAAAACCTTATCATCCGCAGGTTTCGAACCTGCGGGCACAGTGCAAGAGACAGATTTAGATTCTGTTGTGGCAACCCCCTTGGCCAGGACAAAGTTAAGATCTGGAACCTCCGAGGAAATCATCCATGAGTGAATCTTGTTTCTGATAAACAAAAAAGCCTGTTGTTCGGCAAGTTTCGAACCTGCATAGTCCCAGAGAAACAGATTTTGATTCTGTTGTAATAACCATTTGACTCAAACCATTGAGCTGAACCCCGACGAAATCATCCATGAGCGAATGTCAAGGCGTGTTTGAGAAAGAAAAAACCGATCGTCGGCAGGTTTCGAACCTATGCGGCAGGCTAAGAGAAACAGATTTCGATTCTGTTGCGGTAATCACTTTGGCTAGGATGCTTCGTAGTTGACGAACTCCCGAGGAAATCGTCGAACTTGCATAGTCCAAGAGAAACAGATTTTGATTCTCTTGTGATAACCATTTGGCTCAGACCATTGAGATGAAACCCCGACGAAATCATCCATGAGTGAACGTCAAGGTGTGTTCAAAAAGGAAAAACTTATCGTCGGCAGGTTTCGAACCTATGCGGCAGGCTAAGAGAAACAGATTTCGATTCTGTTGCGGTAATCACTTTGGTTAGGACGCTTCGTATGTTGAGATGAACCTCCGAAGAACTGTCCATGAGCAAATGTTAAGATTTGTCGGTAGCCTGCAGGCACCACCCAAGATTTCTAATCTGTTCTGGTGGCAATCGGCTATGGCTACTACTTAAGATAGACCTGGAAGGAAGGATCCATCCATGAGTGCTGGTGAATGTTCAAGGCGTGGTAAAAGGAAAAAAGGTTTTTGAGTAGTAGGTTTCCAACCTGCAAGTTTCTGTCCTGTGCCGCTTACCACTTGACTAAGACTGATCAAGATGGCTGTCTGTAGTACGCACTGACAGTAGGATTAGCAGTCAACTCGACGCAAAGTAGCCAGTTTGATGGACACAAAGCATGCCAAGTAAGCGCCGGTGCCGTTACGTTCCTAATAGATATTAATTCTCACAATGTCAAAAAGTGGGAACATACAGCCACAACTTATGGGCTGATATTAATATTGACCTCATGGTACAAGGTAGTGCCCTTCGACCAAAGAACACCGGCCGTGCCTATGGCCACACCACGCTGTGCACCGCAAGGTTTAGTTCAAAGTCCGACGATTATCTAAGGGCCGAGGGGAGACAGGGTTGCATTTTACTTGTGGGTCTCTCAGTGCTTTCATAGCTGCGTAGTATTACGACATGCGACACAAACTTTTAACAAACTTTTCAATAACACCGACGTTGTCCACTTTATATCCAATCAGAGTCAAATCCGCCGGACGGTTCTTCAAATCCTGATAACAAATCATTTGAAATTTGATAATGAACCCTGTCAGGGTACTACAAACAGACTTTTATCACGGCAGCGGCGACCTTGAACCTCAACTTGAAGGAAGCTGGGCCAGCGACTGCGAAGGCATAGTAAGTCTCCGCCTCCATTTCGAAGGGCCGATGCTCAGATCAGACAGTACTCCTGAAGAGGCAGAATCTACTGCCAAGGGAAGAGAAACGACTAGCCAGCGAAGACTGACGCGAATTGAACTAATATGACCTGATCTGAGTATTTTAATAGTCTACTGAGGGGAACCGACTCGGTGACGATATACCGGCAGAATAGTATATCCTCCTTCACAGCCTATAACAATCTTCCACACACGTACACCTCAGTCCCCCTTCTATCATCCCTGATCCTTCAAGCCCTTGTGTGATATGGACGCTAAGGAATCTCAAACAGTTAGTGACAATGCAGGACCGATCAACACTGGACTATGCACTGACCTGCTGAATGTCTCAGGCTGACCATCTATACAATGGAAGGCGAGCTTCCCTACCCCTAGACATCGTAGTCATAGGATGTGGCCTGGGAGGTCTCGCCGCTGCATACTGCCTCGCACAGGCAGGTCACAAAGTCACCATCCTTGAAGCAGCGCCCGCCATCGGTGACGTGGGCGCTGGCATTCAAGCCAGTCCCAACGTCTCGCGTCTCTTAAAGCGTTGGGGTCTCGGCCCACAGCTCGAGGAACTTGGTGTTAAACCACAGAATTTGAGCATTAGACGGTGTGAGTTGCGATTAAATGTCGTGGCGTTCTTGATTAACGTTGATCTCCAGGGAAGAATGATGAGGTCGTGGGCTTCACGCTATTCGGGGAGGCGTTCGTTAAGGCATACGGTTCCCCTTATTACCACATACACGTTGAGTCTTCTCCCTGATGCATCGATTTCACCTGACCAAGTCAAATCAGCGAGCTGATTTCCACCGTATGCTCTATGTGGCAGTTGAACCACACTGTAACATACGTGTCAATTGTCGTGTTGTATCTGTGGACCCGTCAAAACCTAGTGTGACTCTTGCATCTGGGGAAGTCGTATCTGCTGACGTACTCATTGGCGCCGACGGGCTCAAAAGTATTACTCGGGAGTATGTTGTCGGTGGGCCCGATGAACCCAGGGTTACTGGAGATGCTGCTTACAGAGCCCTGATCCCGACCGAGAAGCTCCTGCAGGATGATGATCTGAAATCACTGGTGGAGAATACGGAATCAATTATATGGATGGGCCCTAGAGGTCATATCGTCGGCTATAATATTGTAAGCAGTTCGGTCAAACATAGTCAATGATGGGAGCTAATACGAGAGCTACACAGCGTGCCAAGAAAGAGTATAACCTCGTCATGATGCACCCTGATGAAGCTGAAGAGGGCGTGGAATCGTGGACTGCTAAAGGTAATGTGGAAAGAATGAAAGAGAGTTACAAAGGGTGGAACATTGTGTCAGTGACTCCATTTTGTTGGGCCCATCGTGTTACGCTAACTGGTGACACGGGACGCAGTATCCAAAAGCTTCTAGCACTTGTTCCGTCAACGCTCGATTGGAAATTGATGGACCGAGACCCACTACCTTCTTGGATTCACAAGGATGGCAAGTTGGCCTTGTTGGGTGACTCATGCCACCCAATGCTGGTTTGTGTGAATTCTTGATCAAAATAGCGTATGCTGAGTGTCATATCCCCCTAGCCGTACCGCGCGCAAGGGTCAGCCATGGCGGTAAGGAGGAGTGTCAACAGCAAACCAAGTGCTGACATAGACTTCTCTAGATTGAAGATGCCGCTGTCCTAGGCAACATATTCTCGCACTGCTCGGATCGTTCGCAGATTACGCCGCTGCTCTATGCCTACCAAGCTCTCCGGTACGACCGTGCTACCGCAACACAGAGGTCCTCAAGTCTAAACCGTGACATCTTCCACCATCCCGACGGGCCAGAACAAGAAGCTCGTGATCGCGAGATGCGCGCGGCCATGGAGGACACGTTCCGCGTCGCGCGCGGCGAGGAGAGCACCTCTGTGCTAGCAGGCAATGCAAACCAGTGGGCTGATAAGACGAAGAGCGACATCCAATATGGATACGATGCGGATGAGGAGGCAGAAAAGTGGTGGCTCGCGAACGGGGATAACTTGATGAGCTTCGTCCCTAGATCCGAGGCGGTGAATTAAACTTGTGGCTGCGCGAAGTTCTGTAACTTGTACTAGAATGTATGAATGTGTAGTTAGAGAATGTGTCATTTGACAAGTACGTGACATTGAGTTCGATGGTCTCTGGTTTGACGTTAGCGGGAGGCTCAAACACGTACGCACCGATCCGTGGGAACCCTCTGGAGAAACTGTACAGTTGCAATGTTGATGCAACGACGCGCCGATGAATATTATGAATGCGTGATGGATCCATATAGCCTGTGGTAGTCTGTGTCGTCTCGAAAGTTGTTTGACGTCCTTTCAAATTCGGTTTCTCTCGGGTCCGGTATCTTTATTTTATTAACAATCTTCATATTCAGAATGATATTGCGTCTCTCAAAACACCTCATGGCCAGCACATCTCCTCGAATCTTTGGCGCTACAGATTGCCCACCTCACAACATCCTTCGCGATATACAAACATGTCTTATTCTACAATAAATTGTACCACCCGCGATATCATGAATCTGCGTATGCAATAGCTGTTGTTGGTTACAACTGTCAACGGTCACTCACCTCACAGTAACTGCTTGTGTTTTACATGTGGTCCCCTGTCGCCGTAGTATTTGATAGGGTATGTCTATCTGTTCATGTGGACGATATCAATGACTTTCACTCGCGCGCATTTCGAGTCTACTACGTATGATATTCAAACGGTTTAAGATTTGTCAAGAGGCGGTACTCCCTTCCCAATTGCTGCCTCGTGCATTATGTCTAGACTATCGATGGTTTTCTTGCATGGATGCTTGCTACGCACACACAATATTTGTCTGTGTCTATTCTGCGTGGTGTAAGTGTTGCACTACGAGTTAGAACTAAAAGATCAGATGTGCGAGATAAGGAATATAGTGTCCATCTGTCAATGTAATCGTGCACATGTCTGACTTCACTTTTTGAACGCACAGAGCTTGTAAGCATGTCGGACGATGCCATATCCTCCTCAAGAGTCAATCCAAGCATCACTATGTCTTAATAGAACCCATGGTGTGAGCAGAGTCACCAGATCGAACATAACTCCATGCTCATTCTGAGGCCTTGGTAATAGAGTTAAACTGATATGCACAAGCTCGCAAAGCACTTGAGGTGAGAGTGTTTGAAACTTTCTTTCCAGGATCGTAATATTTCCAGTCTTCCTTCGTCCGTGTCGGAGTGCTGCATGTGGAAGAGTAACGCAGGTAACTACATGGAGCTTGTCACAGTAGAAAGTTCGTAATGTTATCTATGATGAAAAGAGCATTTCGTCTATTGCCGGGACTAATACTAGCGGATCTTCAATGTACGATTATGATCCGTCTCGGACCTCGGTGGTTTAGTTCCTGGCTTTCGATCCTATGTGTTCTACCACCGCAGTATAATCTACTTGGTTCTTTCCTTCTGGAACTTCGCTGGAACTCTCAAATCTAGCTTAGGGTGTCGCCGCCAGAACCACAGATTCCTTACTTTGGACGATAGGACATATTGAACAGCTTTGGTCTGCGGCGTATCTTGCGCACTTGGTTAGATGGAGGTCACCTTGATTCTGATGGAGTTGTGGAGTATGCATAACTCGCTGGTTAGTGTTCAGGCCTCAAGGCTACATCTGTCACTTGTTAATCAGTAGAAATTACACTAGTAAATTCTTAAAATTGATTCGAGTGCATTGTCACTGAAGTTCAAAGAGCAATTCGGCTTTTCACGAATGTAACCGCCTGTAACATGGATGTCATGATATACGGTATCGTCTTTCACAAGATTACGGCGGTGCATCTATTCACTAGAGATTTGAATAAATTAAATCAAATTAATTTGAGACATAGAAGAGGGATCGCACAGAGATGGCTAAAACAGTTGATTAATGAAACCTTTTAACTCGTATACATGTATGTCTAGACCTTAGATCTACGAAGAACATAAATCTAAACTTTAAAATCAATATATTCTATAGCACGCACCATCTACCATTCTTGATCGTGCATATAACTATCAATGAGCAGCGGCATGTGCGGAGGAAGTGCAGACAATCTGCAATACATAGCGGCGGGTATAAACGAGAGAATGAGGGACGACGGTGCAAATGAGTAAGGACAAACAAATATAAGTGACGGCAGATGCAGATGCTCGAGGAGGGACGAGCAACAATGTGTGGCAGCTGGTGTAAATGAACGGGGACAAGCCCAGGCAAGTTTGAATAAGTGGAAATGCACACAGACGAGTGAAAGCGAATCCGAAGAGAACACAGGGACAGGCGCCCCACCAGAGCAGTACAGATGTGCGGTACACATGTACTGGCAGGACAACGGTGAGGGAGGAAACAAAGTTCCACACAGTTACTATCACCCTGCTGCAGAAACACCATTATCACGCATATAATACTTACATGGATTGATGTGCTCGCCAAAAAATTATGGCCCGCTAACGCACGTCACGCCGTCATCGAAATCCATGTTAGGTATGAGGAGTGAAAGGCGGGAAGCAATAGAGATGGTGGCAACCGTTCAGACCACCTTGCGGAAACCGGATATATATATATAGAATATTACTGACTGGCCGCGGCAAGGAATTGCCAGACGGGCTGGTCAAGAATACGGCAGTGGAACTGCTATGGACTTGGAGGGGTTGGACAGCAAAGCGAATTGAGGGAAATAAGAACACGAAATGAGCATCAAAAGCTGTAAAAGCTGTAAAATTATGTACCATATTTATGTCTTCCTCGGGCATTTGTGTTTTCGGAGAGTCTTGTGTGGGTGGCGAGGGCTGTCGATAAATGCTTCGAGGAGATTAGTAACGTCGTCGAAGGTGATCAGGGCATTCCGTTAGTACAAATTTTCAAACACCTATCTCATATATAGTTGGACCACCAACAAATTGCCAAGATTGCAAGGTAATTTGCTGGTTTGGGAGGTCGGAGGCCTACGCTGCATGATATCTTGTCGCAACGATAGGAGTCATTCACCTTGCATGCATTTGATGCTTATCTAAAGTCGAAGTTTGTTGCATTACGACGAGTAGCGTGGCGCTCAAAACTTGTGATGCCCAGCTTGATCGTCACAGAGCTTGATCATCATAGGCGTATTAACGTGAGTGAGTCTGAGACAGCCTGAGACTAGTAGTGGAGACTCCCTGAGAGAAAGTCAAGCGTAAGCTCGTCTTAGTCAGCAGCTGGGCCTTACGCTATGGAGTCCGTGGGAGCTCTCACTTGCAACTCACCTGAATGCTCAATATGTTGTCCATCGCAAAATCTGCTCTGCGGCCCTCTCTGGCTCGTGCGTTCGCCGCTCCCGCGACCAGAATGTCTCTCCACACTCTTCCGGACCTGCCTTATGCTTACAATGTTAGTGTCTTTTCATATACGAGCACGGAGGATGCACCTGAAGCTTAATGGTTTAGGCCCTTGAGCCATACATCTCCGAGGCAATAATGAAACTCCATCACACTAAACATCATCAGACCTATGTCAATGGACTTAATGCTGCAGAGCAATCTTATGCGCAGTCACCTTCCGTCAGGGAGAAGATTGCCTTACAGTCAGCATTGAAATTCAACGGCGGCGGTAGGGTTCAAGGCTTCTTATTTTGAAAGCTTGACTTCATACCGTCTAGGCCACATCAACCATTCGTTGTTTTGGAAGAATCTTTCGCCCGCCAATGCTGACGGTGGCAACCTTTCCGACGGTCCTCTGAAAAAAGCCATCGAACGTGACTTCGGATCTGTGGAAGAATTTAAGAAAAAGTTCAATGCTGCCACAGCAGCTATCCAGGGCAGTGGATGGGGATGGCTCGTAAGATATCTTACAGGTCGCATGATTCATATTGTTGACATTGACGTGCAAAGGGCTACAACTCTACCACCGACATGCTTGAGATCGTCACGACCGCCAACCAAGATCCCTTACTTTGTACGTGGACACCGAAGTCTGACTGGATATCCCCTGACCTATTTACGCAGCTCATACACCCATTATCGGCGTTGACATTTGGGAGCATGTAAGTGTGACTAGTCATTAACCTATGACAGTACACTGACGTCATCCGTTCACAGGCTTTTTACTTACAGGTATGCAATGATCTGGCAAATAATTGTTTTATCTTTCATATTCACTTTTCTCCTTTCACAGTACCAAAATGTCAAGGTAGATGTATGTGTCCCTTTCTTTGTTCGAGGATTACGGCTGACATGCATGTAGTACCTCACTGCAATTTGGAACGTCATCAACTTCAAAGAGGCAGAGCAAAGGTTGGCCGAGGCCGCCAAGTAGCCCACTTGGTTTTTTTGCGTCGTTGCATAGTAAACTTTTGTCGCACAATGTGATACGTTCTTATGATGTTTGTTTGAACCATACGTTGAAGTTGCAGTTAAGTGCCAGTCTACATATGTTGTCCACTTTCACCGTATTACCTGCAACGACCTCCAGCTTTTTTCGACCACCAATGGAATACAACCCTTCCGTAGGAAACGGATTATACGGCAGTTCTCCTGGAAACTGTAATCAAGGTATATTTCAGGTGAATTTCATGACAGCTGCTTGTGCAGATTCCCCGATGAAGAATTGGCAAGTTCAAGGTGTTCCAGACGATAACGGAGAATTTTCAGGGTAGGGAATTGGCCCCGTCAGAACATCTGCGATGTTGCGCATTCTCAGAATGCCTATGCTGCAACTGCCTAGTACGGAACGGGCTAATCATATATCGAGCACTGCGCCTACTCGGTGTTCATTGTGTTGTCCTGCTGTGGGCGTTTACACAGTTCGTTTGTTATGATTTACGCAACTTCGGTCCAACCCGAGGTTCGACAGATCAACTAGCCCGATAGTTATGTGAGTGCTCTGCAGGGTCATGGCTGGGACGGGCCCCGCCCAAAATTTAACAGTAAGTCTTGGAGCCTTCTCGGACCCTTTCTGCAAACGATTGAAAATACCCGAGGACTCTTGACCATTGACATCCTTCGTCATTTGGTTACAAGTTGCCCAAGCAGGCATGCACTCTGGCGGAAATTAGGACCTTGAGGTTTGATGGATATTGTCCACGAATGACAGGGCACTTTATTCATCAGCTAATAATCTCAAATACAGCATTAGTCGACATCAATTACTTCCTGCTAATCCTTGCGGCCGATCGTCAATAATTTCTGGACAGAGTAGGTGCCTTATCCCCACGTCCATGTCCGGCAAGAAAACTAGGCCGCCGGTCCCGAAAATCATGCATGTATGCGATATACATTCTTCGAGAGCAGGTCATCTGCGTGGTGAATATAGGTGACTTCCAGTAACCTCTTCCATGCCGAGGTATTTTGGTACCCGGGCTTATTTAAAATGGCATGCTAAAGCGTACTAGATGGGCCGAATATAAAGTTTTCATTTCTCAATCTGCCTGATATGACTGACGTCGTTATAGAGGCCCTGACATGCCCTGACGTGCTCACAGCTTTTCCTTCATTATTATGTTTCCTTTCATTCTCAATATAGATGACACATAGAACCTCATTGGTGAGCTAAGTATCACTGTCCATCGAACATGAGACTGACACCGCTGCACCGCAGGATAGGCTCACTTCTACCACTATGTATGTATATTGCTGCAGGTGACCGAAAGTCGTTCTGTCAGGGACATCCTTCTTTCAATTTCCCCAAGGCCCGTTGCCGGTTAAGTAGTAATATACCTTGTCATGGTATGCGAGGCAGCGGGGGTGGCGCGATCCACGCCCAGCCAATACCGGGCTGATCGCAGATATATGATGATAAAACGTTCCCAAACACCTGACACTAGAATACAAGCTCGTATCTTGTTGCATTATTGAGAAGTGGGACTGAGCACAAGGAAAGGATTCTGATAGCGTCGGAACGCACCAAATGCATAGCCGGCTAGACCGTCGTCAATGAACCGTATCATCACTAACTGATGGTGGCGAAACCCGCTAAGATCATTGAGATAGATTGGTTGGATCATGATTGATCTGCCGGACTCATCGCGCGTTATTTTATCGTGTTCCAGTGCTCAGCACTAACCGGCAGATAGCGTGTTGAATCCCGAAACATGATCAAGTAATGGACCCAAGTTAAAGTTGGTTGGGCATTCGACTTTGTACTAGTAAGTTGCTGTGTGTTAGTGGACACACAAACACTTTGACTGGCCATGCATCATGGTTTCAGGTAAGATGTCCATACGTGTGATGTGGCGGCAAGTGGGCGATGTGTTGCTACTTGTTCTCACAGCTCAGCGCTCGGGAGTTCAACGCTTTGTTTCACGAGATTCAGCTCCTCGGTAATATTAGATTGGGCAACGTTCTCGATATTTAATCGCGGAGAAATGGTGTTTGTACACTATAGAAGGAAGTCTTTCCAGGCCGAAAATCGTCGAAGAAGGGCTTGACCGGATCGGATATGATTTCATATTTCAGTTGCTCAGAGTTCTTCCCGAACTTTCCGCAGTGCTCTTGGCCACAAGTGGTTCGCTGGGCGACGACACCGAAGCAGATGAATGTGGTAAAAACACCTTATTTCCATGAGCGTTTGAACTAATAGATTCATAGATCTGCGGCAGAGACTAAAACATTTCGAGGAAAGGGAGCCTTCATACCGCACACAGACCAACGTTCATTGCTGCTGGCAACTGGACACGCGGTATGCATGCAGACAAACCCCTATGCCGTCTCTAGTACCCTCGATATGAGACCCGTGTCTGGCGGGATACGATGCACATCGTTCGAGCTGAAAATGAACGGATCAAATAACGATAAAACAGAGATGTAAAGGCTAGAAGGGGCAAAAGCATACAACATATTCACGCCGCCAGTCGTTACCGGTCACCCACCGATCGGGATGATGTGGAAGAGGACCAAACGCAGCTTAGTTTGATCACTCTGCTACGGAAGATCTTTACTGACCAGGGCGATGACAGTCGGAATCGGCAAAGGTGTCGAGGTCATCATCAATCTGTATTTTGCTGCCCTGACCCAAAAGACAAGGTGACCATACGGATTTGGCACAGATCGATCTCTGTCCGAGACCCCGAGTCTCGAATCCTGACGCTCGTAATAATCATATCTAATCCTTGTACTCGGGCATCGTCATAGATGACGGCAGGCAGGCCAACTAGTAAGTACCGACGGATGCAAAGCGTGTGTACCCCACATTTTTGGAATCTAAAAATTCAATGCAGCTTGCAGCCTAGAGTGATAATATTATTATCCGTATACATGCGTGGTGCACCGGCGCGCTGTTACACTGGGTCTGTTAGCGACGAGATATTTGGTGCGGCAGGGAGGTCCGACTGGCCGCCGACCGAGCTTCATGTATATTCCGGTATATTTGCCCAGTGGGAAATCGGCATTCGGAACAATGGTTCGATTGGTACAGTCACAGCAACTTCCGAAGACGAGTCTCGACGTTATGGACCTCTGAGATCAGAGTGCTTCGTCGTCTGGTATTAGTGTGAAGATTGCACTACTAGTACTTGTTCACCGAAAAGAAGGCTCTAAAACCACGCTGGCGGCACGTTGCTGCCTCGTGTTCTTCTCATGCCGTTCACACATCGTTAATGAAAGTCTGGTCGGTTGGCGCTGTCCCTTGTCTTTCTCGCTATAATGCGGCGCAAAGCACAACCGAGCACTTGTCAGCATCCGCGCTTCAAGTTGCAGAAGTCGGACCCACACTTCTATTCCCGTCACCAACCCTTAGATCTAGATTCCTTGCCAGGTGACAACACTACACAATGCGAAGGAGAGTCAGGTCGCCGATCTCCTTTAATCCATCAAGGAGATCAAAGAATGAGATAAAGCATCTTGCATTACAAGACAACGTGAACCTAGACGTCCCGGGTCAAACGTCGTAGACATTTTCGGTGAGTCGTTCCGTGCCCCTCGCAATCAAAGATATCTCAGAATTTCCTCATCCATCCTCGTTTGAGCACCACTCAAACCAGTTAGAACCAGCTGACATGTCAGCAGGCTTTACACTCTTCTTATCTCCAAGACACCGACCAGTTGCCGATTTTCGAAATCAATCAAGGGTGCCAATGGGTCATCCTTCACGTGTATATGTTTCGTGATATACTAGCGACGATGATGCATGTGGGCGTCGCCTCCTCAATTTATGTCTTTTTTATACACTTTCGTTTAAGTCCAGCTTCGGATAGGACTGATGAAGACCCCTCCCTTTCAGTTTTAAATAAGAAGGGCCAGATCTTCTCTCCTCCTCCATTGTAACCCAAGCACCCATTCTCAGCAAGTCTGAGCTGTATATTCTGTGCAACACTGTTCCCATAATCATCATGCAACGATACGAATCCCTTCCGCCGCAATTTTACCTTCAGGATCTGGCCGCCATCACTGGCCGGGTCTGCGAGCTCAGAGTCAATCCCCACCAGGCCGAGGCCGACCGTGCAGCGCGTTCATGGTTTAACCAGTGTGTATCATTCGCTGTCCATGACTTATACTTTGCTCTAACACAAAATTTTAGAATAAGTGTGTACAACGATAGGAACAAGTCAAAGTTCCTCAACTACGGCAAATTCGATCTCTTTGCTGCATTAAGCTTTCCAGATGCTGACTCCATGCATCTTGAGACTTGTATCATGTTCTTTTTTTGGGCTTTTTCGGTGCACAAGCTAGTCGTGATTCATGTAGTTCTATCAACTCACATTCTGAATTTTAGACCGACGATCTTTCTGATGAAGGCGACCTCCAGTCAAAACCTGACGCAGTGCAAGCTGGACACGACATCTCCGTTAGTGTTTACACAAACCCAGACAGTTCCCGCCCACAATATCCATATGCTGCAATGCTGTACGAGTATGTGTTCTTGTTGCTAGAACCTGTGACGTAACTGATGCGTGTTATCTAGCTTGCTAACGCGATTTCGTGGGACATCTACCGTTGGAGCCTACCATCGGCAAGTCAACGCTGTAATTTAAGGACTTGTATTCTGATGCGGAAGCCCGTTCAGGTTCATTAGGGCATTTGAGGCATGGAGTAGCTCTCAAGTAACACAATCTCGCAACCGTTCTCAAGATCGAATGCCCTCGGTTGACGAATTCGTTCTCATGCGTCGTGCGACTATCGGCGGCGCTCTTGTTGAAGGTGAGAATATTTCGCATCCCCCTCGGTCTTACATGTTGCTGAAAGTGTCACTTTAGCTATGATCGAGTATTCTCTTGACCTGGATCTTCCAGACGTTGTCTTTGAAAGTCCCATCATCAAAGCGATGTCAGACGCGACAACCGACCTTATGACATGGCCAAACGTTTGTTATTCATTCATTTGATCTTTTGACTTCCAGGCTCACACTTCCTCTTGGAACAGGACCTTTGTTCTTTTAATGTGAGGAAAACTATATTGACCACTAGATCATACTGACTTGTTTATCCCTCTTCAGAAAGAGCAAGCTGACGGCGATTACCAAAACCTTGTCTTCTGTATCATGCATGAACGCGATGTCGGCTTGCAGGAAGCCATTAACATCCTCACCGACATGTTAAATCAACGCGTGGATGACTATATTAAGTTCAAGAGCCAGCTTCCATCGTTCGGTGCCGACGTGGATGCCGAGCTGGAAAGATACCTTCATGCGCTGGAAAACTTCGTGCAGGGGACCGTTCTGTGGTATTACCTCAGCCCGAGTAAGTGCCGAGTCTCACCTTCTTGACAGCAAGCTTGACACGGTCTGTTGTACAGGGTACTTCCGCGGCGTTGATGTCACAAATCGCGAGAACCTCGTTGTGCCACTTTTCGAGAAAGGTGCATTCTAATGCATGGCGTTCTGTGATATCTTGTTTTATTTTGTAAATAATTGCTTATTACGCGGAGTTTTTGATGACACATCTAATGTTGTTGTTGTACTAAGTACTATACGTATCCTGGAACTAGCACTCAATTAATGGCCTGTTTGTTTATGTTCAGTGGCCAGTCTGAAGTCTAGACGTTTTATGAGCCAATATATCGCATAAATGTTGTTGCATGACTGCACGGCAGCTGCCAAATGTTGCTGTCAACTACCACAGTACCGCATCTGGAACACCATTTCAAGGTTGAATCTTCATAATCTAATCATCGCCAAGAAATGACTGTGACGGTATTAGAAGAGAACTGTCATCGTCGTACCACTTCCACGATATCTCGCACTTGAGCTGCCCAAATCTCACTGAACATTAAAGGACATGGCATCAATTGGTCATGTGGTTCGGTTGGCGATTTAAGCAGAACAACTCGGTTACACTGAATCAGACTAGTAACTAAGGATATGATATCAACTGAGTAAGTGCTAGCTAGTAGCAGCTAACACCGTGACCGAATATCTGATCGAGGATAACGTACTACTGATCTGAGTTATGTCATGACTTCTGCCGCGTGATAATTCTGTCAGTTCTGGGGTCTTTGAGCTGTTCTTGAGGATCTAAAAGGGACTGCTTAATGCAAGCTCATAGTATGTAAAAGACTGGCAGGCAAGGGCCTGGCGTAGCTGATATATCTACTTCTGTGAATTGGTCATTCAAAAATATTACCTTTCTCCTGCTAGACCTGGGAAGTTTTCTGAGAGTTCACCCTTAAGCTTTCGGTCTCCCCAACGCTCACGCGACTCGGCAGGTGATTGAGAAATATGGCGTCTCTTGGTATGTATCACACTCTCACTTTCATTACCGCATCGGCCAACTTAGCGGGTCTGAGGTCTCCGTTTTCTAGTCCCAGAAAACTAGTCCTGACCACTAATGGATGACATCGATGACTTCCCGCAGCGATAAGAACAGTGTTCTAGATGAGTCTCAGTGTCAACATGCCGCTGTCTTTTGCAAGTCCGCACGTACAAACTGACCCAATGACTGAGTTTTAGATTGATATCTAGAAGAGTGCTTTTCTTGCTTGTCGGCGTTCACGGCGTCGCGCGATTCTTCGGCTCCTGAAAAATGACTGCACCAAGTGCAGCAGCTATCTGTGCCTCCAGAACTCGATTTCGTCGTCCTCCACCGGTTCAAGCAGTTTGATATAGCTGGTGTAGATCCGTGTCGTCGTCGTCGTCCATGATCAAGGTTTAGAACATGTACGTAGAATCTAGATATAATTGGTCTGCGGCTTGGAACATGTCCTATATGTTGATGCCTACTGTCTCCGACGAACAAGGTTTGAAACAATATCTAGGATTCTAAACGCTGCTCCATCGAATAGTCATATTGTTGCGTCCACTGATGTGGCATTCTTGTATAAAAAGGGGCCTGCCATCTTCATCGTCTGATAAGGGTCGGAGATCGTTCTCCAGCAGAAAAATGTCATAGTTCAAATTTCTTTCACACAGCCAGGCAAAAATTATGTCCGTCCAGGATGACATTCTTATGGCATCTACAGAACCACGTTATATTGCTCGCGCTCAGTGTCCTGAAAACGATTCTGTATCGGGTTCAGTGTACTGTCTAAAGCGGTGTCTCAAGTGAGTCTCCAATCCATCCCCCCAGGGTTTTTCCTCCCATCTACTCTCTCTTTCAAAGCACTGATTTTCTAATAAATCAAGATGATCGAGGGGTTTAAGTTGCCAAGGCTCAAGTTCAGGAGCCAGTCAGCAGATTTCTTGCCGGTCAGTAGTACATCCTCTGGTACTTCCCCCCAGTAATTACTGGGTCCCAGACACCCTGATGCTACTTAGCCATTGCGATGTGTACAGCTTGGGTATATTGGTACCTCAGTAGAAGGATGAACGAATTAGACCACAACTCAAGGTGCAAGAATAGAGCGATGTGATAAGTGTTGGACTTGCCAGTGGTTTATTCAACAAACATAGATCCTGAGTTCAGACGGGCCCCCGTATTCTCCCCTAAATGCGACCTGAGACAAATCTCATCGCATGTCTTACCTGCGAAATACTCGAGAACAGCCTAGGTTCCACGACCATGCAGAGATGTACTACTGTGCGATAGTTAGTACACTCACATCATGACGATTGTCTGGAGAAGTCGTCTGCAACTGATCGAGATGGAGGGCCAGGCACACACGGGTATAAAATTGCGGTTAGAGCCCCTCGTCTCATCAGAAAATAAGTGCTCGTGCCGAAGGACCCCAAGGAGAGATAGTTTCGCCCGAGATTTCGTCAAACGAGCACGATTTGAATTTGGAGGCAGCTTCTCCGTCAGACCGTTTTCCAAACTCCGCTAGGCCGACCTTCGCAGCTGACGAATCACCAATGTCTTCCGGTTGGAGCCGAGTAAGGTGTCACGTGGGTAATATACTTGGCGTGGGGTAGTCGCACTAGTGTAGTACTAGTACTTGTGCTGAAGCAAGCGATCCATCATGACCTCCAAACGCAACTACTTTGGTCAAGGCTCTGTCGTGGTTGACACTGAGGATGGCAATCCAGTTCGACGCCTGGCAATTACTTCTGACAACCTCGTAACTCAACCATTCGAGGGCATCGACATCATTCCCGATGTCATCGACTACGCCGCCCGAACACATGGCATGAAAGATGCTGTGGGCTGGCGTGATATTATCGATATCCACGAGGAGCAGAAGGAAGTAAAGAAGATGGTTAATGGAAAGGAAATCACTGAGAAGAAGACCTGGAAGTATTTCCAGCTCAGTGACTACAAATATCTCAGTTTTCTGGACGTCCAAGAGCGAGTTTCAGCTCTTGCACGAGGCCTTGTTCACCATCAAATCACGAAGGACGACATATTCAATATCTATGCTCAGACGAGGTATGCTTGATTTGCTGCGGGAAAACCTTATGGCTGACGCGTAGCATAGCGGCAACTGGCAGCTCATGTCTCATGCATGCACAACAATTGGAGTTCCTGTGGCCACTGCTTACGATACCCTTGGCGAATCTGGGCTCACGCATTCATTGAACGAGCCTAACTGTGTTGGTATTTTCACTAATGCTGACCTCCTCACGACCCTGAAGAATGTCCTGCCTAATACCCCATCGGTCAGGTTCATAGTCTATGACGGTGACGCCAAGTCATCACTTCTCGATGATATCCGCAACGTCAGGGAAAACGTAGTCATTCTCTCCATTGACGAACTGCGTGAGGTTGGCGCGGAGCAATCCAAGGAGGGTCTGAAGGAGCGAAGACCATCCAAAGACGACGTGGCCCTGATTATGTATACCAGCGGCACTACCGGGGCTCCTAAGGGTGTGGTACTCACTCACGGCAACGTCATTGCCTCTGTCGGTGCTGTGTACACGCTTCTTGGCCACCATTTTACTACCGACGACACTTTCCTGGCGTATCTCCCGCTCGCTCACATCCTTGAATACATTGTGGAGCTTATTTTATTCTTCGTCGGCATGAAGACAGGCTACGGTCGCGTGAAGACCCTTACAGATGCATCCGTACGCCAATGCAAGGGAGACATTGTTACGTTTCGCCCAAGCATCATGGTTGGCGTGCCTGCTGTGTGGGAGCTGATCCGTAAGGGATTACCAGCAAGGTTAACGCCAGTGGCTTCCTGAAGAAGACCATCTTCAACGGGGCGATGGCGGCCAAGAAGGCTGAAGTTCCTGGCCTTAGCCAGTTGGCAGATATTGTGCTTAATAACGTCAAGCAAGCCACCGGAGGACGGCTCCGTCTCGCATTGAGTGGTGGCGCTGCTCTTAGCAAAGAAACTCAGGAGTTCTTGTCTATTGCACTCGTCACTATGCTCCAAGGTCCGTAACTTCCCAAGCCGATTTGCAATATATTGACGTAATTGAGGGCAGGTTACGGTATGACTGAGTCTTGTGGGATGTGCGCCATCTTGCCCCCTGAACTTATGCAATATCGCTCGGTTGGACTGCCTGTTCCTTCAGCTGAGATAAAGCTCCTGGATGTCCCTGAAGCGGGCTACAAGTCGACTAACAATCCTCCCCAGGGAGAAGTTTGTATCAGGGGTCCGTCAGTCACCAAAGGATACTACAAGCGGGACGACCTCAACAACGATGAGTCGATCTTCACTAAGGATGGTTGGCTTAGGACTGGTGATGTCGGTCAGTGGAACGCCGATGGAACTCTTTCTCTGATTGACAGGTAATCTGACCTCCCGGACAATCTTCTTCGTCTGATATACATTCATTTCAGGATTAAGAATCTCATCAAGCTGCAAGGTGGCGAGGTGTGTTAAGTTGTCTTCTACTGCCACAGGTCTCCTGATCTACTGCTTTTCAGTACATAGCCCTTGAACAACTTGAATCGACGTACAAGTCATGCTACCTTGTGGCAAACATCTGTGTATACGCAGATGCTGAAGCCAAACAACCTATTGGTATCATCATTCCTCATGAGGCAAATCTGCGTCATGCTCTCGAAGCCAAGTCCAACCCCGCAGATGCGAGCGCTGAGTTATCAGACTTATGCACCAATAAAGTGGTGCAAGATCTCATCCTCAAGGAGTGCAATGCTATCGGGAAAAAGAATGGCTTCAAACCGATGGAGATTCTAGAAGCCGTTATTCTGACGTCAGAGGAGTGGACGCCCGAAAGCGGCCTCGTTACCGCAGCACAGAAGGTACAACGCTCCAAGGTTGCGAAGAAATTTGAGAAGGAGATTAAGGTGAGCTTCGACCTTTAAGCTCTCGGTCTTGCGTTGACGACAGCTATAATAGGCAACATATGCTGCCCAGTGATTTCATGTAATTTGGTTGACCAACTACTTGTGTTTTGATTTCTCGATTCACCCGAGTCTTGGACAATTCTACATATTGTACATATTGTATGTTTTAGTTAGATTTGTAGCATGATAGGCTATGTACAGTCCGTTTTCGCTTCTACGGATTTTGCTGGGTGCTATGTATAGTACTAGTGTGAGTAGTATTTGGCTGCGGTTCCTCTGCAATTGGGTTTTGTATGGTCAGACTAGAGGATGCGGTGCTGTGATGGCTTATATAAGTGGTCCCAACCCGCGCGCAAGAAGCCAGCGGTCAAACGCAGTCACCGTGTTCTTCTGCTTCTCACCTCTCTTCTTTACCTGGGCTTCATTCTCATCACAATACTCATTATACACTTTTTTGTTCTCTAACGCTCCTTGTAATTGTTGATTTTCATCTCGGCTAGCTAGCGCGCAGGCTTGCCTCCGTCTTCCATTAGTCCGAATAATCTGACCGCTCACAGCCCAGCAACATTTATGTCGTCCCAAAACGCGGTATGCATATTTTATTCCTCTGCTCGACTATTGGTTCGCAAGTCTCACATTCCGGCGCTTTGTTTGCCTCGCGTAGATTCGCAGAAAACTGGTCATCGTCGGTGACGGCACGTAACCGCAGCCCTTTGTTTCTGGACATGCCCGGCTGAACTTAGGCTACCACTCACAGGTGCTTGTGGGAAGACTTCCCTCCTATGCTCTTTTGCACTGGGAGAATTTCCAAAGGAATATGTGAGTCCCTAGACACCGTTGTGGCATGTGCCTACTGAGCATAACTCAATCTCAAGCAACCGAGTAAGCTCTCTTTGGAGAGGCACGTCGTCCGGCATTTGCTCACCCATTGATGCCCTCAGCTATATTTGAAAACTACGTCGCAGAAATCAGGCTAGACGGTAAACCTGTGCAATTGGCACTTTGGGATACTGCGTTTGTGTCTTCTCTTCTTGCACTAGACTTCTCTTGTATCTAACTAATTGTGTCACGCAGGGGGCAAGAAGAGTATGAAGTAAGATATTGATATTTCATCTCCGGGTCTTTCCGCTTGCTCATCACCCCCTGCGTCAGCGTTTACGACCACTGTCCTACTCCAAGTCACATGTTATTTTAATTGCTTTTGCTATCGACACCCCAGATTCTCTGGATAACGTATCTGTAAAAGTAGGTTTATATCGACACGTTTTCTTGGCGCGCGTGTCGATCCCTGATCCGTCCTGTCTAGTGGATCGAAGAAGTTCGGAGCATATGTGGCCCAACTATCCCAATTCTACTCGTTGGGTGTAAAGCCGACCTGCGTCCATCCCCGAATTCTCCTGATATTGGCAACTTTGTCTCGCGTGCTGAAGCTGAACGCGTGTCATCTATGATTGGTGCGCGCGCTTACAAGGAGTGCTCTGCCCTCAAGATTGAGGGTGTAGATGATGTTTTCGAGGCTGCCACTCGAGCAAGCATGCTTATGAGGGAGGGCGTGCCTTCCTCTGCTCATCACCGAAGGAAGAGCAGTGGGCGTAGTGGTGAAGCATCTAACGGAGACTCGACTGGTGGCAGCTGGAAATGTTGCGTTGTCTGCTGATAACCGCACTTACCCGCGTTCATTTCGGGCTTATACATAGCTCTCTTCGGATGCACCCTATGGACTAGCTTCAGCTCTCGCACATACGTGATATGACGCGTTGTTCTCGCTTTGATTTCGATCTGGAGCTAACTTGTTCACATTGCCCCCACCTTTCCCAAGTAGTCTGCTAATATCACAGGATCTCATTTGTCTGATTTTTGTTCAATGCATAGCATAGTTTTCTTTTTCGTTCGTTCGACGTTCGCTTTGTACGCCATGTCAAAGCTAAGTCTTGGACTAGGTTCATGTTTAGACTGCGGATCGTACATAGCATCTTATACATGCGATATCTGCACACTGGGCAAGCTGGATAAATTGGTCGAACAGAGGCCAAGTAAGGTGAAATTGTACACGTGGATCTAAAAGCCTGGAACAATTGACTCCGACTTGTGTCAACCCGCATGGCGACCTCGGCTTCAACGACCTTGGCCACCACATCTGGTCGAGGGTTCGAACGAGTTAAGTGAGGGGGGGTCAACCAGCGGCGTGAGTGAGTCGTGGGGCTCGGGGGCCGCGGCAGCAGATATAGCTGCTTTGGCACCTCCACAGACGCTGTGACCGACTGGAACAACTAATGGAAGCGTATACCCACTAGAGGGGCGGCCGAAGCATTATCATGAGAATTATAAGAGACTAACCGTGTTCGACACCAACTGCTTTGACACCATAGGTCAGGACGGAGTGAGCGTTGTTATCGAGCTTGTGGAATTAGCTGTAGAGATAGCGAGTATCTAGAGTTAAATGAATGATTAATACGTACTTCAAGTTGGCGATGTTCTCGTGTGTAAAGATGGCGCCAGGCATGGATTCGATGATGACAGAGGCCGGCACTCGCGAGTCAGCAGCTAATCCAACGAACAGGCGGTCAGCGCGCACTAATTTATGCCCCATCATGACTAGAAGACTTTGATCATTCGGAGTCATTCCTTCGACGTTCCATGCAGCTATCCTAGAATAAGTTATTCAGGCCTCGTCATCGTAGCTAGAAGGCTTACACAGACTGATGCTGACCACCTGATGGAATACATGGCAAATTTAAACCTATGATTCTGAACAGGAAAGACTCTGGCGGCGGCGCCCGCCTATGCAGTACAACGCTCAAGTATATGCTTATTTAAAGCAGTATCCCTCTGAAATTGCGAAAACTGCGGCACGCTGCGAGAAATCAGGGTTATTTTCCTACACATTATTTTCAGTATGAGCAAGTCGTGAATGTAACTGCAGTATACCTATGTAGATGTAGGATGTGGAGTAAACCACAACATCCAAATATTTTGCTGTCGGATCCCGATTTGATGCATCTGGGTTTCTATCAATTGATTTCTGCCAACCACGTTGGAAAGATCCGAAGGAGCAAGTAGTAGTGCCTCCTGCTGTGCATGTCGAAGTGGGACGGCTTCTTAGGATAACCGGTCTCGACTCGGACGCCGAGCTGTCAAAGAAGTTCCATCTGATTATTTAAACTGGGCGCTGGAACTATCATTACCTCAGGGTCTGGAAGAAAGGTTGTTGCGAAAAGTCTGTTGCCACACTTTCATTGACTGTGGGCATCACAGTACAGTAGGTCGCATTCTTCATTTCTTCATGAGCAGCGATTCAGAAATCTTGATGAGACAATTACGTGCATGATGGGAAAACGAAAGAGGCAATGTTTGACTTTGAACTTTGAAATAATTCTTTAGCTGCACGTATACTTTAGAAATAATATCTACCACACCCTTGACGTGTACAGTCATTCTAAAGGAAATCTAGTAAAGAACGCGTCGAAAAATTGGAAATTTGTCGCAAAGGCTTGGAGCTTGTACTGCCAGTGCTAGTATAAAAATGGGAAGAGCCGTCAACTGTTCTCGTCACGCTTGAGCTTCCCGATAGACGAGCTCATCGATGCGTCCACGGGAGAGGTCGTACATCCATCCATGCACAGTGACTTTCTTGGCATTGGGGTCTGCCCACGCAGTGGTGATCGGTTCCGACTTGCAGATATTATCGACCTGCATCATGATATTGGTTTCAACGACCTTGTCCAACGCTTCACTTTCAGAGCACGCGGAGAGGTCGAGGGATTGAACGCGCGCGATGAGGGGGCTTAGCCAGCGCGTGAGTGGAATGTCGGGTTGGGACGCGCCGGTGTCGGCGGCTGCATCTTTGGCTGCTTTCAGGCAAGCAGCAGCACCTCCGCAGTGGGTATGACCGACGAGGACGACTGTTAACGACGTATACCCGTTAGAGGAAGAATCGAAACCTCATCATGAGAATAGTGAGAAACTCGCCGTGTTCAACACCGACTACTTTGACAGCGTAAATGAGGACTGAGAGTGCGCTATCGTCGTTGAGGTGGAATTGGCTGCAGGGATGGTTGTGAGCTCCATAGCCTTAGAGTTCAATAAATTGCTGTTTATACGTACTTGGCGATGTTTCTGTGCACAAAGATATCGCCAGGCCTAGAAGCTGTGATGACGGATTCCGGCACTCGCGAGTCAGAGCAGCCAATCCAAAGAATCTGAAATGATCTTCGTAAATGGGGTTAAATGGGTCGTATGATGGGCATACCTTGGGGCTCTGGCCGGTGGCCGTCTGAGTAAAAAAATTGGATGTGTCCTTGATTACACTTTGCGCCCACTCCTCATTGGCGTTGAGTAGGGTTTCGATGGACTCGTGAGACATGCTGCGGAGAGTGAGAGGCGAAGAGGTTTCGGAGGGCGGTCGGACCACAGACTCGGACGTATATGGCGCTAAGGATAAGCGACTTGTGCTCTTACTATATCACGTTGGCTGGCACTGCTGACTAGATGATCACCGGACAAACAACAAGGAAAGATAAGTTCCACAAGTAATTTATTCTACTGATTTTAGTCTACTGATATATGCTCTGGTATAGCTGTACTTATAACTACGCGATTTGATCCCGTTGTTGCGTTGATTTTCGGGTCAGTCAATCTCCAATAGCCTCCAGAGTGACCAAAGCTCGTCCAGCAAGCCGAGTCCTTCCAACATTTCCATATTTGATGGACCAAAGCTATCATAAGGTCCGCATCCTTCCTCCTGCATGCTCAGAGCCCATCTTGAGGGATACCAACAAATATGCGAACAGCTTCTCGCTTGGCATCAGTGTCTCCTTTGATGGGCAGACCATAAGCCTTGAGAATAGCCTCGTAGCGCTCCTCTAAATGACACCATGCAATCAGCGGGCCATTTCATAGCCCAGGAATAAAACTCCACTGACTTGTAATATGCTCGAATTCTCCCCTAGTAGCAGGGAAGTTCGGCGGTGGCTTGCCATCAGTTTCCAACAGGTGCCTTGAGACCCATCTTCAAAACTGTACACCGAGAGTTGTTCAAACGCGCAGGAAGTCGCTGTTGGCTGTGATAGACAGATAAGGTACGTCAGCCTCCATATAGTTCATCTAGAATACTAACGCACTCAATTTCCACAATCTTCTTGAGTGCCTCGATCTTCTTGTCCAACTCTTCCAACGCAGGTCCCTTATCCGTGTTCAGCTCCGTAAACTGCTCTTTCAAAGCAGCAAACTCAGCCGCGAGGCGATCTTGTGTGCTCTCAATCGACGCGAGTTTCGACTTGAGCAACGCAAACTCAGCCGTCATGTCATTGCCGCTGAATGCTGTGGAAGGAACAAGTGCGAGTGCTTGTGACGCAGCTGCTATCTGGTCTGCCATCGCTGAGAATGATGCAGAGAGACGGTGTGGCCACAGTGGCGCATTCAAGCTAGCGTAGTCAAAGATGGACTTGCCAGTGAGACGTCGATAGTCGGCGCCGACGACCCAGTGCGGGACTCTCCCGAATAATGGCCGTTTGGCGACTGAGGTTCCCTGCTATACATGGTGGTGAATGATCAATTCTGACACCGCCAAAGGCTCAGTTCTTGAAGGATTTATGGCAAGAAAGGAAGGGGCACAACTGGGCTGAGCAGCGGGAAGTTCCAAGCTCACGGACACAGGAACATGAGATTGGACATGTTATCATTGATAAAATTCTCATACGGTGTGCGAGAAATTTTCTGTCAATGGAACTGGGGGCTGGAAGGATGCACGCCTATTGGACATGCCATGCCAACGTATGTGAACTGGCTATGTACCGTGAGCGAAGGCATGCTATATACGCAAGTCTAGTGGTGCTCGGGAATTCACTGCTGTGTACCCGGTGTGTGAATCTGTAAAACTACAAACACGGAACAGATAGCCGGGAACGATAGTTGTCTTGTCCCAGGTTGCCCCACACGGCGAATCTCAGGCGTGGACTCTGGTAGAACTGGCCTATCGCATATAATTGTAAGGTGTAATTACCAACAAAATCATAGACGATATCGCTCCTGGAGAGATCAAATCATCACCAGTTTCCCAGATTCATTAGACTCAAGTTGCATTGTACCATTTAGGCAAGTTGGGATCTTAGTACAGCACTCACTGTTCAGCGGCCCTCAGTCACCATTACCCATGCTTCGAGCGAACTCTCGAAGCACTCTGCTACTTTCTGGTGACCCTGAACAGTAGGGGATAATGGCTGAGTGTTCACAAATTACTTCATATCATTTCACTCTGAGAAATGGAATGAAATGCCCACGACGGATACACATGGCTGTGATCGCTCTATCTCGTTGCGTTCACCAGGTATACGTTCTTATCTGCAAGTCCTTGCCTAATGAATCAACAAGATTAGCCTATCGTGTAGGATTTAAATATAAAATCGCGCTACCAAACACCCACCGGTGGTTTACGACCCGCTGATGAATACCTACATAGTAAAGCGAGGGAGGACCTCCGGGGTTAGGCCAGCCCCACCAAGTAATTCCAGGGTGTTAATATAATTATACAGGGTCAAGAGAATGAGATCTATACCGGCAGAATGAAAAATAGGGGCTGCACAGGGTAGGTAGTAATGCGGATATTTCCAGTAAGTTTATGTAGGTCTTGTGGACGAGACAACGGCAGTGAGTACGAGAACACAAGCAGAACACAAGGTAAGGGTAAGAACCTGATAGAACGCAGACGCCGTAATGTTATTTCCGCTGTCGTTGGCACTAACCGGAGCCGCATCAAGGTCAGCGTCATTATTAGCGGCCACGTTGCAAGGAAGGGGTAGCAGAGATCTAGATTGGAACTCACCCGATTATGCATACGACATAGGTGACAGCGGGGTAGTCTGGCTTGAAGTTCCAGGGGGTTGTGTAGTTATGCAAGGGGTCTGTTCTCTTCCGTGAGATTTGCGTAACACTAATTCGAGAAGATCAGATTTACCATAGTAGTACTGAGTATTTTCTGTCTTTGGAATCACCGCGAGGTCGTAAGAGCAGCTCAAAGGAGACAAAGGGAAAAGCTAAACTTGGAAGAATTGAGATGAAATTTCGTGAATATTTCCGTAGAAGTTGATACTCGACGGGACCAGACATCAGGGTGCACTGATCAGTCCAAATGGGTGCAATGTAGACCGACTGAGAGGGCGATTCCAGGTTAAGCCTGAATGTTATGTTACTTCTGAAGCACTCAGATGACCAGGCTTGGTTGACGCCCAACAGAAGGTATTGGCCCTTTTTTGCAGTAAACCTCCGTACCCAAGACGTGCGTGAAACCTCAAGTACTTACAGCAGACAGCGAGTTTCCAATGCACTGGAAAGCAATATGGGATTGTTCATACGGCAGAAGACTGGCACTCTACATAGTTTAAGGAGGTGTGGTTAACCGACGAGACACCCGCTCCAATTATAACAGGCTCACCGCACATATTGAGCTCGATGCTCTCAATGCTCACGTGGTTGTCTTGCCATCCAATCGAGTTGACCCTCACTACTGCGTCCAATGTAGAGAAGGGGTCGCCGAAAGGGATAACATTGACTCCTTGTGTGGCGTTGAAGCCTGTAAAATGCCCGTACTTTACTGACACACCAGAAAAACGGGATTGAACATGTAGGGGCCAAGGTTCAATGTCAAGTTGGAGAAGTCCTGCACATTGATCTTGAAGCTAGAGCCGGTCCTCCGGATCGCTCAATAAGTTGGACCAGAAACGCTGGGAAGACAAACTCATATCGTACCACCACGTCCCTGGGTCATCATCCTACCGATCATTGTGATCAATCAACGGGTCATCATAGGAAAGCACGATACCGCCAGCTTCGGCAAACTGGGACTGCACCTGGATGCAAAGCAGAAAGAGTGCAGTCTTGACCCGCAACAATAAAGGGATAAACTGTATGCTAATTATGGAGGACAACGCGTGAGGACCGCCATCGCGTCTTTATACAAAGATGGTATTCCGCCTTCTGGGGTTCTCCTCTCCTGCTTCAAAGTTACGAGTGGTGCTTCCGCACAGAAGACAATGCGCGTCCTTTCGATGGAAGCGTAGGCAGCAGTACGGACTGACGGTCGAGCTAAGGAATTGCCGATCGTGAATACTACAGTGCATAGAAATAAAGCATTAACCCGGGAGATAGGGGAAGAACATACATCGATACCGAGCATTGGACTGTATAGAAATCAATCTGATCGACAAATTTGATGCGACGGTATCTTGATCGAAAGAATCTATGGTCTGGGAAGTGCTAGCCAGGGTTGGTTCAGTGAGTTCCTCGTTCGGCTGTGCGCTCGACTCAGTTACCTCAAGTTTCAGCTCGATGATAGTGGTGATTGCTCGCGGACTTGGAAACATCCATTCTTCAGCTTGCCAAAGCCTATATTTTTCATACATGGGTCCTGGGTTGGGCCTGTGGCTGGTGGCCAATGGCCATATCGTGGAAGTGGTATCTCTTCACGTGAATCACGGCGGCCTAAGTAGGGGTCACGACGGAAAAGAAATCAGCTCTGGAGGAAATCGAAAAATTACTTCATCCTTGTCTCTCCTAGTAAGACCATATAGAAGGAAGACAGTCGTTCCTTCCATAGGAGCATGGCCCGCTCAGTGATGGCAGCCCGATACCACGATGTTTTCGGAACGACTTGAACATTACATAATTACAGCTGTTTGCAAAAAGGTTGACAGTAGCGACCTTTTGAGAAAGAACAAAATAAATAAATAATAGCCACATACATAGGGTCAAATAACACGCGCATATACTTGCAAACGCTCGACGCAATGTATGCCTCCCGTTTCGCGCCAGAGCTTGAGGATCCGCCAGAACGTGCATTCCGAATCTCCGACGCAAGCAAGAATGTCTTCGAGTGCAAGGTGTTGATGCTTGTGAAGATTAATTGCGGCTAGTCGTGACTGATTTTCCGATACATGATGGTCAATTTGTGATATATGTATGTGGCTATTAATCTATTATTTATTTGTTTTGTTCTTTTCTCAAAATGTCGCTGCTGTCAACCTTTTTGCAAACAGCTGTAATTGATATACTTACTCATTCACGACGCAACAGTTTAACATTTATGTGATATGGCCACTCAACTCACCGACTCGCTGTGCGACAAGTTACAACCTCTGTCATAATCATACAGTCGATGGTGGGTGCTCGTATGTACTCGCTTTAAATCTTTTCAGGACTCTGGACCTGACATCATCATTATGATGCGGCTGCAGAAGTTCAATAATCTCGTAAATTCGGTTGACAAGCTATGACGAGACTTTGAAGGAATCTGTCGTCTGGCAAGTGTTGAGCCACTGCAGTGATATTACAAAAGTACGGCTTCACACTTTCAGACTGTAACTGACTTGTGCTCTCATGAAATCGTTGTACGCTCAAAATAATTTAGTGCTGTGTACACCCGGCCTCCATACCCTTTTCTGTCTTCCCGACAGCCAACTTCGCGACTATAAAATATTATCTATCACGGTTTCTTCACGCCACACATATTCTCCATACGAAGTACCTTCATCTCTCCCTGAATGGCTGGGACAATACGCAACATAACCCAGATGTCACTTTGTTTATCTGGGACAAATCTAACAGCCATGACGTGTCTATCTCATGCTTGGAATTCCATCAAGCTTCTCATCATGCCGCCCAGGAAATCAAACCAGGTCGTGCAGGAGCAGGCAAGGAGATCGTCGCTCTGGTCGGGAACTCAGACACCCTCCTTTGCCTGGCAGTATTCATAGGTGTCATCTTCACTAGATTGCTTGTACGTGAATTTATTTTTTAAACAACCTTCTGACCACAGCTATTCGCAATAGACATGGTGTAGAAAACGACCTGCCCTCGTTTAATCATGACTCTCCACTTTCTCGGATTCCTAATGAACAGGATCAAGGCGGATTTCGAGCCTCAGGGTACGCAAACGAGCCGCCTGCAGCTTGACGAGGTGTCGGCGCTAAATGACCTGTACCACATACTCGTCAGGGTTCTCCTTTTCTTCCATATCCTCCCCTAGCTTCACGGTCATCTGAGAACGATATAATATTCTGCCTGCGTTCCTCAGGCAGCACTGGCTTTCTAAAACCCATTTCAATCTCTAACTTGACTGCGATTCACTTGTCCTTTCGTGAGTCACTGAAACAATCTGCGCAACATAAATGTCTAAGATGGTTCTAGCATGCATTCTGGAACACATCAACTTTCTTACTTCCATCCATGTTGGTTCTGCACCATTGCCATAGTTTCATATCCTTGGTTTACATATCCAACTGCTCACGCCGGGCGCCTCCATCAGCAGCGTGTCTATTTACCCACCCACATCCTTCCAAGATCCATCAGCGACCCCCACAATTCCCAACTCGCAAAATATCTTGGACTCTAGTCAAGACGAAATCGAATACTTTAGCAGTCGTGCCTAGCTTCCTGGAGCAACGGTCGTTGTCGCAGAATGCTGTTGACATCTAGAAGACTCTCGGATAGATTGTATGTCATACGTTCATTATTGAGGTTTTCTTCAGATAAGGAATGGCTCACGTTGTCTGTAATAGTAGGTCTTCCCTAGCGGTCCTTCTCGCGCCCAAGATAGAAAATGTTATAGTGGATACAGGGGTCAAGGTGTCTTTTCTTTACGGTGCTACAGAATTTTGGGACATTACTTGCTTCTTCTGGAGCAAATATTATGGGACTGGGTGCGATTTGGACCAAACTCTAAGATCAGGTGATTTTCTCAGCACTACGGTACATATGAATGCCAAGTTTTGGTAGGTCTCAGTCTTTATGTTCCCCCTCAGTTGTTGAACACCTGCTCGCAGACAGTTCCGACGCATCATGTATCAGCAGATAATCTCTCGGACGTCAAAGGTTATGTTTCTTCAGATGTATTTATCAAGCATCCAACAGTCGAGGGTATGCGGAAGGCGTAAGACCGAAACTTGTATCATCCATATTCATCCAGCTTTCTGATGTTGTCCTTTGCAACGTAGGGAGGATCGATGATGTGTCAGTAACAGCTCCCATAGAGAGCACCATTACCGCCGATCCCTACGTGAACGGTACTGTCATGTTCGACCGAAGACGCATCCACGTCGGAATCCTCATAGGGCCATGAGTAGGGCATTGCATAATGACGAAAAGCGGCTTCCAGAGTTTAGGAATGAAGTTTGGTGAGCTCGGGTCGTATACATTTGTTACTGTCGAGTCTGACAATGCCAGTGGTAGCCAGATGTAGAAGAAGCGAATCAGGAGGCTCCTGCTTCCAGCAGGATCCTCGAGGAGATGATTCTTGCGACATGCAGTGTATAGCCCATGCTGCGAGCTGGAAAGAGAACTGTCAAGGTGTACCCTATGAGCATTTCATACATCCGCCAATGCGCGAACATGATATTCATAGGCGACAGATACGAAAAGGTGGAGGGCAGCACCGGAGCAGGCATTAATGTGCCTTTGCTTACGAACTGGACTACGGATGACGTTGAGAGCTGGCTCAATGCTCATGGCCTACGCTGCTGCTGTGAACGCCACCAACGTGGTTGATACTTTTTTGCTCAAGGCTTTGACAGGTGGGTCGAGGGCGAATTAGGGCTTGTGCTCTACTGACCCCATATGCCTAGCTTGTCTGCGACATTCATTGGAAACCGCATCCTTGACTCCCCCAGGTCGTCGCTAGATCGCGAGTCTAGGCATCAGCATCGCAGATCGAACAGAAAGTCTTTTCAAATCCTTTGATTGGCCAGCTCGCGAACAGTGTCATATTGTCACGAAACGGTCCAAGCAACATTGATGCCAAAACTGGCGTCGAGAACATGGTCGAGAAGTATTCAGTCGGATTTTGTAGCTCTGCCAGAGATAACTCCGTTGCTCTGATTGACCGACGCAGGCAAGACGATCATGCGATCATCTTGACCGGGTCCACGAGTGGTCTTGGTTCATACTCGCTTTCATCTCTGCTCCAGCGCGGGAACGTGTCTGTGGTATGTTTTTAATCGTCCATCAAGGGAAGCGGCATCTAACGAACAACGGCAGAAAACTGGTTTCGAAGGACGCGGCCTGGATATCATCTTTCTGCAGTCGGAGAAACCGGTGCATGCAGAAACTGATACCTTTCACGATGACCCGAGTCTGGATGAGCAATTGTATCAGAAGGTTTGCTAGTCTGACTAAAATAATCAACTTAAGTCCATTTAAACATAACGTAGATCCGCGCGTCTGTGACTGGCACTGTCATTATTACAACCTCGAATGAGGGAAACGCGGAATTTTTAGACCTCGCACTATCTTCTCCGCGCCATCCAAAACCGGGTTTCGTGTTCACCGCTTCTACGTTAACTGCTCAAGGCCGGTGTGGAGCAAATGGGCCTTTCTCGGAAGAAGTGGAGTACGACGCACGTATAGTAGCAGAAGGCCCTGGCTACGCCACGAGCAAATATGTTTGTGAAAGGGTAAGTCGTATGCTGCTTCTAGGAGTGTACAGATCTGACAAACGCTGCTAAACAAGGTCAGCAAGTTGCCAGCAAAGAATTGATCAAATACCGGAAGGGCTCCCACGAGGAGCTTGGTCGACGACAGAATGGCTGCCGATCATTGTCAAGTCGAGTATCAGTCTAGGTGGACTTCCGGAAGCCCGATGGATAAGTGTGTCTTTCTCGAAGGTACCCAAGAGGTAGCCATCATTGACACACGGTCCAACTTCTAACCTGGATCCCTCCCCACGCTGTACCAAATGCTATTCTTGATGTGGCTTTCGCGGAAGAAGAGCCTCCCATTGTGGTTAATCTCGTACACCCGAGGCCGATAGCGTGGGGGGCAATTATGCGGCCTGTTGCACACGCCATAGCAGAGCATAAGCCTATCACAAGTGTCCCGTTGCCTCTCATTCCATTATTGGTGCCGCTTGAAAATCTTGAATCGAGTGCCAAGGACGCGAGGAAGGAAAATATTAAGCGCATGGTACGTGTGTTTCAATGGCTAGCAGAATGTTTTCCCACCTGACTTCGATTGCAGCCTGCTATCAAGCTTCTGGACTTCATGCGTTTCATGATACGATCAGATATCACGATCAGGGCGTCTGGCGAGATGCCTTCAGAAGCGGGTGACTCTACTCCATTCGCCACGGATGTGGCTCAGCAAGTCAGTCCGACGGTCGAGGAGCTGAAGCCGCTGTCATCGGCAGATGCAGTACAGTGGATGGACTATTGGGCGGCGGCGGGGATGTTCAAATGAATGAGCAAGCCGCATGGGCAATCTTTGTATTTGCTTCTAACGCAACGTGGTTACTTGGAACTTGGGGATAGTGTACTAATATGTAGTTGGAGTCCCCTCAGGGCCATCTTACCCTTTTAAGTGTTTTCGTCATGTATGCGTGCATGCAGCTTCCGAACTTTCTAGCTGAGCAGATAGTGGAGTAAAATCCATTTGTATGCTTTGCATGAGAATTAGGACCCATGATTCTATGGCTATCTTCTGTTTGGGCGAGGGACTAGCTATTAGAGCTAGTGATACCCTGTAACCTCCCGTAATGGGTAGCGCTAGGGTTCAAATAGCGAGTGGAAATCATGGGAGGATGTGTCCCTCCATAGGACAGCCCCCTTGGAGCCAGATCTGACGGATAGGGACAGCACAATCCAGAATGCAGCACGCGGTCAACTGCAAACTCGAAAGATAAGCCAAAGAGTATCATTCTTGATTCTTCATATCCGAGTAGATATTGTCAACGACAGATGTCAAACACGTACTGATCAGCACGGCCGAGATGAGTTTTTTTCCAGTGCCTTCGAGTTGTTCACATGAAACGAAACTTCATTCAAAAAAAAAGATGAAAAAGAAACAGAATTCTGGTGGCCCGGCACGTGGCGACCCAAATTGTGCGGTTTGCTTGTTAGGCTAGCGATCACCTTATAATGAACCTACCGTGCCAGAGCGTGCGCAATTGCTGTGTACCCTCCGTGGCCTCCACCTTGCTTCCTGGATAAATTTGAAGACTTGGCTCGTGGCTAGCACCAGGATCCTGCAAATTTACTGCCCAATTGTAGCCCAAGATCACTCAGGTGCGCTACACGCAATCATTCATTCAGTAACGGCGCCACCGCCCGTAGCAATAGACTCTTTGAATTCTCTCTCAGACCCTGTGAAACAAATGGCTATGGACTGTCCACTTCTCGTCTGGATGCTCTCACTGAATCGTGATGTATTGACAGAGGTTTGATGAATATTATTGTAGATAATACAGCGTCTAACCTTGTCTCCGCAGGAATACGACAAATGTTTTCACCTTGTACAAGATTGCGTCCCTCATGCCAGACTGCCGTACCAGCCTACTTCTATAGATTCCTTCCGTGAGTACCATTCCACTACTTGCTTGGTTTGTTCTGACACTCAGTAGGACAGCTTATTTGCCACATGTTACCCCTGCTCATGATGCGCCACCGACGAATATCGCGCGCAAAATGGAAAGACTGCGTCACCTCGAATGGAAAGCATTGGATCGAGCAGGTGAGCGGTGGTTATCAACTCTCAGTAGCATAACTCATCGATGATCATTGTATTTCCCCTACAACAGTCACCGGATGACATGCCCCCAGAAAAATTTCTACAGTCCATGATTGGATATCACCTTGCATACGACAATTCACTCTGCGGCATGGTGATGACGCAGGGACGGCAGCGCCAAGTCATCAACATCGGCTTGGGTATTAAACAGATTTCCGTAGAGCCCAAAGGTGTCTCAGTAGCGGCCTATGCTGAATCCTTTGCACATAAAGTAAGCTCAAAGACAGGCACAATGCATCACAAGGCTAACGAGCGACCGGAACCAGCTGACCCCGCTAGAGATGACCTTCCTCAGCCCTGAACTCGGGGACGAAGTCGTCCTCCGGCGCCTCTCTATCCTCCTCTCGCTCAAAGCGGCATATATCAAAGCCGTTGGCCAGAGTACCGCCTTCGATTGGTCACGCCTCGAATTCAACATTCCCTCCGAGTCTGCGCGCGGTGATGACCACCCACTCCAGGGGTGGGAGTTCCGTGTGTTCAAAGCCCAACTAGGCGTACAACGCATGGGCGGGGTCATGCTCGAAGAATCGTATCAGTGCGCATGCGCGTTCTTCAGGGGCACGAAGGAGTCCAAATTCATCTGGCATGATAACGCGAAAGATTTAGAGGCTTGGGTGCAGTTCATCAACATAGACCAGATGGTCAAAGTGATCCCGAAACTACGCGCGTAGTGAAATGGGGCGTGATTACTTGGATGAACTCCCCTTAAACCATATCACTTCACTGCACTTGCTTGCTATCGTTATACCATGTTTCCTGCTGCTGACACTCTTTGCATGATATCTCATACCCTCTAATACTTGTCACCATTACTTAGGAAAGAATCTGAATGTGATTCATCGCAATCAAAGCTGGAGCAGGACATCCAAGATATATTGTACATAGTTTGGAAGTGATACTGTAATAGCGTGGAAACCATGACATGGTTTAGACTTTCGGCTTTTCGGATCACCTTCGAAGTGGGGAGGTCGACCGATTGGACTCCGTGGAGCCCGTGGACTCTTCCGGGATGGGAGGCCCTGTATAGAAAAACCGGCCGTCTGAACCACAGTAAGCAAGTTCCCAAAAGTGCAAACAAACAACCTACTAATCAAATACCACACAGCGCTTATCACTCCAAATCCCACAAACACTACCGAAGCATAGTCTAGCCGACTCTATTTAGCGCCTCAGCCCACCCACGCAAGACAAGGACACTCACTCATGGAAACCTTCGTGACTGGGATGACAGCAGGCATCGAGAATAGTATCATGGCGAACATGATCCACAGCACTGCAACTGCATTGATCACGGTACCGAACCTGCCAAGGTTGAATGGGGCATCATGCATGTCTCGCCGGGCGTTCATGAGTGAGATGGCAACGGGCATGGCGTAGGACGCTCCAAGACACATGACGGCGACGCCTACGAAAGCGTTGAACGCAGCTGTTGAGCCGAGGTAGATGAGTCCAAGGAGAATCTGGATGACAGTGGAAAGCAGGAGTGCATTGACGGGGACATCGTCGAAGTACGGACTGATCTTTGAGAATGACTGATGGAATGGGATAGCCTTGTCGCGTGCGAAAGCCCATGTTGCGCGAGAAGCGGCGCAAGATATGGAAATCGCACAAAACATACCGATACCAAATACTTCGAAAAGTGCGTTAAGAGGGTGAGGCTACTCGATAGAGACCAGTTGTGACGTACTAATGAACCACTGAATACCCCGCCAAATCAGAGATGCGGCGCCGGACGTAAGGCCACGACAAACTCACCATCCCAAAACCACCAGCCCTGGAGCCCATGATCAAAGTAAACATAACACCAATGGGTTGACCGGAAGAAACTGGTTGACATATATACATGAGAAGCACGAGTTTCTCTAGCATGAAACTAACCTTGGAGCAATGTGGCAACATCTGGGAGCGTGAAAAGGATTGGCAGAAGGAATACCACACCGGATAACGTGCCAATGGGTATAGACCAGGTGATAGCCTTTGGGAGTATTTCAGAGGGGTTATGAACCTCTTCGGCCATGTTGGTAACTGGTTTCATGGTGTAAGCCAGTGAACATGATACAAAGGCATGGACGTACTCATTCCTATAGCGGCGTATGTATATGCTAGGACGTTGTTCAGCTCCGAGTCCTACAACTCGATGAATAATAACCTCTCACCAGGCTGTTGAATGCATTGTTAGTATCGAGTAAGGAATTCAGAATCTGACGGTGATCATACCGGCAATAGACCAATGAAGAAAGACCACCCAGGCGTCCATCCTGAATAAGATGGATCAAAATGTCCAAGCGCAAACGTGATAGAATGGCGCCCTGCCGCGGCCTTGGTGGACAAACATATCATGATTACTTCAAATAACTCAACTCAGCGTACAGGGACGAGTTACATGCAAAACGTACCGATGATGCCTAAGCCGGTCCAGCAAGCACAAATGATCTGGAAACGTATTGATCCCAGAGAAAATCCATAAACGAGAGCTTACATCGATGGTCGGCAGGTGCTTGTTGAAGAATAGGCAGAACAAGAAGGCAACAGCAGTCACGCCGAGGAAAATCACATCTGGAATGAGTCACAGACTAGTCAGAAAGCCACATTGACCTATAGATCATACATGAAGCCTTGCATGTTTGCCACGCCGTTGCAATCCATTCAGGGTGGTATATTCCGGCACCAGCCACAACAAGTTGAGCAGTTCCTGATAGACTGTTAGTCATACTCGGAAGCGATGTGCGCAGGAAGGAATACCAAATGTGACACTCAGAGCAATAGTCCAAACACCAACGACTGTCAACCAGCCATTGACCCAAGAAGCGAGAACCCGGGTGTGTGGAGATGCAAGTCGATAACACCAGTAGTATGCCCCTGCTGATGTGGGATATTTGGAGCATATCTCCGCCAGTGAAAGAGCGAGCGTTTGGGTCAAGATTGATACCAGGATCCATCTGCACCATGTCAAATCGTGTTTGAGCTGGAAAGGGTGGATTTACCCCCATATCATTACTGCTGGGCCACCTCCAATGAGCGATGTCGCGATGGGAGCTGCAAGACCATATGCTACGGGGAGGGTAAGTCGTAGTGTTGATAGAGATCGCTGCTTAAACGTACGGACTGCCATGATTGCTAATTCAACCGTTGAACCAACAGCTCAGCGGGTGTCTTCGTTTGAACTGACAGACTGACCTAGCGTCACTTTTGGAATGCATTTTAATTTCTGCAACACAGCGAGAAGAGCACCCTACTCACTGAACAATATATGTACCAGTCCCCTAGACTAGCAACGACCAATAGGCATGAGATACGAATCAAAGGAACAAGAACAAGCACAAACCCGTGTCATCTCCTGCTTGTAGCCCAGCTTCTCCAGCCCGACACGGGCGACAGCATCCACATCGACTGAATCTTTCAAGCTCATCGTGGTGGTACAATGAAAGATAGCAGCATCCGATATGCAAGGACGAAGCATATATTGCTTCGGATGCGAACAGAATGCCACCTTGGGAATAATAATTGCCTATCGTACTCATGGAACTCTTACATACACATGAGCGGCTGATAAGCGAGTTGTATCCCTTCAATAAAAATATATCGGCGTGAAAACACTGCACCTCGTGACCACAATGGTACTAACCCTACGGTCTATTCGTACGCGTGAGTGCCCATCATTTCATGAGTCACTGTGGAAACGTGATGGTTGATCAAGCGATGCAACGGTAAGTCACGAAAATCCCTGCGAAAAGGCGTGGCTCACGAAATGGACGAGTAAACCGTAAGGGATAGTACTGGTAGACAGAGATATAGATACCGTAAGCGAGCAGGAGCAGTGAAGTTCAAGTTATGGCTTTATAATACAAGAGTTTCTATAAAACAGTTACGGTACAACGTGATATAACGCTGACTTACATACAGCACGACTAAGTACACCGTCGTGGTTATGAGAAATTTACATAGTGCCAACTTGGGCATGAGGTTACTTAGGAGCTAGCATCGTAACGCTACGTACGCCTAGTCCCCAACACCACTTTTCGGAACAGGATCCTCACATATGATTGGGAACCGCTCCAATTGTACACTGTCAAGCACCCTGCGATTTTTCACCCACTGTCGAAAGCCAAAAGTTGGCCATTTGAATCCGTCCAGGGAACGAAGTGGCATCAGGTGTTAGTTGAATAACACGTACGTATGATACACAAGTTTATCAGACAGAATAGTACGGTGATCATCGCAATACCGGGCCGATGGATGGAGGTCGACCTCAATCGGCATTTCACAAGCAAATGCAGTTGAATAAGTCCAATACACGAAAAGCATGGAGAGGGGCTTACAGACAACAGGTTCACCGTCAGGCGTGAATTCCAGGGCACAAGTGCGTCACTGCACGAGATAAGAAAGGTGTTAGAGATTCTCGATAGACTGTCCAAAACTGTCGGGATTTACCACTAAACGAAAAATGATGACATGTTAGTGGGGCCAGAGGCTAGAAGAATGATGCGCGCAACCTAAGGATAAAGTCATCCTCGATCACACTGGAAGAGCCAACGACCGAAGGAGCATCCATCGATGAGGCATTGGCGAGGCTGGAAGAATCGAAAGTGTCAGACCAGGTCATACCGTTCGAATGTGTCACATAGTTTGCGTGCGCTCCTGTTTTATGTTGACTTGATGCTGATGTGGAACATACACTTCCGATTGCAAGACCTGGGCAACGGACAAAGATATCAACAAAGGTCGACGCAAAACTTCTAAAATATCCCATAACGGAAAGCCCAAGATACCATGCAGGAGTGACCCACCAAGGCATGTATACATGACGGAAAGGGGGCTCAGCGAGAACTGAATGACAGACGATCATCAAAGTAAAGACCAACCTCTGAGAGACTCCTTCAAGTTGCAAATAAGGCCCGTGGGCTGTTGTCAAGTGACTGTAGCCAAAATTTAGGTCCGAACATGGATGTAGCCGGCAGAGGTTTGGGGCGAATTTGGGCAACGCCGACAAGAACCCTCGTATGGCTAGTGCCCTCCTCTCCACTAACGTTGGAAGTCGGATACTCACTGAAGATAAGCCATATCAAAAAGGAAAATTACCCCTGTCATGCTCTCAAACTTGTGCTTTACGGGGGTTCTTCACCAACCTGTGACGTCTAGCTAGTCTAACGAAGCCTACAACATCATGTCTACAGACTATACACAACGGCTTTACTGCTATAATAATCACAATCACATGCATGGGAGACCGAAAGGCAAGAGCTACCATGCGCTGACACCTCGATCTCGACCCCCATCGCTTAATGATAGTAGCATCTCCACCGTGATTGTCGCCCAGAATTCTCTCAATACGAAGTAGAGTCCGAGGATCCGGGGGAGCTTGTTGGTTCTTCCTGGGTTGGAGGTCCTCTGTAGTAAAACTGGCCGTCTGAACCAATGTCATTAACCACATGAAGTTCCCGAATGGCAAGGAAACAACCCACTGATCAAATACCACACTGCACTGATCATCCCGAACCCCACAAACACTACAGAAGCATAATCTACCCGCACATATTCAGTGCCTCAGCTCACTCACATGAGAAAAAGCTACTCACTCATCGACCACATCGTTACTGGGATGATAGCAGGCATCGAGAATAGCACAGTAACGAACATGATCCACAGCACTGCGACTGCATTGATGATAGTGCCGAACTTGCCAAGGTTGAATGGGGCATCATGCATGTCTCGCCGGGCGTTCATGAGCGAGATGGCAACGGGCATGGCGTAGGACGCTCCAAGACACATGACGGCGACTCCTGCAAAAGCGTTGAATGCAGCTGAGGAACCGAGGTAGACGAGTCCAAGGAGAACTTGAATTACGGTGGAGAGTGCATACGCATTCACCGGGACATCTTCGGGGTAAGGGCCAATCTTGGCAAAGTATCGATGAAATGGAATGGCTCTGTCACGTGCGAACGCCCATGTTGCACGAGAACTGGCACAAGATGTGGAGATTGAACAAAACATACTGATACCAAATACTTGAAAAGGTAGTATGAGAAAGCTAGGCTAATTGGCGGAGACTAGTTGTGACGTACTAATGAACCACTGAATACTCCGCCAAATCAGAGATACAGCCCGGACAAAAGGCCACGGCAAACTCACTAGCCCAAAACCACCAGCCCTGGAGCCCATGATCAAAGTAAACATCAGACCAATCGGTTGACCGGAAGAAACTGGTTGGCTCATATACATGAGAAGCACGAGTTATCTCAGGGTGAAACCGACCTTGAAGCATTGTCACGACATCTGGAAGTGTGAAAAGGATTGGCAGAAGGTATACCACACCAGTTAATGTACCAATGGGTACAGATGAGACGATGGCCTTCGGAAGTGTTTCAGAAGGATTATGAACCTCTTCGGCCATGTTTGTGACTGGTTTTTGAATGTTAGCCGAGTGAACATAGCCAAGACTACTGTTGGAGACGTACTCATTCCTATAGCAGAGAATGTATATGCTAGGACATGATTCAGCGCCCAATCCCACTGTAATAAATATATGCTAATATCTTACCAGGCTGTGTTGATACATTATGGTAATATTGAGTACGAGTTGCGATAAGTAATAGCGATCATACCGGCAATAGACCGATGAAGAAAGACCACCCAGGCGTCCATCCTGAAAATGTCGGATCGAAGTTCCCGAGCGCGAAAGAGACGGAGCGACGTCCTGCTGCGGCCTTGGCTAACAAGCATATCGAGATAACTTCAAACAACCAATTTCAAGGGGATAACAGACGAAGAGCAGTTGCAGCAAGACATACCAATGGTGCCTAAGCCAGTCCAGCAAGCACATATAATCTGGCCGCCTATGGGTATCTCGGAAACAAAAATAGGTGAGGACTTACATCAACGGTTGGTAGGAGCCTGTTAAAGAATACGCAGAATATGCCAGCAACAGTAGTCACGCCGAGGAAAATCATGTCTACATTGAGACACTTAAGTGGTCAGCAAATGCAAATATTGCTACACGGAAGGGTCCTTGCATGTTTGCGATGCTGTAGCGTTCCAATCAGGAAAATATATTCCGGCTCCGGCGACAACAAGTTGAGCAGCTCCTGGGAAAATGCATCGCTGATGATCGGAGGTGATATGCATAGGAAAGAATACCAAATTTTACACTCAAATCACCCATCCAACCACCAACGACCGTCAACCAGCCATTGATCCAGGAGGCAAGAAGTCGCGTGCGGGGGGACGCAAGTCGATAACACCAGTAGTATGCCCCTGCTGATGTGGGATATTTGGAGCATATCTCCGCCAGTGAAAAAGCGAGCGTTTGGGTCAGGACTGACACCAAGATCCAACTACAGCACGTCAAATCGCTTTCTAGATAAGGTGGAAAGGGTAAATTTACCCCCATATTATTACCACTGGACCACCTCCAACGAGCGATGTCGCGATAGGTGATGTAAGACCAAATGCTACCGGAAAGTAAGTCGTGGTGTTGAGCAAAACAGCTGCTCAGACATACGGACTGCCATGATTGCTAATCAAATCATCGGGTCAACAGCTCAGTGGATAGCTTCACCCAAGCCGACGGACTGACCTAGCGTCACTTGTTGGGAAGCATTCAATTCCCACGACATAGTGAAAGGAACGTTCTACTCACTGAATAATATTTGTACTAGTCCTCGAGACTAGCGATGACCACGAATATTACACACCGATCGAACAGGAAAAAGAACAAGACAAACCCGCGTCATCTCTTGCTTGTAGCCTAGCTTCTCCAGCCCAGCACGGGCAACAGCGTCTACATCGACTTCATCTTTGAAGTGCATCATGGCAACACAATGGGAGAAAGTGGCAGCAGACCAATGAGCGAGGCAGAAATTTATGCACCGAGTGCTAACAGAAATGCAACGTGGCACCTGGGCTTTGGGACGGGGAGCTGTTCATGCATGTCGCGGATGCCTCCGCCGTGGGACGCCCATTGAAAAGTTGTATATTCTTTTCAACAGAGGTATGACGATGTCATAACAGATGCAACAGAAGACGATCCTGTTCCCACACCACTTAAAAATGACGGAAGTGCATGAGCCTTTTGAGTTTATGATGCCACAGTCAACCGAACGTGCGTCTGAGAGTGAATGAATAATGGTCGGGGGAATGGTAGGGGGCCTATTGGGGATCTGCAAACATATAGAAATACTCAGTTATAGAGAGCTTCGTTCTCAGTAATCTAAAGCAGGTATAGTCAGCCGCACCAGCACCCGACATTTGAAACTGAGCGGTGTTACCCGTACCCGTGCTCCAAAAATGCAATGTTGGGTCTTGGATCTGAGTGCAGAAATGGGATCTCATTCTACGGAGTGCGATAAACAATTTCGCCATGATTGACCCGCTGTTTGACCATTGTAGATATATCTCACAAGGGTACGAAATGACAGTGGACTCACCAGTAGCATGTTCGCCATCGTGAAAAAGACACAAGGCCACAATGTATTAGATGGTCGTTAAACACATTAACGGCGTGTCAGTAAATAAAAGTTAAATCTTGCAATCCAATGTGTTGCACTCACCCGATTTGAAGACCAAACTCTGATTATTGGCGAATTACTGGCGAATTATTTCTTCATTTGCACAAGTGACCAGTCGAGGCTCCATTCTTCTCCTGAGCCTGACTATATTGTCGAAATGAGCCACGAAGAATATCGCCATTGGGATCTAATAGAGTTATCAGTGCAACGTCACACGACCACGCCGAACCAATATATCAGGATGTTGTACATGTGGCTGAGCGTTTCTAACCCCATTAATCGTGTCTTCAGAAGATTCAGAATTTGGCGAAGCGGCGACACAGTACTAGGCTACTGATAGTGAGAGAGCAGGAAGATCGGGAAGGCAGCTTGAATCATGATACATGATGTATACCACTCTTTGTGTGGCGCTCTAGAAGTTTGGCGAGAATTTGCAATAGACTACTGACTAAGCTATTTGGGCGAAAGCGCAAAGCGCTGTCTAACCACGTCCGAAAGAGATGAGGTGAGCTTGAAGTAGGAGGGAAAGCCTTCGCAGGTCTCTAACAGGATGTGGACGCAGTTCGGACTGTTGGAGATACGAGGTGCGATGTTCCTGATGCAGGGCCGCTGGTTAGTGAGCAATGTCGCACGAAAGGGGACGGTGGGTGGAGACAAGCAGAGGAGCAAGGGAGATATTTCGACGGCGATTGTTGAGAGAAAAGTAGTACTCGCGGTACGAAGAGAAGACGCTTCTACCGCTTACACAAAGATTCAAGTCCAGTCCTTCACTCGTGCCTCACTACCAGTAATAGACTGACAACGAAAATCGAACGTTCGACATACATACGCGGATTCCGAGTCATGATCGGCGATATTTACCGTACATAGCTTCAACAGATCAGCCATAACCTGTAAGCAAATGAACCTTTAGACAACAGTTACAGTAGCCCCAGTAAACATAGCGGACTCGGAAGCCAAAGTGAGGCCAAGGTTCAAAAGAAGACTCGTTTTGAAAAAGAAATGGATATCCTTGTCACGATTCGAATATTCAACATTCATTACTCCATGGTCCATCTCAACCAAGCTCACAATTTCATGTCTGCACAGCACTATAACTAATTGCATGCGAGACTGAAGGCTCCCGTGTGCCGGCGTGATAGGGGCACCCAAAACGACACTGTATATTACTCGGCCTTGGGTGATGCGTATGTCGTCCCCCTCAAACTTGTGTATATGGTTTCAGCAAGTCAGGCCTGTGTGCACTGTGCCAGGATAGTGCTGAAGCCTGGAATGAAAGACTCTCCGCACCATAGCCATCGCCAATGCCCAACCAGAAGATGCACTGACAATCCACAACAATAGGGAAGGCTTTCCCCACTACTGCGCGAGTATATGTCGAATTGACATATCGCAAGACAAGTCCCCTGATTTAGTCGCAGCACCTTGTAGGGTAGGTGGAAAACTGGTCTTTCGGACTGTGCGGTCACTGCAGTGTGCGTGTGCCGACGCGTGCTACATGAACATGTTGAGATTCGCAACTGATTTCAGCATGTTCCACGCCGAGCGCAATCAGTAATCAAGTCTGCATTCCGGTGGCTCCATTATGATGAGAGAGCTGTGATCGACGGTGATAGGGAACCACTGCACAAAAGGCAGATGGGGAGTCAGACCGTTGCGAATTCAGTGGGAGCTTGTCATCCAAAGAGGTTATCCCCCGAAAGAAAGTGGAAAGGGACCCATACTCCTGCAGGGAAGTGTTATCTATGTTATCTAGTGACAAAGACGTGACACCTACCGACACATACCTGCCAGCGAAAATTGGCGAATGCGGTAATATTTTGACGCACGTTACTTTTGTATCACTTTGGCGATTCGTTTGAGATGGGCGGCTGCAGGGCAGTTCTTGTGTGAAGTTTTTTTCTTCCTTTACTTACATATTCTTCAGAAATCAATACTCCTGCGTATTTCCACCAACCCGAACATCAACTGCATTCGCTCGTTCTTTGATTAAGTTGGTCGCATAAGATTCGGAATTCAGAAAGGCTTTCGCAAATGGGATTTAGAAAGCAAAAAGAACGACATGGCGGACATGGTTCACGTATGAATAGAATCACACCCATGAAAGAGCCAATCTGTGAAATCGAGAATCTGGGCATGTCCTGGGAACCACTAAGTGCATAGCTGGATGATGGAATTTAGCCGGGCAGGTTTGTAAGCACCAGTGTAGTTAGGCTGTCGGGTCATAAGCAGTACTTTGTGTGCTGGTGGTTGTTAGCATCACTATGGACTGTTTCGAACGTCCACGGAGGGCGGAAAACTAGCAGTAATAAGTAGCGGGTGTGTGCATTGCAGTGCGTAGTTCATCGGCGCCCATGTGGTAGATAGAACAGAGAGATAGAACTCTGCTCTACGCGTGGCTGCGTCCAAAGAGGACGACAAGCCTTTACGATTGCGTTGTTAAGAAAGTTCAAAAAGAGTTGCCACTAGTACACACACATTATGTCACCACTGTTTCAGGGACTAGGACCCTACTTGTCGGCTCTTTGCATAGCCCGAGAGCCAGGACTAACATTACGGATTACCGGCGGGGCTGGAGGTTGGTGACAACATTGTAGTTCATCGTGGATGCTGTCAGTGTCACCGAGTGAATCATCAGACACAGTGGCGTATAAAAATTATTCCCATCCGTTTTTGGTAGGCTGTTAGAAAAATGATCGATTCCTCATCTTGAGCGCTTACCAGTGCTACGCACCTGTTTGCCCTCATAATTCATCCTCGTGAAACTGACACCAGACCATTATCCCTGCATTACTGACACTACGTAGATATCCGAGAGTCTTGATCGGACCGGAATGACAACGTAATCTCCATCCTAGTCCATATTCTGCCTGAGACACGGCGCTGCTCAAATCGGGGAACATGTTCGAAATCAATGCATTCACAAATATGTATTGGGATGTGTATCCCATCTGTCCATGGAACTCTTCCGACTGTGTCTCAGGTGATGCATTATTGATGACTCGCTTTCAAGTTTGAAACAGTATATGACTGAATGAAAGTGGGATAACGAGATCTATTGAGTATCTACACGAATCTCGTCAATTATCCTAGCCTTTTCAGTCATACACTGTTTCAAAAGCCCGGAAATTGCGAACGTAAATCCAGCAGCTCAGCATCATGATGCTGGCACCTACTTGGAGCCTAAATCGAGTGACCACAACGTAATGTGACTCAACTTACCCTGGCGTGTTTGCCACTGAACCAACTTTTTAGCCTTCCGAAGACGACATCTATTCAATACTCAGCGCAGCGTTAGGTTCGGTCGAACCTCCGGTGCTATGCAGAGCTTCTTCTTCGATCAATTTCGGGAAGCCACTAGCATTATTGGCACCTCACGTGTAGCTGCCCTTTGTGGATTTGTTTCAAGTTGAATATGAACGCCAAGGCTGATAATCTGGTAACCTGACTATGGGGGTACGCGTCTAAGCGAGGACACACATATAAGAGAGGTGTGAGCAGTTGACCAGACACACAACCCTTACACGACCAGTAACAATCATCACAATGACCCTCATGAAACTGCCTTTGCTTGTCCCATCTGTCCTTGTATTCAATAATGCGTATATCTCTCCGGCCACGGCACCTCGTAATGATGAGACTATCAGCGGTGGCCCGCTCTACGAGCGTATCTGCCCAGTCATTTTCCCGATATTACAACGGGTACGTGAATTTCCAACGTTTAGACATATTAACGAACACCCTGTCACAGTTGTCGGGTTTGATACCCTGTGTTGCAGAGATAGTCGTCATACTCGCGGCTTCTTTTCCGTCGCCTGTCTCATCTAGAATCCTCTCAACTCTAGTTCACACTGGACAGCTTCCGGATATGATGCCAAACAGATACTTCATAATGGGAACCATCCTCGTCTTCATGGGTTGCTTGGGACGCATGTGGTGTTTTCGCGTCATGGGACGCCATTTCACTCACGAGCTCAGCTTGCGTAAGGACCACTCTCTTGTCACCGCAGGTCCGTACAACATCGTGCGCCATCCTGGCTATGCAGCCAGCTGGATCGCCTCGCTCGGGATCTCGCTTATCTGCGCGAGCCCCGGATCGTTCATGCTGTCATCTGGGTGGCTCTCCACTTACTTCGGGCGTGTTGTATTTGGAGTATGGGTACTCCAAGTCATACTGTCTGTCGTGCTAAGCTTTGCACGGTCCATCAGCGAAGATGCAATGCTTCGCAAGCGTTTTGGGGGAGAATGGGACCGGTGGTCTAAGAGGGTGTGCTACAGGCTTATTCCGGGTGTGTTTTAGTGATCTTTTGCTTTTTGTGTATTTGTTATGACTCTAATGCGGTGCCATACCTGTATTTCTCATTGATATTTCAGCTTTCGTCCCCCGAGGAATTTTTACCATGCATTCCATTACCTTTGTCACATTAAAATATTCTTCCGTTCACACTTGTACAAGTATCAATTATGTAGAAACGACTGAGATGAAAACTAATACTCGTGCCCATTTTTTCAACACGCGTAATGTGAAGCAAGCTGGTAATATCGGTTAGACTTGACAGAGTTCCTTCGGTCGATGGCTACCTACCCGCCCAGCGCTTCAGGAAATGCCGTTGCCCTCGAAGCGCTCAGGCACGTGCTAAGGCGTCGGGTAGTAACTTTAGACTGGATGCCATTAGACTAAGTTATAACGTCACTCATAACATTTGAGTCTGTTACGTTCTGTTGCCAAACATTTTGAAATTTGAATGGTACAAGATTCTGTTATCCGTTCTCGTTAGTCTTCGATATGTTATAATCATGCTGACCGAGGTTCGAAATGTGACTTTGTCATGCACACACATCCAGGGTCCATAGTTCAGAAGGCAGGCTGCAATATATTATAATGATACTAGTAGAAACACAAGTAGCCGACTGTATCTTGGTTGTCTCAAATGTATAGTTCCTGGTGTACAGCTACTAGTAACTATTTCAAACCTTCACCCACAATCATGCACGTGCGCACACCTAACATAGTTGACTTACTCAAACACGATGACGTCGGAAAGATAAGCGGATCTATAGAAGCGTCACTATGTCCGTAAAGAAATACAACATTTGTTTTGTATGGTAAGACCTCAGACTACGGTATGATTCTGAACATTTACAGCTTTTCCCTTCAGTTACGCGCATCCTGCTTGGCAGCATACACAAGCAAGTCACACACACGCTTCGAGTAGCCCCACTCGTTGTCGTACCATGAGATCAACTTCACGAACTGCTGGTTGAGCATGATACCAGCATTGGCATCGAAGATGCTCGATGCAGAATGACCAAGGAAGTCCGTCGAGACGACCTGTTCATCGGTGTAGGCGATGATGCCTTTAAGAGGGCCATCGGCGGCGGCGGCCTTCACTGCATTCTTGATGTCATCATATGTAGCAGGCTTCTTGAGGCGCACGACGAGGTCGACGACGGAGACATCCAAAGTGGGAACACGGAAAGCAAGACCACTATAAGGACGCACTTAGTATCTTAAAGTTATGGGAAAAGTTCAATATCACGTACGTGAGCTTGCCGTTTAGGGAAGGAATGACCTTGCCGACTGCCTTGGCGGCACCCGTGGAGGACGGGATAATGTTGTTGTTAACAGCACGGCCACCGCGCCAGTCCTTGTTGGATGGACCGTCAACAGTCTTCTGAGTAGCTGTCGTTGCGTGGATGGTCGACATGAGACCCTCCTCGATGCCAAAGTTGTCATCGATCACCTTGGCGAGGGGAGCAAGGCAGTTAGTCGTGCAAGAGGCGTTAGAGATAACGGTGTGCTTGGAGTCATAAGTGTCGAGGTTAACACCGCACACAAACATTGGTGCATCAGCTGAAGGGGCGGAGATGATGACCTTCTTTGCACCACCCTTCAGATGAGCAGAGGCCCTGGGAGTAATCTGATGAGAAAGCACTCAATTCACAATAGAAAAACCTCACTTGTCAATGGTAGTGAAGACACCCTATTCACGTCATTCCAATCAGCTTTCAACTTGAAGAGGGGGTTATAGTCAAGAAACTTACAGTGGACTCGACGACGTAATCAGCGCCAACCGAACCCCACTTGATGTTGCTGGGATCCCGCTCACCGAAAACTTGAATGGGCTTGTTGTTGATGTAGAGCTTTCCATCAGCGGTGTGGACGTCGCCCTTAAAGCGGCCGTGGACAGTATCGTACTTGAACATGTAAACCTATATTTCCTACCGATCAGATCGAATTCGGTACACAATGATATGTTCATCTGCTGACCATGTAGTCCAATTCAATGAAGGGACTGCAAACCAGAATCAGATGAATTTTTGGAAAATAGGAGGTGAACTCACTCATTGATGGCGACAACCTCGATGTCCTGGTTTTCGAGGGCATTGCGCATGACGATACGGCCAATACGACCTGAAAGTAACATATCGTGTCAGAAACATTCGCTTGTAAAGGATCAAGAGCATATACTCACCGAAACTATACAGCGACAAAGGAGACAACATCCGATTAACGATGAACACCTCGACTGATAATGACAACATACCCATTGATACCGACTTTGACCTACACGTTCAATGCCATGAGCAACCAACCATGTGCCTGTTGGACGATGATGTGCTTACCATGTTGGCTGAGAAAATAGTGGTGATGGGATGAGGTGGAGAAATGCGGGTGAGATGAACCTTTTATACTAGAATCAATATTTGGGTGGGTTAATCTAATCAGTACTGATACGATAACGTCAACTTGGCGAACCCCCCAAAATAAACGTTTCTCGCAATTGTTAAGCACTGGCACTGCTCGCACTGCAGGCATGTTAGTAAGTATCTCCATCCTTCACTAGTCACTCAGCGCGCAGCTACCAGCAAAATTTAGAAACGACATTAATGCCAGTCGTGCCCTCAGACAAAATAAGTTGCCTATCACTGTTACATAACCAAATCGACTCATCGGACATCGTTCGGCTCGGATTTCTCAGCTAGATCGTACCATCAGCATCGCACCATGATCATTCATTAGCCGCTGCCCAGCCTCGTTCGTGACCTTGTTCGTTCTCGTTCTCGCCTTCCTTTCCTTCGACGCTTCTAGGCAACTTCTGATTCGAAGTACATGCGGACTCCGGGATATCAAGTGTATTTGTTTCCTGGTGAGGTTCTTGGCGCGGACCTGACGCGGGACAAACGGAATCATCACCTCCGAGCTGCCTGGTGTCACTCATCGATCAAGTAATACTCGGCCCCTGACTATGTCATCAAAACATTGCGTCATTGTTACCGATATCTAGAGGCAGTGTCGAACGTGTCAGTCTAGCAGAGGTTAGCTGACAGTAGCATATACATTTCTCATAACATCCCCGTTCCACTCTCATTTCAATCGCTAGGTCATGTAGGCTGTTAAGTCACAGGTTGCATGTTTAGAACCCATCTTGGTTTGGTTAACTCAGGTCAAGATCATGCACCGGTGTTTGTAAGCTTTGAGTCTACTGCACGGACTAAAATGATATGTTTCTGGTCACTGCAACCGGTGCAAATTAGACTGGGTTTTGTGCACCCTGGAGTCGGTATGGGACCAGAAACAGGCCTCGACCGTGACGCACCAAATGACGGCACTGAAGCGGAGTCACTCCTGATGTCAACTAACCACATCCGTATCGGGAAGTGTCATCATGAGCAGTACGTCCTGCATTCGACATATTCCTAACTCCTCAAGGCCTCATATTCGTTGAATACAGACCAAGCGCCAAGCAGTGCGGTGGACATAGGTTATAAATGCATCGCAGCTGAGCATCGTGCTATGAATATGTCTGCCTGCAATTTAAATTAGGCAGTTATTCCCCTCCTGTCATACCAGCATCCCACACAGTCCAGCGGTCTTCCTGTAATGTAATTTCTTGGCCACGCTGCCAAGGGGATCCTTTCCAATTATCAAGCCCAGAGAGCGCAGATTCTAACAATGGGAGGAGGGTGTCTGCATTCTGCTTGAACAGAACTTCGGACGACGACGAAGTCGAGATGCGCATGCGCACTGCTTGAAATTCAGTGTCATTTGGAGGGTGGTTCTGGCGCATTGCAAGCGCATGATCTCCCAGAATAGCAATAAACCCAGTCGATTCACTTGGTTCGCGAGAGGAAGTGAGGAATGCGAACGGTGTGGCTGGTGTGACAGGTTGATCACTATCACCCAGAAATAATGAAACCAACTATCCAGGGGAATGATTATGGGCTCACATCCAGCGTTCTTCATACTGCTCCTGTTCTCCTGTCTCAGGGTTTACCCCGATTCCAGTTTCTACTTCTTCCCCATCACAGGAGGTCATAGTGCCTTCATCGGGAGGGCCATCTCGTCCTTGGGAATCAATATAATGATTCCATCGGAAACGCAGAGGAGTGGATGAGAGTGTAACGCGGATTCCAGCAAAGCCCCACGTAATGATGCTATTCGGTAGTAAAGGCTTTGAGAGACGTAAATCGAGGTACAGTTGCGTGGAATCTTTGGAGTGCGTGTCACTTGTAGACCGGGAGGAAAGCACGAGAACATCGGAGTCTTCGAATGGTTGTCCACCATTCCTGGAAATACTTTTTCTGATTGTTATCGAGGGAGTGCCATATAATAGAGGCTCAGGCTGCTCCAGCACATAGTTGTTCATCGTTATAAAGAGTCAAAGACTGGCCACCGTTATTACAACCGAATAATCTAATCATGGCGCGTAATGAAAAGGAAGTTGTCGTACTAGTCACGTGACTACCAAACTTTTCGTGCTCTGCCGCTTGTAAGTATGAGAAGGACGGTCACTGGCCAATTGCTGTTGCATAAGCTGCCCTTGCGATCATTGAAATATCGAGCGCGTGCTCTCGATATTCATCTAAAGTAGTGTTGAATTTGTGCAACCTACGTCATGCAAAAGACTATCCTTCCCCTCGGTCTACTCGATTTTAGCCTTGCTCATGTCCAATCAGTAAAGTGGGGATGTCGTTCACGGAACTTGCACCAGGCGGTAGCCCTTGCGCCATCTCCTGCGCCGTCTTTTGAGCCCGCTGAGGAAAAAAATGTGTTTTCTGGGTGGGTTGTCATTCTATATCAGTTGTCCAAGCTCATGCAGCCCAGGCGGCGCAGACGCCGCAGAACACCAGGGACTTTGACAACCAGGGACTCTGGAGAATTGGACTCTTCCCCTATGTTCAAGCTGCCCAAAAGTTTTGCATCCCCAATGTCCGAGCTCGAAAGGAGAGTCCTTGCGTTACAAACCACACAAGTGCCATTGGATGTCTTGCACTCCCAGTCGGTGGGCCGTCACTTTTGAATGTAACCATTCCTGTACACTTTCTGATGCTTTGTTCAGTTGGAGGCAACTCCGGGGTCAGAAGCAGCGCTTTTCCCTCGTTACACGGATGAGGAGCTATTGTCAATGTATGAAGACTTGCTGGAAATACCACTCGCTCAACAACCCGTGGAGGTCGTGAAGCCTTCTGAAGAAGACAGAGATACACAAGCTATGATTGAAGTGAGACAACGGGTCCACGTTTATGTGCGTCTTTTAAATTTCAAAAAGATAGAGTCGAGCATCTTACAGACCTTATAGATGCGCGATGGAGACTTGGGCAGCGCGGAAAGTGCAATAGAGTCTGTGAAGGTTATTATCATAATTTCACCTCGCTTCCAGATGTTCATGAACAGCTTAGCTTTCCGGTATCACACCGCCCGAAGACATCATCAATATGGTTCTTGGATATCACGCATTGAATGGAAATATAGAACGATTTGAAAGATTTATGGCAGATATTTTAACCGGTTGGTATTCCATTCATGCACTTGCAGCTGTTGATTAACTGTATTTCTGCATAGGCAAACTTTCTGAGACTCAACGAGATCTGCATATCAAGTCGTACCTGCGTGACCCGAGTGTCTTTGCGTCACGCGCATTTCCCACTCGTGCGATCGACCTTCTGCATAAGTATGAGGCTTCTGGGCTCCATGCCCCAATGAAGTCCTATACGCGTATTATATCCTCCCTATTCTCCGTCCGCCCCTCTCCTTCATCTCCTTCGATATCCTCAACACCGGACGTACCATTGGGAAGACTGGCTGCACATTCACAAGCTTGGGACCTTTTCGCGCACATGCGCTACGTTGCGCACCCGACTCCAGATGCCTATCTCTACGCACTGATGATCCGCGCCTGTGCTTCAGCTCCCTTATCTCCCGAACCTGAGCGTGCCCTAGACCTGTGGACTGAGATGCTCGACGCGGGAATTGTACCGACCAAAGGGGCATATGACGCGGTAATCCGCGCTTGTGGGAAGGCTGGAGGAGAATGGGTCCATGAGGCCATCAGGTTTGCGCGGCAAATGCGCGACCGCTTTGGAGGTAGTTCTTCTACAGTTGGTGGTGAGGATCTTCAAGGGATCAGTGGGCCGCGTACTTGGACGGCTCTGCTGGACGGCTGTAAGCGTGTTGGTGATCTGGGGCGTGCTAGATGGATCCTGGCAGAAGCTGTAAGAGCTGAGGGTCTAACTGAGGAGATGATGCAGCACATGTTCCACGCTTATGCCGCGTATAGACCCCCATTCAAAAGGGGTGCGACCAGGATCGTGGACGACGGGGCGGTTATAGCACCAGCTGCCCTCCCAGACCAAGGGGAACCGCTAGCAAGCGCCACTGAGGGCACATCAGACTTGCCTTCAGTATCTGCAGATATTTCTTCCGACTCTGATGCAGTTCCGACCGATTTACCGCGCATGGATACCGCGCCTTCATTTTCACACCTCCCGCCCCAATCACCAGGCGAGGTCATCGCAGAGGCCAGGGCTCTCTTCGATAGAATTCTTCATGATACCAACCCTACCTCTCATTCATCATCTAACATGCCTCCCAGCCCCCTCGCTGGAAAATTCAATGTTACGCTTACACCACGCCTCCTTAATGCGTACATGTCCGTGTATTACTCGCATGCGAGTATCGAAAGCGCGCGTGATGTATTTGAGAGGCTGTTTTCTTCTCGTGGCGTTGGCCTTATGGGTGATTCACGCACTTATGTCGATGCCCTCGAGAAGTGTGCACTTGCAAGGCCGCGTGAACGTGACATTGCAGGAAAATGGGTGGAAGAGCTATGGATGCGCTGGGAAGAGCTTGAGCGCCAATGGATCAATGGGGTCGCAGAGACAACAATGACTGCCAGGCTAGTAGAGAGAGCACATACTGCTGTCAGAAGAGCTCATCTCCTGTCGGTCTTCTATTCTTTCAACGTTTATGGTCACACTAATTCCCTCATTCAGAAATAATAATGTCGACCGTGCCATTACACTAGTCCGCACGTTTATGTTGCGGTATCCTCCGACCGCGCTGCTGCCTCCAGCCCGCAGTCCATCGTCTGCTCATGTAGATGCTCCCAGTCAAGATGTCATGAACAAACGTAGAATTACCCTCTTTGCAAAACCACCCATCCTCTCGACACGTACAGTTCTCAGTAATCCATCCGCTACGCCTCGTCCCCTCGTACGCCTTACATCAGCCATTGGTCCACCTGACGAACGTGTCCCACCTTTGCTAAGTTTCGCGGATGTCGAATTGCTGCATGCCCGTTTAGTGGAACAGGGTAGGGGCAAAGAAGTAGGGTTTCTCAAGTGGGCGTGTAAGGCATATGAGGGAGCGCTGAGAACTCGTAGGGAAGCTGTCCTCGGAGCACAGGTCTCCGTGGGAGAGGATGTCTGATGAGGGGTGACTATATATCGTCCATACTATATCTAAGTAAATTAATTACAACACTATTTAGGGGGAGCAGATCATGGTTTGTATGTAATTCTCACTGGTGCTCGATCCTTGTTCCCAAAACTGTTGATGTGTCCCTGGTGGGCCACTCGTTGACCTGTCCCATCGCTGTCAACGTGGCCGAAGAAGTTCACAAAGTATCTCATGCTCCCGATGCACGCCAGTTTCTTTCGGTCAACCAATAGGTCAGATGTTTACTTGGATCATTGGCTCCAGGGCCTGTGGACCTGGTTTGGCGTTCTCTAGCTTATCTTATCTTATAACTATTCCAGCTAAGCGCTGAAACCTTACTGCAACCAGACGCACTGTCACAGATAAGTTGTGGACAGCTCACGATGCTATCATGCAAGCACCCCACCTAATACCCGGTCTCCTCACATGGCAAGGATATATGAAAGGTGCCGGGCCCTGAGGCCTGAACGTTTGAACACTCGAACGCTCGACAGCTACACGTGCAGCTGAGCGACAAGCATTTCTTCTCCCTCTCGGTTTCCTTCATCACTGCATCATACGGTCCGCTCGTTCGCGCGTATGTTTTTGCCACCCTTCACTCCTAGAATTTAATACAATCATCATCTTGTTCTTTAGAATATTTGAATACTTCGTATATGAATACCCGCTTCTGATTAAGCTACTAGCTTCATATCTCAACATTTACACAATGGTCATTCAATCAACCCGCATGTTGAGCTTTCGAGCATGCCAGCTTTCGAGCCAATCTAACACTCGGTCCCAACACTCGGTCCCACTGGCAGCCCAACCACTATATGTCCGATCTCAATGTTTTGGCGAATCGCGCTGGACAACAAATCTTGATAGATGTAACGAGCGTAGATTGCGGATGCGGCCGCAGCTTGAAGAACAGCATGCCGCACTCAGCATTTACACACGTACTACACAGGACTGAAGGCCTGACAGATGAAGAAGTGAGATTTCATGCTTCATGCTAATCAATGCGGCACACCGGAAGTAAGTCCTACTACAAGCATTTCAATGGCTCGTGCTTGGACTTCAAATTGAGAAGCTCCGCCGAGTCTGAGATATTCAACATAACTTTTGCGTAACTTACATACTTTGAGACTGAACTTAGTTCAAAGTGGTTCCCGCGTCAATTAAGCTTCAGCTTGACTGCCCGCTTTGGTATTGCTATATAACTCAGCCTTGATCCGCGCCATTGGACCTTGATTAAGTAATTCCTCTGATCAAGCGCATACTGATGCCAGTGATACTAACTTAACCCCATGCACGACCACGAATATTACGTGCCGACTGGTGTGCCACTGATGCCTGGCAAATCGTAATTTATGGTTCCGTACACAGGAAAGTTGCACCTCAACGTCTGCCAACCCTGCAGGCCTGAGTATCGTCAATAAAGAGTGTCGCGCACACTCATTCCATTCCCATGAATAGTCATTACACCCCCTCTGCTCAAATCTCACTGCCGCTGGCACCTCGAGGTATAAATGTAAATGCCGTTCGAGGGCTTTCGGTCTTTTCTGTGGTGCCTCAGCTGACGGCCCTTGATGTGTCTACAGAATATCTTCAGTGAGTCAAGCGGTCTATTTTGGACACCTCACCATGCTTATAAAATCGCTGAAAGTCGTCCTTGTGACAATTGTGGTGCGTTATCCTGTGATTTTACTGGAGTGGAACAAATGACAACACCGTACAATCGGACTAGGTGTACGATTTCGTGACAAACCTAGGCGATGAGGTACGCAGTATATCCATGTAGTGGGTCGGTCGGTTCAGAACTCCAACAGCTTGACTATCTATTGGGTTCTCGAATGACACTGGCAAAAGGTCTATTTCTTGGATGTCGTTACACACCCTTCGTGATATGCGCTATGCACGCTCGAAGTACGCCTGCCACTTGTCTTAATCTCACAACTCACTAAACGAGACATTGTTCGCAGCGGTCCTCTCACCAAGTATTGAGGTATGCATGCAACTAAGAAACATAGGAAAAGTTTGACTTACAATCATCGTGCGAGGGTTGCCCGGTGCTTGTTGAAGGCAATATACGTCAGTGCACGGAATCTCCATGACCTACTCGCCCGCTGACCGATGGCGATAGTGCTCCTTGTGATTGTTCTGTTGTGCGCAGAGTGTAAGGGATATATTTTATCAGATGAATATCACTGAAGTCAACATACACCTAGGTATTTTTGTCCTACGAACATATGCGTTATGGAACTGTGATCGACGTGTTCGAATAGCGCTGTCGGTATTGTATTTGGTGAGAACCCTCCTCAAATAAAATTAAAATAAAGAAGCTTTTTTTAACCTCCTTACTTTCAACTTTGATTAGGCTCTTTTGTGTGGAACGATAATACTAGTCCTAGCATGCGGGTTACAATTAAAGATGCTCAAATGTACGTCTTTTCAAGCTGAAGTCACCACTTATGTCTGGAGTAAGACTCTTGCAGTTGCAGCAGGTTGTTACTCCGGTAGTTCGATACCGACCAATCTAATTCTTGCACCCTATATCATTTTATTACTCCTCGAAACTGGTCCGTCGTTTATGGCCCAACCTGGAGATTACAACTAAGACCACAACCGTTGCACAGAGGTTGTTGGTCTCACCTTTTACAGAATGATCAGATACTACCGTGCCACACGTTGCCGACTTTTAACATTGATAGCACAGTACAACGTAGGCTATATCCTTGCTGGGCTATGTGAGCGAATATAACAACGTCGATACCACACACTGATCTTTTTCAGTATTCACCTTAATCAATATCGTTACGATTTGCTTTGTTCCGGTATGCATCCTTAACGTCTAGGCGTTCTCAACCCATTAAATAACCTTGTGGTTCTACAGGGCGCTTATGGCCCAATACTTGAAGCGTGAGATGTCTCTAACGAGAAGCTCATGCATACTTATTATTTATAGGTCACAAATCATAGCACAGGGTCTTCTTGCAACTCGAATGCAACTTGACCTATGGACGCTTAATCACGACTCACCGGCATTGGCTCCTACATCGAACTTGACCGAGTACGATCAAACGGATTTAGAATTTGAGTTGTCACAAAGAGCATCCATCGTACCCAGTGGCACCGCGACTGCACAGTAATCTAGCAAGGTTTGGTGCACGCCGAGGAGACTGGACTTAGGGGCTCTGTTCGGAAAGTGCCGAAACGGCGCTGTAGTTGTGTGGCTGAACCTAAAATCTTCGCTGATGGTAGTTACATTTTTGTGTACTCTACACAACGGGTTCCTCATGTACAATCCACTTTGATCGTACTTTGACAGACGTGTCTGAAACTGGCGGAAACTCAATAAGACCAACTCACCCCTTGAACATATCTTCTGATTGTCACCTGACAGGCTGAGTGGTCAGACTGGTGAAGTCAACCCGCCCTTAAGTGAGTACACGATAGAGCATATCGGCGATTGCAATTTGCATGGATCGCAGGGCGATGTACTGTACATGTTCCTATCTGATTAAAATGTCCATCAGAATTGTGTCCCATAAGAAAAAGCTTTGAATACACATTGCCGTAACTTAATCCATGGATACTAGCCTAGTGAATTCAAGGAATATCAAGTTGAAGTCTCGTGCTTGCATTTCAAATTGACAAGTTCACCCAACGTAACTGACATACTTTGAGACTGAACTTAATTACTGGCTCCCGCGTCAAGCCTGCCAGGTAAGAGCGTTCCTGAAAAATACTGATATGCATAACTATGTTCAGTCATCCATGGCCCGCTTTGACATTGTTAACTCACCCTGATCCGCGTCAAGCTTGATTTATCTGATCAAGCCCGGCAAATCGCACACTTAGGCCCATGCATGACCACACATATTACGTGACGACCAACCGTGCCGTGTCTGGCAAATCGTAAGTTATTGTTCCGTACACGGAGAAGTTACACCTCAACGTTCAGCCCTGCAGGCTGAATGTTGTAGATAAAGGTCTCTTACGAGTGCAGCGTACTACACTCATTCTATCCTCATGAATAGTAGTCATCACGCTCCCTCTGCTCGAGCTGCACTGCTGCCACCTCAAGGTATAAATGTCAATGTCGTTCGAGGGCTTTCATCTTTCTTGTGGTACCCCAACTGACGGCCCTTAATGTGCCCACAGAATGTCTTTAGTGAGTTATTCTATCTTGGACAGCTCACCATGCTTATAAAACTTGCTAAAAGTCGTCCTTATAACGATTGTAGTGCGTTATCCTGTGATGTTGCCAGAGTGGAACGAATGACAACACCGTACACTCGGACTAGGTGTACGATTTCGTGACTAACCTGGGCGACGAGGTACGCGATGTATCTCATATAATGGGGCGGTTGGTTCAGAACTCCAACAGCTTGACTACCTCTTGGGCTCTGAAATGACACTGACAAAAGGACTATTCCTTGGATGTCGTTATACACCCTTTGTGATATGCGCCTTGCACACTCGACGTACGCCGGCCGCTGTCTTGTTCTTACAACTCACTAAACGAGATATTGTTCGCAGTGCTCCTCTCACCGAGCATTGAGGTATGCGTGCCACTAAGAAACACAGGAAAGTTTGACTTACGATGGTTCGAGGGTTGCCCGGGGCTTGCTGAAAGTAGCATATGTTAGTGCGCGGAGTCTCCATGATCTTAGTACTCGCCCGCCGACATGATGATAGTGTTCCTTGGGATCGTTTTGCTATGTGCGGAGTGTAAGGGATACATTTTATCGGATGAATATCACTAAAGTCGGCATATACCTAGGTGTCTTTGTCCTTCGGACATATGCGTTATGGAACTGTGATCGACGTGTTCGAATAGCGCTGTTTGTATTGTATTTGGTGAGTACCCCCACCCAAGACAGCCTTTTAACTTCCTTGCTTTCAACTCTCATTAGGCTTTTTTCGGTGGGATAATAATATTAGTACTGGCATGCGGGCTACAATTGAAGACGGCTAATTGTACGTCTTTTCAATTTGAACGCCACTATTTATGTCTGGAGCAGGACTCTTGCAGTCACACCAGGTTGTTACTCCCATACTTCGGTATCACCCATGTTCATTCTCGCGCCCTATATCCTTTTGTTACTCCTTGAAATTGGTCCGTCGTTCATGGCCCAACCTGGATATTAAAACTAAAGCTACAACTCTTGCGCAGAGATTGTTGGTCTCACCTTTTACAGAATGATCAGATACTACCGTGCCACACGTTGCCGGCTTTTAACATTGATGGCACAATACAGCGTAGGCTATATCCTTGCTGGGCTATGTGAGCAAATGTAACAACGTTGATACGCACACTGATGTTTTATAGTATTCACCGCAACCAATATCGTTACGATCTGCTTTGTTCCGGTATGTATCCTTAATGCCTAGACATTCTCGATTCGCAAAATAACCTTTTGGTTCTACAGGGCGATTATGGCCCAGCGCTTGAAGCGTGAGATGTCTTCAACGAGAAGTTCGTGCATGCTCATTGCTTTTAGGTCACAGATCGTGGCACAGGCTCTTCTTGCAACTCGAATGCAACTTGACCTATGGAAACTTGATCGCCACTCACCGACAACGGCTCCTACATCGGACTTCACCGAGTACGATCAAACGGATTTGGAATTCGAGTTGTCACAAATTTAAAGAGCTTCCATCATACCCAGTGGTACTGCACCAGTAATCTAGCAAAATTTGGTGCAAGCACGATGACGAGTCCGTCTTCCTCGAACACATCTTCTAATTGTCACCTGACATGCTGAGTGGCGAGACTGGTGAAGTCAACCCGCCCTTGAGTACACGATGGGGCATATCAGGGATTCCGTGAATTGCAAGGCAATGTACATGTTCCTACCTCCAGCCAAACAAGAGTGGCGAGCCCTGTTTCAGTGTATAACTTTGCTGTGAAAGTGGAGTTGGTTCTTCTAGTTCCGTCCAAAGTTGATTGGACCCTTGTAGTGCTGGCAAAGGGGTTCTTACTCGTCTTGGTACCCTGTGCGGCTGATTCAGTCCTATGGCACTGCTAGTCTCCCTGGTACTGCACGCGACCGAGTAGGCTGGTAGGTGGTTTGGTGGCGCGGTTGCAAGTTCCCATCAAGTCTGCGATCACTCCCTAGTGATGTCGAGCAAAGAGATCTCGTGACGAAATCTGGCAGGACCAAGCAGGACCTGCAGGCGACCAGCAGTAGGGTTTGGATGCTGGTCAACATTACAGGCGGTGGAGTGTGTATCTCGATATTCCTGATGCAGATGAACGGGAGAGTGAACTTGAAGTGAGGAAAATATTATTTGCTTTGATCAATATGTCTCTGGCTTGTGTGATTGACGACATGGCCGCTTAATCAGTGATAACTTTGATGCTACGTCTTCAGACAAGTCGTAGCTCCTTCGCTGCCGGTGCACCCATTAAACATCGACATGCTTCGCAGAGGGCCCAGAGAGAGAGTAGTCATTGACTGATGTAGCTAGTAGAATGTGTGCCTATATTATGATGAATAAAATAACGAAAGAATGGTCATGAATTATGCACACCAGCTTCCGTCTGTCAGAGGCAGGCACAGCCCTATTACGTATACTCCACTCTACACCCACTTATTTATACCGAACTGCCTTATATCAGTGCGCATTGGGTCTGTCAAGGTCCCCGCCTAGCATTGAGCAGACGAAGGAAGTAGGCAGTTACTTTTACTTCTATCAAGAGCTCCAGCCAAGCTTGAATTCAGCTGACTCGGAGTTATGTGGAGTTGTCGGGGTAACTTGAGGGCCGCCAGCTGTCACGCGTTGCAATACAATCCTTAGATTTTGATTGTGTATGCGTAATATTGCACATGACAATCAAATTTCACCTTATCGGATGGCAGGCTAGGCTAGGCTAGCGCTACCGTGGCATCATGCATATGGAGCCCACATCACCACCGAGTAAGCCGGAGGTTCATTAAGGCTCGTTCATTCTACACTTCAAGTTGGTCGGTTTCTGCATCTACGCGAGGCTCCAATGTCCGACACAACTGATGATGACGACCACCGCCTGGAGGCCCTTGGGTACAAGCCTTCCTTCCGGCGCGAGTTTTCGAATCTTGCAACTATCAGCTTTGCATTCAGTATCATGGTGTGTTCTGTCCATTCTATGGCCCCAAACTCATTTCAGATTTCAATTACAGGGATTGTGTTCAAGTATCGCAACCACTCTCAACACGCCACTGTTACTTGGAGGTCCTACTTCCGTACGTCATAACTTAAGGTCACTTCTCACTAAGGCGTTGAAAGAACTTCAATCCCAGGTTACATGGTGCTGGTTACTTGGATCATGTATGTGCTTCACTCTTGGGTCCAGCATCGCAGAGATAGTGTCTGCATTTCCTACATGCGGGGGGCTATATACGGCGTCAGCTCAACTCTGTCCGAAGTCCCATCGCGCCATCGTAGGCTGGATCGTAGGTTGGTTGAATATCCTTGGTCAGGTCGCGGGAATATCATCAACAGAGTTCGGACTCGCAAACATGATATGGGGCGCAGTGTCAATATCTTCTCCGACATTTCAGCTGACACAAGGGAAGACGGTTGGATTGTTTGCTGGCCTTCTCATTGTCCATGGACTCTTGAACTCGTTGGCGACACGGTACCTGGCCTTCGCTACCAGAGGCTTCGTGTTCGTGAACCTCGGTACAACTGTCGTTATCATCATTGTTTTGCTAGCGACCACACCTCGTTCAGAGATGCATCCAGCGACCTACGTGTTTGGAAGTCAAGGAATTATAAATCAAACGGGGGGTTGGAATAGTGGCATCGCTTTCTTGCTGGGTTTATTAAGTGTACAATGGACAGTACGTGACAAGGTTATCAGTCATAACTTTTACTTACCTCAAAATATAATTAGATGACGGTAAGATTAGACAGTTTTCAAAAGTCGATGTAGACTGGAACGGTGTGACAGGATTATGACGCGACTGCTCATATTTCGTATGTACTCTTCATGAACGCTTGGTGCTCAGTTGATGCATCTTCAATCTCAGCGAAGAAGTTCGTCGTGCTGCGTACGCAGGTATGTTGGATCACTGCAGAGCGTCTATTGTGGAGTCCTCATGCCTTGCCTTCCAGCCCCTGCTGCGATATTCATTGCTGGTAAGCTTCGATCTTTGGACAATTCGTAATAGTATCAAACGAATTCCAGTCATCGGGACCGGGATATTGGGATGGCTATTGAACGTCGTCCTCATGCTGTGTTCAGGTCCAATGTAAGTTTCCACACGTTATCTATCCCCACCACTTCTCATGAATACAATCAGAGAAAATCTGCCAGGAGTATCTGAATCTGCATTCTTGCAGGTATGGCACGAATCATGGAGTGTAAGCGAATGAGCTCACTACGCCACAGATAATGGCTTTGCGCATGGGCACACCTGTAGCGCTCTTCCTTTGGGTAGCTATTCTCTTTATTTGATACGTAGTGGATCAGGCTGATTGTATAATAAGAGCTTCGTATGCCTCACAGCGTTCTTCGTTGCACAAACGGCACTGCAGGCATGCTCTCGTACTGTCTATGCTTTCAGCCGTGATCATGGCAAGCAACAGTGTCTAGGAAATATTACATGTCCTAACCAGACCCTCAGGTTTCCCCGACAACGGATACTTCGGTCATATAGCAAATTCTACTAGAACACCCCTGCGCGCCATCTGGCTTACTACTATCTTGGCCATCATTCCAGGTTTCCTCGATCTAGCCTCACCAATTGCCGCGAATGCCATCTTTGCACTTACTGCTATTGCGCTCGATTTGAGTTACATTATTCCGATATTCTTGTGAGAAGGTTTTGTCGTTCTTATCGCTTGGTTGACCAAAGGCAAACTTCTAGGCGTCGCCTCTACGCAAATCATCCGGACGTGAATTTCCGCCCAGGACCGTTCTACATGGGACCAGGTCTCCTCGGTTGGGCAGCAAATGTTACTTGCATAAGCTGGACGCTTTTTGTCTGCGTCATTTTCTCGCTGCCCACGGTATTCCCTGTCACGAAGATTAACATGAATTATGCGTCCGTAATCACCGTCGGAGTTGTTTTTCTTAGTGGGTGGGCACGAATAAGTTCTGTTTCAAGTTTAGAGTAACTAATTGTCGCATGTCGTCGGGCTAGGGTGTGGTATGTTCTCAGGTGAGTTGTTCATTCAACGGTGTATGTTCAACAATCTCACAATCACGACCGTCCAGCGCGCATCGACATTATCATGGACCTACGTCCAACCTTGATGCAGAAACTAAAGCTCGGCTCGGTTTAGGGGAAGTTGACGCGTCATCTGTCAGCGAGAAAGAAAAAGATCGTGTATTGGTGTCTTTGACTTTGAACTCTGTGTAGTGTCGTGCACCCTCTATTAATTGTGTTTAGAGGAACAGCGCTTATGATTTGGTTCTACGTCCCTTTGTCGCCACAGCCATTAGGTATGGCATGATACTGATGAGTGCTTGCATTTCGACTTGTTACCATCCTACCCCCCAGAATTACTTACATTTGAATATGGATGGCACCATTGCTGCGCGGTTTATGCGGAAATTTTGGACCAGTTTCCACTTCACGTAAGCAGGCGTCCCTGGTAAGTGTAACGTTGAACTTGAACCTTGATCAAGCATTGGTCTTCCCCGCTATGCCATATGTAGCGCTCCGTATTGGACCAGACTGCGTGGCAATTGGACCGCCACGTTCGCACCCTTTCGTACCTCCCAACAACACACACGATCCATCTTCAAATTGCTTGAAGTGATCTTGATTCAATGAAATCACTGCAGTTGAACAACGGGGTAACTATGCCATGCATTGGTGCGCTCATGGACACACCTGATGTGTCATAATTCTATATGAACCGATGTTTCTAGCACTCGGATCATGGGTAGGGACTGACCCCAAAGAGTTAGCACGAACGTCTCCTTGGCTGTTGACTGCGCTTGAAGCAGGGTACAGGCATATCGACACAGCAGCATTGTACGGTATGTCCGAAAATGCATATTTCGAGCTAAGTTTGTGACAGCCCATGCGGATGCAGGCACCGAGGGCGCTGTCGGTGAAGCCATTAGGCAATCTGGTATACCTAGGAAAGACCTCTACATCACCACAAAGCTTCCGTGAGTCACTTTGTTACCTAGCGCTCGTAGTGAATGAATCAACTGCGGTCTGATCAACTTGATAGTTTCCATCACACCAAACGCGTACGTGAGTCCCTAGACAAAAGCCTGAAACGCACCGGACTCGACTACTTTGATCTGGTAAGCCAAAATATCAGCTTCCCCCTGGATAGCTGTGTAACTCGATACAGTATCTCGTTCACTGGCCTCAAGTTGTGGTTTACAAAAGTGAGTTTTTGAAATTATCATGTATTTAATTAATTTATCAGCGCTGATGATGCTCCATAGATAATAACCCCATCCCATTGAACGCGGATGGGTCGATGATGCTTGATGAAACATCTGATTTTAATGATACCTGGAAGGAGATGGAAAAAGTTCTTGCCAGCGGTAAAGTCAAATCGATTGGCGTCTGCAACTTCTCGATAAAAACGTAGGACCGAAATCTGATTTTTCCGTCCTAAATTGGAATGACTGGCTCACATGACGTTTGCTCTCGTATGGCAGGTTGGAACGGCTTTTAAAGACGGCCAAAGTCACGCCCGCTGTTTTGCAAATCGAGTAAGTGCTGTGCTGCGTATTTACGGTATAGGAGCCGAGAACTGCGGTCGGACATCAAGCTGATTCCGCGACACAGATTACATCCATATCTGGCTCAGAATGAGCTTTTGCAGTGGTGCAAGGATAAAGGTATAGCGGTTGTCGCCTACGCTGCCACTGGTGGGTCGGAGAATTCATATTGTACTCATCAGTGACGATATGATTATTGATCACAACGTGCAGGTTATGCCGTTGTTCGCGAAGATCCGATCATCGTGGCACTGGCAAAAAAGTACAACGTTACTCCAACACAGATTATCCTATCATGGCACATCGGACGCGGGACAGGCCTCGTTGTGAAAAGTGAGAATGTCAGCAGGCAAGAAGAGAATTTGAAAGTAAGTTTAGAGATGGGAGTTCCCAGCTTCCCTCTCTAATGGCGCGTTGACAGGTGATTGAGCTACATGAAGAGGATGCAAGACGGGTTGATGCGTTGGACAAGAATAGAAGGCTATGTATACTGCCTGATAAGCAGGGAAAGGTGTTTGGGTGGACTTTCGATCGCTTGGGATGGCAAGAAAGAGTGCTTCAAACAGAAGCAAAACTTTGAGGTAGATTTGGAATTACGCTGGAATGACTTGTGTTCCATTTGAGCTGATAGATTTCATTTGTCCCTGCTGTAAGTGCCATAGTTGTTGTCTCCCGTTGGGTAGGCCCCGCGGACAATCCCAAAAGCTGGTCCTGTGATGATAGTTGTGCCGGGCCGCTCGGAGTATTGTCACTGCGGGACGCCTTGAGCATCCCATGGCTCTCCGGGTATTTGTGAAGCTCAGTCAACATTAACTTGAATCCACCTCAACATGTCTGAATGGCTAACGAAAACGTTGACCTTGAACACAGGGGCCAAGATTCCCATTGTGGGTAAGCCCAGCTCTTGCCGGAGGGAGCTTTGACATGCAGGCACTTATAAAAATATAGGTCTTGGGGTATTTACTAGCAGAGATCCTATTGAACAAGCTAAAGCGACTCCTTGGGTCCTTACTGCCTTGCAAGCCGGTTACAGACACATTGACACAGCATGGATATACGGAACAGAGAAACCTGTTGGAGATGCAATCAAGGCTTCTGGGATTCCCCGTGAAGAGCTCTTCATTACCACGAAGCTTCCGTAAGTCTGTTTCCGCCGTTTCTCTTCGCCGTGTTTAGACCATTTTTGGCTTCTATCAGTTGGAACCACACCAAACGCGTGCAATGGTCTATCGATCAGAGCTTGAAGAACGCGGGGCTAGACTATTTTGACCTTGTACGTGAACCTCAGCTCATTGCCAAGATAATAGTGCCTTCTGATGATGGTACCGCTGTAGTACCTGGTACATTGGCCTCACAGCGTGGCGTATGACGGTAAGAAATGCTGTATTCATAGAATGATTTTTACCGAGTGGTGCGTACACGTGCAGAGAACGAACCTAGGCCGCGAAACCCCGATGGTCAGATTAAACTGGATGAAACAGGCAACTTCAACGATACCTGGGCCGAAATGGAGAAGGTCCTCGCCAGTGGGAAGGTTAAAGCAATCGGACTCAGCAATTTCTCCATCAAGACGTAAGTATCTTTGTGTGGGTGAAGGCTGCTCTCTAAATGACGTTCACAGGATGGAAGAATTATTCAAGACTGCTAAAGTAATGCCGGCTATGCTTCAAGTCGAGTGAGCATTGCGTAAATATGACCTATTGGGAGACGAAACTTTACCTTGGCATTAGGATGCACCCATATCTGGCACAGAATGAGCTGTTGGCTTATTGCAAAGAGAAGGGTATTACTGTAACAGCATATGCTCCGACAGGTCAGTTGAAGGATTCCTCAAGCATGTAGTCATAACCTCACTTTGGTATGTAGGTTATGCAATTGTACGTAAAGATCCGACGGTGGGTGAGATAGCCACCCACTATGGAGCCACCCCTACGCAAGTTATCCTTTCGTGGCACGTGGGTAGAGGCGTCGTAGTTATTCCGAAGAGCGCGGATGCTGGACGACAGAAGGAGAATTGCCAGGCAAGTCTTGACAGACATTATCATATAATAGTGGTGGGACGTTAATTTTTTCAGATCTTGAACCTGTCAGAAGTAGATGTGCAGATCATCAACGGGCTCGAAAGAAATCAGCGCGTTTGCAACAAGCCTGACGAGTTCGGGAACGTATCAGGGTGGTCCATGGAAAGGCTGGGTTGGATGTGATGAATTCAGACAACAGCAAATTTGCAGTTACTTATACAGATGTATTTCATTCCCCAACGCTCCTGCAATAGATATCAATTTGAATACTTGAGTACAGAGTACAACAGGAAAAATCTAAGTGCCATTATCATGGGTAACGGGCGGTATACGAGTACCTAAAGTCGTAATGTTGGCATGCACCTGCCTCACTGCATAGTCATTCATTGTCAAAATCCTCCCAAACAACTCTCGTCCGATCCGTCAAGAGCGGAAGATGAAAAGCCTCCATATAGCGCATAGGACGTGTGACTGGGTTTGTTGCGTGGTTCATCGTCCATGGCATATGCTCCATATTTGCTTCCTCGCTCTCGTTCCCATGGACGGTCCTTCTGTCTCTGACGGCGAACTTTATGCTCGTCGTTAGGAGAAGGAGGATAAGGGAGGAATGGTAGAGTCGAGTGAACTTTGGGGCTATGATTAGGATGATCGTATGACGGTGTCATTATATAACCATTAGGATCCCCTAGAGCACGGGGGGGCCATGGTATTGACGGAGCAGGTTTTAAGGAAGCGTTATATGAATCTGAGGAAGAACCATCACTCTCGTCCGACCCAGAAGAGAGGTCGGGAATCAAAGGAGGCTGTGTTGGGGAGTTGCGCCAAAGAGTGGATTGCGACCCATCATCAATGCCGCCCAGATTTGAGGGCGAAACTTGAGATTGATGATTGAATACGGCACGAGGATGAAGGTGAATGCCGTGCTGTGAAGGTTTCGAAGGAGATGACGAGCTCACTGGACGTTCCTCGTCCAGGGTATAAGTACGTCCCGGGCACCCGCGCTCAGGTAGAGCACATGTATTTGGTGCCACAACAATGGGAGAACGGTCATAGGTAGAAGAGGGGTATGCCAAATAGGTTCGAGTCAAAGCCGGGGATGGGGGGAAGTGAACAACATGAAGTCGTTCTGGTGAGCTAACGACACGACCATAGTTCGGAGTTGTTTGTTGATTCTTTAGAATAGGACGAGGGCGGGATGTTGAGGATGAGGGGGTATGCATGTCACTATAGAATAGCACAAAGTCTAAGAATAAGCTCGAGCTCGACGTCGGAACCGACGAGCAAAGGTCGCCAACAGGATGTTAGCAGGAAAACAGCATGGTGAGAGATGAACTTTTTAAGAGAACTAATGGATATGGACGGTGCTATGTATTTGGTGTGGATTTGGTCAAGCTTTGTTTTTTTCTTTCTTTGTGTGGCTGATGATTAAATTATGTAATTTGATCCGGGTAATGTCGCCCAACTCCGCGACATAGTACCATACTATCTTTATCACAACTTTCTCCTTACACGACATTGGAAGGTTCAATCGATCTCTAGTGCCAACATTATAATATGGTGTCTCTGTCGACGTCGTCATATCTTCCTGTTACGCCCTGAACATAATTTGATAGCGGCTGACATCTTTCAGGGCCACCGCTGTGCACACCGGCTACCGCGTGCTGTTGTCCGAGTACGATGGAATCAGCCCTCAAACGTGTATCAGAACACTGGTCGCCAAGTGCCTGCTTTTCGGCTATGTTATCTAGCCTAACTTTCGGATATGAGTTCTACATGAATTCAATTCTGCTAACGTCTCGAGTTACTATCGAAGATCTCACACAGAATCATTTCCGAATACACTATCATGCCGAGCCCTTCGCTGCCCCCCCAATATTGCTCTACGTCTACTTAATACATGTGTTGCTCTCAGTAAGGCTCGGTAAGATAGACTTTGGTTTCCCGACAGTAACCAACAACTACCAACAATATCTACTTCAGTCTGACAGATGTTCTTATTTTCCGCCTTGTTTGGGACACGACTTCACCGATATTCTGACTTCCCGGTTCCTTGGCGGCCTGGCCACTCGCCGCTTTTCTCCCTCTTGTTCTTCTCTTCGAAGCTATTTTGAGCTTTCTCGTACACTGCCTGATGTCTCCGCAACGGACACGTATATTCTCAACTGCACAAGTCCAAGAAGGATCGCAAAGGACATGACGTGTCACTTTATGACTGGCTCTGCAGCACATGAAAGAAGTTGAGTTGAAATGCTCTGTATTTGACCCATATGTGATCTTCCCATATATCCCATGAGCGTCACTCGCCGAATATGGCGTCGTGCCTCAGTCGGAATCAGTTCTATCCAAGAGGTGCGTGCTTCTGTATCTTAATATCTTAAACAGGCTAGCGTGGTGAATAACTGCCAGCTTAGGTGAAGAGAGTGATCTTCTCGGTGGAGTAATCATTCCTGGACCCTGATCAACATACCTGCCATCCTCCGCCATGCGCCTTTTTTGCCTGTGGAGAAAAATCACGAAATAAACGTCACCTGAAACTTGCGATCACTGAGGAAAATGATGCGGAGCCTCAACCTTGTCGTCCCGGCGTCCCTTGGATTCAACCGCAGTCAAACGCTTGCGCGGTATTTGCCATGACTTCTGACATCTCTAAAGAACATAACCGCTGCCCGAGTGCACCTTGTAGCAGAAGTCTCACACACTTTAGGCAGGTTCTTACCAGCATCAAACGTCCTCTCATACGATGTACGACTAAGACATGGTTGGTTGGTGGAACATGTTTCGCACACATTTAGCAGTCCATTCCATTCGGTTTTAAGCAGGAACTGGTCTTCCAGCTTCTTGAAGATGCCCATGGGGTTGACGCATGGCCCCCTATAACCTCCCACGTCACGGCTCGCACTATTTTCTAGGGTCAGCTCAGTACCAGTCGGTACCTGGCTACGTGCATTGAGGCGCCAGTATATCGATTCACTGATAGTCACCCGAAGAAGTCCGCATTCAACTCTCGCTGTGCTCTCCGTTCTACCGCCAAAGATAAGATCATGATGCAACCGAACTGTAACTGTCCGGATGAATGCAGTTGGTTATGTGCCGTTGTGACCCCTTTCAGGCTACCTCGGGTAGGATGCCCTATCATGATCAGCCTGACATCCAAAAAAGTAGTCCTCATATCATGCACTCAAGAGCGGCGCCTTTCCGGCCAAATTCCAGGATACAAGAACTTTGATCCGTGTTTGTTGAAGGTGTGCATCGAGATGGGTAGTACATGTATAGCACTGAAATCCCAGCCCAACCATACCAGTGTGCAGTGTGCGGCCGAAACATGAATCAGCAGGAACGAGCGCAATTGTGAATTGAAGGCCTTCATGATGACGAAGACAGTCACAGTCTAGTATATTTGCTATCACCCGGATCCGAACTGATCACTTACGACGTATGTACCATAAGTAACATTCCACCAGAAACGAGAGGAGCCCTGAGGGACCGATCCTCCAGTTCCTTGAAAACGTCACCATTAAGGAGAGGATGTGTCTTATCGACATAAAATCTGATACAGAGTTACAGAATCTTGCCATTCGCACCTTTTGTCGACAAAGTCGTCGTGTGGTAAATTGACGTGAGAGAGCATGACAATTGCCAAACACGCGTTCTATCCTCGTGGTCGTTATGTACTGATTACGGTAAACAGGCGGAGCCACAATCGGGAAGGAACGATCATTATTATGGTCTGGCTACATAGAAGAGAACTAGGCTGGTGATCTTACGATCGAGCTTCTGTCGTGAGGCCGTATGTACTAGGTATATCTCAGTGTTTGAACAAAGATATCCAGTGAACAAACCATGTCAGAGCTGGCTAATTCGCGCAGGAGGGGTACATAGAGGGTGGCAAGAGAAAGGGAGTGGTAAGTCGGAGGGTGGAGCTAACGAAATCTTAACGTTGTATTTAAATTTAGCTCTCCCTACGCTTCAGAATGTGTCACCACTCAGGGTTCCGCTCACAATGAAGCACCGGAGTGGAAGGGTGCGTGCCTCGCGAAGCGCTCGGAAAATGCCACTATTCCTGAGTATTCAGGGGTTCACTCGCATTACCTGCGGAGCGAGCATGAATGGTGACGTTAAGCACGCAAACACTGCAGGGCTTGAGTATCGCGTGAATGCTCGTGACATGATACAAATGTTATGGTTCGGATCTAGTAAGGTTCATCACGTTTGATGAATTGGTCTATGTCGGCGTCAGTTGTTGTCCCCAAAAGATGAGCACCCGTTATGACGACTACATAGTTGCAGCCGAAGAGCCAACCTTACTAGTGGTGACAGTGTAGGCAAGTGGAGCTGATTCCCTATTAGAGGATGGGATGCAAGCCACATGATTGATAAACGGAACTTGGATGCGAGTCGAAAATGGAGGAAAGATGAAGGCCATCACGATGGAAATGCTATCGGAAAGGTGATGAAACTAGGATGATTATTCAGAATCAGACGCATGAAACCGTCCCAACACACCTACTCTACTTGGAGGCACTTTGAGGTTGACGTCCTTTATGTGGTACTGTGTGCAACTGCAGGACCATGGTACGAGTGATACCGCCCAATGGCCGGTAGAGCTTTTCCATAATTCCATGGAATGGGAATTCGAGAACAGGGATAAAGACTCAGAGGTGACGCCTGCCAATATTTGCGGCTGCCGAGTAGGACCAGAAGAGCACGAATTACATAGTACACGGGCAACAAATTGGTTGTTTCCCGCGGGAAAACTGTTAGAGGGAAGAAGAGCGCGGGAGTCTGAGCCAACGTCAACGTCTACCTCGGTGCGTGGTTGAACTTTACGTCTGCAATTTGGCCATGGCCAAAGGTTTACAACGATACAATTAGTACGTGTAACGTCATAGTCACTAGGAACGAAATCGATGGCATTTGCCTGATTATATTTTCCAGGAGTTTTTACCTCTCGAGCGCTCCGAGTCGAACCCAATTTGCTCAGCCTTCTAGCATGTTATGACCCCTAGACTTTGTTCTCAAAGTTTTATATTTGATGGCTCAGCAGAACGCAACTGATACATATCACTCTGCCTTGATATGTTGTCCTTCGAATCGAAGTGTGAACTTGACAACAAGTTTCATACCAACAGACAAGTAACACGGACCTTTTGGTGCAGAGACGGCCCGGAAAAGCGACAATAATGCCATTGGTTTCTTGTGAGTTGTCGACCGCTCTAACATAATTTCATTTTTGGATCATCAACGTATGACTAACTCCCGTCATCACGCATGCTGCCTCCAGTTGCTAGTGATCGGCCAACTCGCTAGTAGAATTCGAATCTCCGAACCCCGAGAATGGTATCTAACCTGGAGCCTGTGATCCCCTTTCCAGATAGTTATACAATGTGTCGTGTCATTACATGTCTTACGTTCATTTTGAATGAAGTGGGGCATTCGCTCACCGTCCCAAGCTATAGGGCAAAAGCGCCGTTTAACGCGACTCTGATTTTTAGGTGATTGATAATGCCGCAGCTTTGCTCATTGCATTCATCTCAGCCGGCGTACTGTACATAATTGGTCCATCAGGATTCCTATTAATCAACTACGTGTATGGGTTCTAACTTCTCTGGCTGCAATCTGGATCTGAAGTTCAAAGGAACTTCAGAAACGACAAGTGGCAGGATATCTTCTAGGAAAATTAAGCCTTGCATTACAATATATGGAGTGCCTGCTTGGTATCTACCTGCACAGGTTCAGCGCATCAATCAGACCAACAAGTCTGCATTCTCCGAAATTCCTCGAGGCTTCTCATCTTCCCAAACGCCCTCCGTCCCAGTGATTTCGTGCGCAGTTTCCGCATTCGACTGGGGTTTCGTTGCCTCATTCTTCTTCGCAAGAGCATTGCGATAAATGCTTCTTGAGGCGAGCAGCCCAAGAGCGCCCATCACGATGGCGTGTGCTCCAGCATAGAATGCATAGTACTTGATCTTGGGCTCGCTACGAGCGAGGTGCAGGAAAATAATCCCCATGCTACAGCGAATTTGCAAAGTCAGAAACTACACGCAAGAAATAGTTTGCAGTTCTCCATGGAAGATACCCACCAAAGCGTTGCCGCGGTGCGGAGGCTACATGCATCAAAATTTAGCTCGCCAGTTAGAGTTAGCTCATTGAATATAGTGGACATACAGGTGAAATATGGTGGTAGCAATTGGATTTACGACTTGCATCTTAGGCGTGAAGAGCAGGAAGGTGAAGGTACAGACTTTGTCAGACGAGACGAGGCACTGCCTGTCACTGCAGCCACTGGGACAGTAGAATATTCTCGTTGTACCCGAACGTGTGACTCATCGTGGGATTCGCATTAATGATGACTAGAATAGTATTCACATCATTATCGCATGGCGGCGTGTATTTCCTGTGTGGGTTATAAGTATGTCACTCAGTCCCGATCCTGGCACCATTTTTGACCTTCACCAGTACAATCGAACAAGTATCATGTCAAACTTGCCCGAGCCTCCACCGTTGACTGAGAAGCTGACTGTCAAGAAAGTGTTGAAAGTCATCGGTGCTGGTATCTTTGTCCTGTGAGCAATCAGATCGTAGAAAGGAAATTTGTGACGTGAAACTGACCACTACCGCTTGACAGTTCTAATATCATCAATAGCGTCTGGTGAATGTCATTGTCAATCTCTTCTCGATTACGATGACCTAGAAATTGCAAGCCAGCATCACAGTCATTTTCATCTATCTTGGCTCAACCATTCCAATACTGGAGCCATATGCCTGCTATGTTGCTGTCTACACGCTCGGGGCGAGGACCGTCTTTCTCACATGCGTGTTTCTTGTCGGATGCTATTGGTGCTGTCTTCGACTGGTGGCGCCAAAGCAGGCTGGAAGCAGTATTTCCGAGTGGAGTTCGAAAGCGCAGACACACTCGCGTAAAGCCTTGAGTCCAAGCGACGGAAAACTAGGCAGGGCGGGGAGAACATAGTATGCATCGTCCTGTATTGGTAACTTCAACGCTTGTCAGACTGACCAGTTCCATATGCGACTTATAGTTATGGTGAGTTGTTCGTGCTAAACCAGAAGAGCGGCTGCTGACGTTCTTGTGATTCCAGCTACCATGGGCGTACTTAACACTTTCAACGGCTTGCACCTTTGCTTCCGCCCACTACCCAAGTTCGGCGTGTGCCAGTCTGTGATAGGTGTTGTTATCCTCATCGCTTCCGCCTGGTCAATCCATATTGCCTACGTAGGAAGGGTGCCAATAAAGAAGGGGACCAGAGATGAGAATATAACAGTGGGCAATAGTGTCAGTCAGCCTGAATCGAATGAGGTTACTCCAGCAGGTGCACATAAAGATGACGACACCACAACTCAGTGAAGTAGATGTTATACGGGAAGCAGTGGAAAGAGCGGCGCGGTGGTAAGTCAGCCGTCCAATGAATCATTGCCTAGCGTTGAATATTTCGACAGAAATGCCTTGATATGTACACGAATCAGTACTCTTTTGTGATCGAAATGACACAATATTATTCACCTCCTCTAGTTTCATCACCCACTAAGAGGTCATGTAGGCAAGTATTAGTATCTAAAGAACAGACGAGCCTGAAGTACATGAAATTCGAAGGAATTTTTCTTCGGGTAGTGACTCACTAGTGACAGGACACAAATCGCCCCAGAAGAACGTTTGGTGCTGCAGATTCGCCATGGATTGTCCCAAGATCTGTTTGGGGTGAATTTATGAACGAACGTCCGGGTCATTCGTCAGTGCACGTGCATGGCCTTAAATCGCAAACATCGCTTACTAGAAGCGGGCTCGACCCCCACGGGTCAACCACAGGTACGCAGAAAGCGTCACTAGACTCTCGCCTGTAAACGCCACCTGTTCAATGTTCGATTTCAACCCGAGCTCGAGGTCAGTCCAGGATACATGCTGGAATTCCGCAAGAGACGGCTGTTCGCGCTGCAAGTAATTGTTCGATACTGAATATCCTAGCCACGATCGCATTTCATTTCGCTCAGACTCAGGTCGAGGTGATGAGGCCAGACGGGATTGAGATTCAATTGCCGTAAATGAGCAAGTAATCAATGTTGATTTTCTGGGAGTGAAGATGTATCACTGGATAGAGCTAGCTCTAGGCAGGAATTGTTGTAGACAAAACTTGTAGCGGCTTGTATGAAGATCCGGGATTTTTCAAAAGAGTCACTGCAGATTTTGTACACCACATACAAGTACAACAGGATCAAGTCTCCCCAAGCCAGACCTCGAATGATGTCCAGAAGGAAGATAGCCACAGGCTAGGTGGAAGTATTGGGAGAGATCCGAGAGTCCTCTTGAGTTCACAGTTGCGTTGGCGAGGCATTTTTCCGTTGTTGAGAAAAGTCCGGAAAACATTGAAAACTTAAAAACGTTGGTCGACTGATAACCCCATTGTTAGTACGCTGGCCAGCTGGTAACAAATCTGTGAAAGGGTGCCGACACGGCAACATACATTATGTAATCCATGCAGATTTGCTAGCAAGTACTACATAGTACTAGTGCTAACAACGCTCCAACCAAAACGCAACTTCATGGTCCAGGTTTTGTTGATTATCAATTATCAATTATACTCCAGGTGTATTGCCTAACACAAAGAACAGCAAGGAGCGACAAGGATGGCTTTGTTCATTTCACTGTCTAAGATCTTTGTCCCCCTCGAACATACTTAAGTCAACCTTCTCTCTCCACTCGGCTCTAGCAAGTAACATGCAGACAGTAAAGGAGATGTCGGCCAACTCAAGATTCAACATCCCAGATACAACACGAAAAATCGTGAGTGATCGATTCCGCAAATTACAGGTATTCGTGTGTCATGATACTCATCAATTTTAGATGAATTCACGAGTGGTCATACCAGTCTGTCTATTCATCGTTTATTTCAGATGCATGATCTGATGTCATATTGACGATGGACCAGATTCCAGGCCTCGGTCCCCTGCATTGCAGGAAGCCAAAGCTTGATTGCTCTGTCCTGGAGCTCCATGACCAGGATATCAATACCGAACGACATCAAGAGTTGGTTGTGGTCTCGCACAAGGCTTTGGATCTCGTTGATTCCGTCAGGGATAAAGAAAAAGACCTTGGCCAGCAGCTTGTGGACAAACAGGACCACATTACTGAATCGGCGAACCTGGACAAGGGACTTGGATCGGCTCTCAGGCGCCTGCCAGATAACGTCTTATCCGGGATTTTTGGACTACTATCTCATGGACAGCAACTATTTGAGCCGCAAATCAGATCCGTCACCCTTGCAGTTGGCCAGGGTATGCCGACAATGGAGGGATGTTGCTATGGGCTCGGCCAAATTGTGGTGCAAACTCTCTTTTTACGTTGACGATGACCGCAAAGAATGGAAGCGGTCAGCTTTCTACTATGATTCATGGCTCAAGCGATCACAAGACTGTCCACTCTCATTACGACTCTGCCCTGGTTACGCCAAAGGTGGGACGGCCAAACTACGACGCCTTGTTCAGCCTTACATGAACCAAGTCTCATCTCTTGATATCACATTCTGGAACGACGTAGAACCAGAATATTTGCTAACAGACCTCCCTGCAGCACTTCAGGAGCTTACCGTATGCTTTGGCGACTGGTTCGATGCTTCAGCCACTGCACAATCTCTCTCTCAACTGCCATCTACTGTGCGTAGCCTCAAGATCCTAGACCGGACATTCGGCCCGGACTGTCTACTTTCTCTCAATCCTGTATGGGCCCACCTGACACACGTCGAAATCGCAATTCGTCCACGAAATGTGCTCCATTTCCTCGCTCTATGTCCCAGCCTCTCCTCGTGCGAGCTCATCTTAGGTCAACCAGCGTACATGTCCCCTCGAGTTCAGTGCATGAGATTCGCACACGCAAATATTCAATCATTGTGCATAATCTGTCCCGGATACTTTGAATCTAACCCGCTCCCTGTACTGTTCAATGCACTCACGCTCCCCAAGTTGCGCACCCTCGAGATTCGCTATGAATTTTTGTCGTCCCCTCATCAGGAGTTGGAGGCGTTTCTGGAACGGTCAAAATGTCCCCTGGAGATCCTGATTTTTAACGCTGTAGTGACACCACCACCGGACCAGCAGGGCGATTTCATTGCTATCATTCCTTTCCTTAAAATAGAATGTAGGCTGGATATCGGTACTAGATAACTAGACTGCTGATCTGTCCATACTAATATTATGAGGCACGACTGTCTTGGCTGCACGGGTAGTGATATCATGATGTAGTGAGGACATCAGTAGTAGATGTTTGAATGACTATATGTACTATCATGTGGATACACCCCCTTCTTGGGATGCGCCATAGCCAAGTGAAGTAAAGAAGGTTAACAATGTGTCCCTCCCAGCAATTGTGCTGTGAAATAGGGATAGGAAAGAGAGCAAAGACAGGTGCATGCAATAACTGAAATGACAGACGAAGGAAGATGCTAAAATATATCTGCAATTAAGGAGAGGTCTCGTCGGCCTGGGGGAGCTCAAGAGACTCTCATCAGTACTATCGGGACTTGGTTCTTCAGCGCGTAAATTTTGTCGTTGATCCTGTTGCGCGAGGTCTGGTTGGTCGTATCTGTTACCAGCGGCGCTGGGCCGGTGTGCACCTATACCGTCGCCAAATGCTGTCCAGTCCATGAAGTCACGATGTAGTCGTTCGCAAATTCACCGATTTGGGCTCTTATTAGAACGACAGAAAATCAAGAGTATGACAAGGCTTGCCTCGACTTCTCCCGACTCAAGACCGAGTTTCTCACCCTCGGCCGTTGGAAGTGGAGGCCGGGGATGCACTTGGCAATGAGAGCAGCAATGACGGACGTGTATGAACACGTTGCGCAAATATAGGTGAATTGGATGTAAGCTGTTTTCAATGGTGGTCGACCCAGCTACCAGGAACATTTGTGTTGATGCCATGCAGGGCGACGATGGAGCGGGAAGCGAAAATGTGCGCTGGACGCAAGAATTGCTCAAGTATTGGACATTGTTACAAACATGATATACAGCTATGTTGGAACTTGAAACACAATGTATGCGGGACAGAAAGACAGCCAGCTATTGAAGATGCAGGGGCAGAGGTTACTGATCATCCAAGAGGTCCATGTCGTTATGAATTTGCCGGACGGTGGTTTCCTTCAAGGCAGCGAGCTGTAACAGCATATGAGCATCTCATAGAAACATTAAAGGACCTCGTAGAGTTTAATACCCTTCCTATCAACAACTTTGATGTAGAGCGTTAGCTTGCAGGATATAAGGACATGGCGGCCAAACCTGAGTAGCGTCCTTGGCTTCATTATAACGGTGCAACAGGTTTATGTGTTTTGATACGATAGCCTCTGCGCTCTCGTCCTCACTATAGATTGGTTCAAGAGGTCAGCGCGTTTCGTCAGATTCGATTATCTACTCCAACCCTATCCTCTTCTGTAGGACATCGATTTCTGCCTGAAGTTTATCGATGTATTCCTTTTGCTTCTATACAGAAATTTAAACATACTTATTGTACGAGCCTGACTTGAAATTTGACATACCTTGGCAGACGTCGTGGCATGCATGATAGTCAAAATGAATGAGTAGAACTTCAGAACTGACGACGCGAATGCAACGCGTTGTTGACTCTTGTTTGTACATCTGGGTTCTTAACCCCTATGACGACTTGCTTTTGGTTCAAAACGTCGCTCAGATTGAACGACAACATGTATTCATCATCACTCGCGTTCGATCGATGGCGGTTTTAGGATCTATGAAGTACCGTTATGTTACAGCATATCATATCACACTACATATGTCTTGCAGGGGACAATCCAGCGCAACTTCTCCACTTTCTATTGTATTTTCTTTTTTTTTTCCAACTTGCAACGCGATTCATCATATCTCGACTTGCACTTTTGTCGACAGTGCTTTCTATTCCATTCTGCTCTCTTCTTAATCAATGCAGTTCCAAACCAACGGCATACTCATCGTAACGTCCTCGCTGCACAGTCCCAAAAACGCCCGGAGAAAGCTCAGATAACTCTCACTGATCTGAAAAAAGCAGGCCGCGTGAATGTGTTTGCGGCCACCCGATATCAATTTTTCTATTGAGATGGTGAGCACTGGACTCATTTACTGCCATATCCTGTCCTTCCTCCTTGACCTACTTGACTTGTATCAATTCATGCCGATCGGGGTGTACACATCCGGTGTGCCACGTGTATGATGATTTACGGTGCATATATCCCGATTTTGAGCCAACATTCACCATCGAGTCATTATATGCTTTCATCTCAACGCATATGCCGCCTTTTGTGCGTATTTTTCTCTTGGTTTGAGCCGTATCCCAATTTCGAATGATCATAGCTGACTCTACCTGGCACAGGCATAGCGATCTCTGTCATGCCGTCCGACTTCGTCGACTTCGCAGGTCCCATCGTGACGCGTCTTCGACAGCTTGACACGGGGCTGCGTGCATCTGCAGACCCCAATCTGCTCGTTCAAAGTCTGCTCGACCACGTCACGGATTCTGCACTTGAGGTGGTGGATGCATTTCACGACAAGATATTGCAGCTGAAATACGATGTGTTGATGGAGCCAGGTATGAAAGTGGTTTCAAGGTGTCCGTTTCTGTTTGTGTTGACAGCTCTGGAACTGATGCATATTATTTGATGTATAAGCGGACCCTTGGGCTGCTCAAGACGGTCATTTATGGGCTACAGCGGTACGACGAGGACCGATATGTTGCATTGCTCTCGCCTGCTGAGAAAGAGGTCCAAGAGCAAAGGAGAGAGAAAGTTAAGGGGTAACATATACCTGGTGCGTCGTGGCTTGTTTCACCCCTTTGTAAAAGTTTTGGCTGAATTGAGATGCAGTGGCAGGCAGACATACACGACCATATGGAATATACCCTCACAACCATGGACATGTTCGCAGGGATCACAGGTCCACAGAAATATCAACACAGTTGATATGCCCCCGAGTGTCCTTCAAATGCTCTCATGATCCGAGGTCGACGTTTACTGTATCTTGCACGACAATATCCAAACTGTCACTCACTGTCCTCAAACCCCCATCAGCCGAGACGACAGGGCCAGTGACAAATTCAAACTCTCAGCACTCCCTCATCACCACTTTAGTGCCGCAAGCTTTGCTTCTGGTTCCCCACTCACAAGTTCTCCTCGTACTCTCAGCTCTCGGGAGAATTCCAGCGACGAAGAGGAGAGCGGGATCGTGTTTGCTGGTGTTGGGTGTAAACATGAACCTGACTCTAGCGATGAAGAAGACGACCGCTTCAAGGACGAGCTTATCACTTCTTTCAACAAGTTTGGTGCACAGCGGTGCGTCTCCTTCCGCTCTTGTCAACATTTCTACGGCTCACAAGAGGCGCATGTGCTACTTGATCACCTAGTGTAAATAGCAAAAAGCCAAAGACCAAAGCCCCTACGACCGCCTTGTCATTCTTTCCAAGCCAAATCCTGACTGGCAGGAGGCGGCACGGAAACGTGGTGCAGGTGCTGCGCGATTCATCCCTTGGTCTGCAAAAAGCCAGTACAGGTGCAGACGGGAGTGTTCGAAGGCTGGGCACGTGCGATATCCTCAACTCTGGCCCCCGACTCTCAGCTATCCAGTGCTGCAACAAGGAAATTAAAATCGACACGAGCACGACGTCTGCTAGCGAACAGACAAACATGACGGTAGAAGAACATGCGAAAGTGGACATCGTAGAAGAGGCGGAAGGCCAACGAGCCTTTCTGCTGGCTGGGGATATGGACTCGGCGCCCCAGACCGATTCTATTCCAGTTCCTCCCAGCGAAACCGACGCCTTCCAGCAAGACGTCGCTGATATTCCGGGTGTTGTTATTACGATGATTATGCGCGTGTACCACATCACTGCGTTCCCTGCAGATCCGCCTGCGACCCAGTCTTTTCCGGCAGGAGTCCTCTAACCGTACGTCCATGATGGAGTATGGGGAGTAGGCGGTGGAATCGCATGGGGAATGGACACAGTGGACTGGTTAGACTGGATTGAAGTCTACCTTACTTAGTTGGAGCCTTCTGTTACATGACGTCATGAACTGACGTCACGAGCTCCTATATAAGTACCAGGTTTTGTCGGTATCCTCCCTTTCTCCCTCAACACAAACATGCGATTCAGGTCTTCAGTCTATGTTATTCTTGTCATTGGTTCGGCATACGCATCGAGCTGGTTTGGCTCTGACCCCGAATACGACAAATGGTCCCATTCCGAGTTACGTTCCTGGCTTGAAGACCATCACATCAAGGTCCCCTCTCATTTTGATCAATCCCAGCTTCATGACCTCGTAGCAGTAAACTGGGCTTCTCCTACCCCTACACCCCCATCTTTTGCTGAACAGTCTAGTACCTACGCTGACGCAAGCAGGCAATGGAGCTATGATAAATATACTCATGCCCAGCACGCATTCCAGGACTTGAAAGAAGATTCTTTCGACATCTGGGACGAGAGCAAATTGAGAGCGTTTCTGCTCGAGCATGGCGTGGTAGCGCCTTCTGGACCCCGCGAACAGCTTGTTTTGCTTGCCAAACACAAATATCGTTCCTATACCGATGCTGCGTCATATTACTCTTCCCTTGCGTCTGAAACCGCCACTTCGGCATACTCCGATGCTACGGATACGTTATATGACGCATCTAAAAGCGCGAGCAGCATTGTAGCTCAGGCTACCCAGAATGTTGGTCGCGCTTTCGACGACGGCAAGGATTACATCCACTCAACTTGGGATGATAATCGTCTCAGATCTTGGCTCGAAGATCATGGAGTAGTTGAGGCTAGAAAGGCTAGCACCCATACCGAGCTCACAAAGCTCGCTAACAACTACTGTCGTACGGCTGTGGAGCCAGTATGGAACGCCTGGAGCGACTCGTATTTGGTATGTATCTACGTACTTCAGGAGTGTGGATTATCTTGACATGTTCTCAAGCGCGAATGGCTGATCTCGCACAACCTTCTTTCACCCTCCGATACCGCATCGCGCTCCACCTTGCTTGGAGAGATGAAGAAGTATTATTACTCCTCACACGACAAGGTTTGGAGTACTTGGTCTGATAGCGAATTAAAGGTTTGGCTCGTCGAGCATGGTCTCCTCAAGAGTGACGCACAAAAGAAGCGTGATGAACTGGTGAAGATGGTTGAGTAAGTAGTCCGCCTTCATCTTTTGCCAGATCCTCATCGCTTTACAGGGACAACTACGCTTCTGCCTCAGACAGCGTATGGGACGCTTGGAATGACTCAGACATTCGTCGATGGCTTTCTGAACACGGATACACTGATGATAGAACCGTTGCGCAGAAAAAGCGTGATGAGTTGGTGAGCTTGATCAACAAACAGTCCGTACCATTACTCCGACGCGCTTTGAAATACCCTGATATCCTATCCAGATATAACGACGTTTCCGCGCGCACTGCTGCATATCTCTTGTGGCCGGACGCTCGCTTACGTGCTTACCTTCGCGAGTGTGGTGTCAACGAAGCTGCACTCCCCACGAATAGGCCCGGGTTATTGCGTACGTGTCTCGCTCTCATTTACTATATTTGGTATTCATCTATCGTAGAGGAGACTCGCATCCGCTGGGTCCAGACATCTAAACGTGCTGAGACAATCTTCACAAAGCTAAAGGAGATTGTCGACAGTAGCGTAGGCGCAGTGGAGGATAGATTGGCCAGAATACTCGAGGTAGGTTTATATGCGACTGCCTCCTCGTTCAAACTGACTTCTCGTTAGCTCCTGAGTGGCCATTCGCTCCATACTTCCGAGAAGGCTGGTGATGCCCGTGCTTACGCGGAGGACAAGAAGGATAGCGCGTGGCATTGGTGCTCTCAGAAGGGCGATGATGCAAAAGGCAAGGGTGGCGAATATGCTGAGTGTGCTAAGAGGAGGGCACAGGAGGAGTTTGATGAGAAGGTGAAAGGTGCTGGTGAAAGTATCAAACGGGGCGGGGAGAAGATAAAAAGTGCTGGCGATGAGCTCTAGACGGAAATCAAGTGAAGTATGCATACAGTGTCAAATCGTCGAGGAAGTACCTATGTAGTAATGTTGTAACATCGTGCACTATTGTAATAAACTCCCAATGTCTCTCATTTATAGTCGGGATTAGCGTTCAGCGCTCAGCTCTGACTTGAAATTAAATGGCATACGCTACTAGTACTAGGGGTATTGCATAAAGCAAAGAGATGTTTGATGCTGTTTGGTGTTTAGTACACTTAGCATGATTATTTTTGACTCTTAACTTTTCGTGGGGTGATGCATAGATAGGATGATTCCGGTGAGACTATTACGTTCGTGTTTGTGTTGCTTGCCTGCCTTGCCCTGGTGAGCATAGCTGCACTTTTGCTGGTGAGACCTGCCTTGGTATTGTTTTCTTGAATTCAACTGAAGGAATTTCGCGCCTACTAGGGTAATTATGACGGTAATCGCTCGTTTATATGTGATCCGACACGGGAGACCGAGTGGAACCGCGCGAGAATCATTCAAGGCCAAGCTGATTCCCAGCTCAATGATCTAGGAGAAACCCAGGCCGCTATGACTGGAGAAGCGTTGAAGGCAATCCACTTCGACAAAGCTTTTACGAGCGATCTTTCAAGAGCTTCCAAGGTACACATCTCTAGGTTTCTTGAAAGGCACCAAGGTTGATCAAATCTAAAACGTGTTATGTTGATGCAGACGGCTGAAATAATTCTGCAGCATCATCCCGATGTCATCTTGGTGAAAGATCAAGCTCTGAGAGAGAGGGTAAGTATGCGTTGCAACTCCCTGGCAGTTATCTTGAAGCTCACTGCTATGTGGGGTCTCCTCATAGTTCATGGGGAAGTTACAAGGAACCAAAGGACCAGCGAACCCAAGCGAACCTTCCCTTGAATCCCACGAAGCCATGCTCGAGCGATCCGTCGGGTGGTATAATCGCGAGATTGTTCCATACATCTTATCCCTTGTCGACAATCCTGACGAAAGATGTCGGAACATTCTAATTACGTCGCATGGATGGCTTATAAGTTCATTTTTCAAGTCCATGATAGCGACCGGGGTATTGGAGTGCACCGATGATCTATTAGGAGCTTCGCCGAGAATACCTAATGCTAGCTTATCAGTGGTGGAATACAGCACGATTGGATCTGGGAAACAACGGAGAATTGGGTCTACTGTTGTTCAGTACGGAGATGACTCACATTTGACCGGGACGCAAACTCTGCGGGACAATGCAGATATGGATGCCCTTCGATCGTGATTATATTGATGTTGTCATATTTTCCATAGCTCTGTCACACATACCAACTTAGATGATATACCGTCCTCTTCTCTTTTCAGCTTGACCTCGAGACTGTCGATTTTTGCGAAGTGGTGTCCGACTTGCTTCATGGACCATGGTTTATCTGCACACGTCCTATTGGAATGTCTTTTTCTCACAGCTACTATGCAATGTAAGGGGAAACCTTTGTCGACTGTGAACACACCAGGGACCGATGATCTATGTATGATTCACTGGCAATTACTCTGAAACGGTGAGAGAGGGTGCATCATAGGGGAGGCTGCCCTCGTGATGTAACCTCTCTCACCATTTCAGGCATTATACATCTCACCAAGTTTTAAAGCTTTAGTTGTCTCGGCTTCTTCAAGTCAGCTGAGCATTACCCGGTCGCCGTGTTGGAGATAACAAGGGGGTTATTGTAAAGTTGAATCTGGTATGGAGCCATTCCCATGAAGCATACCAAGCTAGTGACGGCCCCCTCATTCTAAAGTTCACGTCGGGATGCGTGAACAACTTCACTTACACTTACTTGTCTCTCTCACATATGCGGGGTAGCTGGTGGGAAAATTTAACGATGCTGGGAGGACTTGGAGGCGAGAGATTGCAATGCATTTGTTTACTTTTCACCTGTAACTCCAGTCTTTCCTTCCGTGGTGCTTTGCTTGCCTGCAAGTACGCTAGGTATCAAGTAAATCACGGACCACCCCAAGCACGCAAGAATTTCGAGCTGAGATTTACCTTGCCTGTACCCTTTTCGAGCTAGGTCCCGTATGTCATTTCCATATATATACATAGGGCCGATAAATAAGTCTTAAATAACTCTCTTCCGATATCTCTTCGGATCTCTGCTTGAACTCTTCCACAGCTCACTCTTCCACACTCTCAAACACCATGAAAGCTGTCGTTCTCGGTGCTGCAGGTACCGTAGTACTTCCTTGTCTACGCGATCGCTCAGATCCCTTAATCAACTATAGGTGGTATCGGCCAGCCGTTATCGCTTCTCCTGAAGGCCAACCGTGCTGTGACAGAGGTAAAGTAATCAACAAGCATCCAGCTCAGATGGTGAATGATATATCCTATACAGCTCGCTCTTTATGATATTGTAAACTCTCCCGGGGTGGCCGTGGACCTTTCTCATATTGCTACCCCCGCCAAAGTCGAAGGATTCCTGCCCCCCGATGACGGTCTCAAGAAAGCACTGACTGGTGCTAATGTTGTCGTAATTCCTGCTGGTATTCCAAGAAAGCCTGGCGTGAGTTCTCGTGCACAATGCTCAAATCAAACGATGGCTCATCTCATACGATTTCTTAGATGACCCGGTCGGTGTTGCTATTCGGGTCGTTATGTATCAATGTTACTGATTTTTATGGCGCCATATAGTGATGATTTGTTCAAGGTTAGCTCACTCAGTTATATTAGGTCGTCTAACCACTTATGCACCCATAGATCAATGCTGGCATTGTCCGTGACCTCGCTACTGGCATTGCCACTACGGCCCCGAAGGCTTTCGTCCTTGTTATTTCCAATCCTGTTAACTCCACAGTTCCTATCGTTGCGGAGGTCTTTAAGAAGCATGGTGTTTTTGACCCCAAGAGGTAAGATCGTAATATGAACAGCATGGCCGGCATTAATAGGACATAATCAGGATTTTTGGTGTAACAACGCTGGATGTCGTTCGCGCTTCGACTTTCGTCTCTGAAATTCTCGGTGATCGTTCATTATCACCGTCAGTATCAGTTCCTGTGGTCGGTGGCCACAGTGGTGTTACCGTCAGTTGTGCTTTCAAATGCTCATCTTCAGAAGTGACTAACATGACATCAGATTGTTCCCCTACTCTCTCAATCTTCCCACCCTCTGCCAGCATCCCTTGACGCCACCGCTATTGATGGCCTCATCAACCGCATCCAATTTGGTGGAGACGAAGTTGTCAAGGCGAAGGACGGTGCTGGCTCAGCAACTCTTTCCATGGCTTACGCGGGTGCTGAGTTCGCCGGGAAAGTGATCCGTGCCATCAAAGGCGAAAAGGGAATCGTCACCCCGACATTTGTCAACCTTGCTTCAGACAAGACGGGTGGTGACGCCCTCAAGAAGGAACTTGGCAAGGACCTAGAGTATTTCTCTGCTCCGGTCGAACTTGGTGTAGGTTAACACAATGATGCTGAATGTCTTTGATACTGATAACGTCCCAGGTTGATGGTGTCGCTAAGATTCATGGTCTCGGTAAGATCACCCCCGCTGAGAACGCGCTTGTCCAAGCTGCTCTTCCCGAGCTCTCTGCTAACATCGAGAAGGTCTGTATTTCTCTTGTCCAATTCAATCTCACCTAAAGATATCGATATTGCAGGGTGTCGCCTTCGTCGAGGCTCCCAAGCTCTAATTTATACTGCAGTGATGCTCGAGCAGTCGACCTGTATAAAACATTGTACAAATGACAAGACTTGTAGAAGGTAAAGGTTGTAGAAGGTGTAGAATGAAATATATTCAAAATTACTCGCATATAATCTTGGATTCGGACCATCTGTCAGATCTCAGTTCCAAGTGAAGTCACCATAGTGGACCATGTACAAATCCTTCATTGTTTTGTCTATGGTCTGTCTAGATCATGCAGTCCCCCGAAGATATACGACTTCATTCATCAGAGAGCTCACGCACCCATTGCTCGTGTTCAACTTAGTATTTATCTCTGCATGATCCCGAGAAGTGACTTCGAGTTGCGCGTGAGTTTTTTTCTCGAAGTCTCGCAGATCCTGCAGCGAGCAGATTTGGAATGAGGAAGAACGGGATTGAAGGGATTTGGCTTCAGGGAGACGATGAATGCTTCGCGGTCTTCTATGTTGCGTCCGAGCCGAGCTGAAAGACAGCGTTCTCGTGAATGCGCGCTCGTTAGTTCGTTGATACAGAACTCGTGCTTATAGGATAGGTTTGGTTTAGATGAAGGAAAGATAGAAGGATTCGTACCTCCTCATGTTTCGACGTCGGCTGTCAGCGCGTTGTTCTATCCAGAGGGTCTTCTACATATGTGAAAGCAGGCAGACTCTTTGATGAGGTTACATTAAGATAGTATAAGACTTGGGTAAGACTGATCAGGAGAAGTGAATGCGATCATCTACACTTTTTAGTATTCGCATTTGCGTGATATTCACTGACCGACAGTACTAACTCACTGTTCAGAAAGTCTTGACTTGTGGCGGTTCAAAAATAGTGAAAATGTTGAAAATTCATTTACAGCTGTTACCTTGTTTACCAAGGTCACTACTATCACTTGCCCAGAGTTGCAAAACGTTCCGACCAGTTTTTCATAACACAACAACTACACAACATTAAAATAAAGAAACACTAGGAGCATGTTGGATTTAGTATAGACTCTAAGGCTATGTAAAAAAAATAAAGAAATCTGTCCAGCCTACGTTGCCAGAGAGAAGCCGGTGCGAAACAGTGTTTGAGCACAGAGTTGCAAAATTTCTCGCCCCCATAGAAGTCATCGTGTCACACTGTGTCACACTGCCGTTTAACTCTCCGACGAACGAAACCGGGGCGTTTGACAAGTGTTATTAAGGATTCGAAAGGCTTTGTACAGCATCGAGGCTTGTATTTTTAATGTGCAAGTATGCTTATGGACTGTAAGGTATTAACTAGACAGGTATAATATATGAATATGCTGCAGGAAAGATTATACATCAGTAAATCATGAGTTCACTTCTTACCTACTTATGGCCAACTTTTTCGCACAACACAGTGGGACGTCATGTCAAGACAACAAAAGTGAACACTACTTTTTTCAGTAGATCTCTTGCCTCAAATTCAACTTTTTCTCAACTTTTAACAACTTATTTTATGAGACCTATGTGAAACAGCACATTAAAAACTACCTGAATTGAAAATAAGTAGTCCAAAAGTGGGAAAAGTAGAGGCAAAAAGCATCTAGAAAGCAGTTCAAAAGCGCGAAAAATAGAGACAAAAAGTAATCTAGTGTCATATGCCATTCCGGACCCTCAGCTCTAAATCCGCTTCTCTGGACATCCGTATCCGAGATCCGGATCTCCAATAATCTGATCTATCTTTATCTCCCTTCCGGAATCCAAACACTATATCAGCACCCAACCCCATTTAGACTTCCCCTGTCTCCGGACTCCGGTTAACTATGTTTCCCTTTTGATTATTGATCCGTTACATACATTTCATTTCCGATATGCATTATTTGTGATCTGTCCTACTTACTAATAGACTTTGCATAGGCTTCATACATAGCCTTTGTGTTTGCTGACTGATTCCTATATGATACCTACAGTATATAGACCTCCTGTGACTCTTGGAAATACTTCAGTTTGAATATCATCTTAGTTCCTGCTCATTCCTGTGTCCTCTGGACTTGAGCCAAGTCTCTTGTCACATTCTGAGTCTTAGGATTGCATCCTAGACTACATCTCTGGCTCTACCTTAGGGTAGTCTATCCCCTGTTAGTTTCTAGTCTGGACTTCGTCCAGATTAGCCTTATCTGCTTGTCCAAGTAACATCTGGACTGTCATATCTGCATATCTGGATCTCAGATCCAACCCTTATCTCATCTCAGATCCACATCTTATCTCCCTCCAACATCTCATCATTGTTAAGGTCATACTCAAAGGGTAACTGGATCTGAAGGGCTTCGGCCTCAGCTTGTATGCTGTGCCCCTTACCCGAGTATTGCCCCTTATTTCAGGAAGGCAAGCCTAGTGCGTCCGGAAGGTCAGACGAGTAGCGTAACAGATCCGGATGACTTCTGGATGAGGGATAAGTATTGTATGGCTAATCCGGACGAGTCCAGACTAGAAACTAACGGTAATGGACTGTCGGGGACAGAGGTGGATACAGATAGACTATAGGAATCAATCCTAAGTCTCGGAGGGTGATGAGAGTAGAGGTACTCAAGTCCAGAGGACAGGAATGAGCAGAACTAAGATGATATTCGAACTGAGGTACTACAGAAAGTTACAGGAGGTTATATACTATAGGTATCTAATGGAATGATCAATCAGCAGAGTCCGAGGCTATGTACGAAGCATGTGGATAGTCTATTGGTAAGTAGAAACGGATCACAAATCATGAAATGGAAATGAAACATAGGTAGCAGATAAGGGAGCAGGATGGATATACAGATAACTGAAATACCGGAGTTAGGGGGTTACCAAAAAGAGACGAGTGCTGGTTGTGGATTTGGATGAGTTGTGGAATGGACCGGATGAGTGGACAGATTGAATGATGAGATGTTGGAGGGGGATAAGATGTGGATCTGAGATAAGGGTCGGATCTGAGATCCAGATATGCGGATATGACAGTCATTCAATCTGTCCACTCGTCTGGTCCAGTCCACAACTTATCTGAATCCACAACCAGTGCTCATCTCCTTTCAGTAACCCCCTAACTCCAGTGTTTCGGTTATGTGTATATCCATCCTGCTCCCTGATCCGTTACCTATGTTTCATTTCCGTTTCATGATTTGTGATCCATTTCTACTTACCAATAGACTATCCACATGCTTCGTACATAGCCTCGGACTCTGCTGATTGATCATTCCGTTAGATACCTATAGTATATAACCTCCTGTAACTTTCTGTAGTGTTACAACTGCATTTGCCCCTATTCATTTTCCTTTCCTTTTCACCTGTATTACGTCATGAGCTGCACTTTGCTGCCGCTAGACTATCTCTGACTCATTCTGTATTACATCATGATCGCTGCTGCTGTTGTTAGATGACCCACTCTTATCTCTGACTCATTCTTATCTCTGACTCATCGGTTGACTCACGCCTGCCCTGAATCATCTACAGTTCCCTATATATAGTCAACGATGTACTCAGTAGTACTTCACTTTAATCCTACTAGGTTTTCACCTGAACATTCTTTTGCTTAGGACCCCCAATCCTAAGTCGTCTAAGACAGATATTCAAAGCAGAGACACTCTCTTTGCTTTGTCTTATGACCCTTACATTTGTAAGGTCTTGACTCAACTTTAGCTGTTACTCTTATTGAGTAGCTATTGTTGCGACTATCCTAGTTTGTAACAAAGGATTAAAGTCCTACTCTGACCCTCTCCATCAGGGAGGTCCCAGAAAACCAGAACTCAGAAATCAGAAATAAATGGAGAGAAATGTAATGTTCCCCATCTTACAACCCTTACATTTGTAAGGTCTTGACTCAACTTTAGCCATTACTCTTATCGAGTAGCTATTGTTGCGACTATCCTAGTTCGTAACATGTAGTACCTCAGTTCAAATATCATCTTAGTTCTACTCATTCCTGTCCTCCAGACTTGAGTATCTCTACTCTCGTCACCCTCCAAGACTTAGGATTGATTCCTATAGTCTATCCATATCTGCCTCTGTTTCTGACAGTCTATTACCGTTAGTTTCTAGTCTGGACTCATCCGGATCTGTTATGATACTCATCCAACCTTCCGGACATGTTAGTCTTGCCTTCCTGAAATAAGGGGCAATACTTGGGTAAGGGGCACAGCACATGAGCTGAGGCCGAAGCCCTTCAGATTCAGTTATCCCTTGAGTATGACCTTAACATGGATGTCCGTTATCTGCCCTAGTCAAATCCTGGAAACTCCGGACAACTATTCTAGCCCCCGGAAATTAAGGGCACATACTCGGGAAAGGGGCACAGCATACAAGCTGAGGCCAAGCCTGTTAAGATCATGTTGCTCAAAGGAGAGAGAGACTGACTCAGAGGGGCTTGGCCTCAGCTCATACGCTGTGCCCCTTACCTGAGTATGGGCCCTTCATTTCAGATGAGGTCCAATGATGGTCCAACAAAGTCCAAAGGACTTCCAGAGGCTGGCTACTCTGGTGGAGAGTGCTAGAGGACTTCTGGAGGAGTGCAGGAAACGTCTGGAGGAGTGTGGGAGAGTTCTGGAGGAATGCAGGAAGTGCTCAGGAGAGTTCCCACTGCGAGGTAATACTTCTACAGGAAACAGGATGGAAGGATAGGAGGTCCAAAGGTCCAGAGGACAGGAGGGCAGGAGGACAGGAGGACAGGAGGGCAGGATGATGGAGGACAGAAGGACAGGATGTCCAAAGGTATGGAGGGTGGAATGTCTGAAGGACAGGATGCCCAGAGGTATGAGGGACAGGAGGTCTGGAGGTCCAGAAGGAATAGGGGCTACACTGGATGCAGTCTGATGTAGAAGCAAACAGAGGTAGACTACCCTAAGGTAGAGTTGGAGAGAACAGGGATTGGACCTAAGTCTGGAAAGAGGGTAAGTGCCGGAAAGGCAAAGCTCTGGCCTAGGGAATCAATCCCTAGGCCTGATGAGTAGGACAGACTTAGGTGGACCAAAGTCCAAGAGAGGATTGGGCAAGTCTAAGTTGATATTCAAACTAAGGAAACTACAGGAGTATCTACAGGGGCTATATACTGGACAATATCTGAGGGGATCAGTAAGCAAAGGAGCAAGGCTATGTATGAGCATGTGGAAACACATTAGTAAGTAAGATGGAACATAAGTAAGTGAACTTGGAGATGAAGACTTGTACAAGGATCAATAAGCAAGACAGAAGAAGAGGTAACCAAAAGCTGGAAAGGCAGAGATGTCTAAATGGGGATAGGCACAGGATGTTGGACAGAGGGTGGGAATAGGTCCGGAGTTAATATCTGGAGGTCTGGAGATCTGGGGATCCGGAAGACAAGGTGGATATAGTCCAGAATCTGAGATGAGGTGAAGTCCAGATGTCTTGCTGGATGGATTGTGCATAGGGTGGATGGGACAGGGGGGTATGGATCAGGCTAGCAGTGGAGATCCAATGGTCCAGAGCTCAGGGGTAAATCTGGAGCATAGTCAATCCTGCTGAGGTGTGGAGCACACAGTGGAAGGGGATCTGGGAATGAGTTGGATATGAAGTGGGGTCCAGATGTAGGCTTGGAAGGCGTGGGAATATGATGGAACATGGGTCTGGATTGTGGGATATGACAAAGCCCTTGTGATCCGACCCCCTTGAGCATGTGACCTTAACATCTAGAAGTAGTCCAAAGATGGCTCAATTTACTGGAGGTGGGGGAATTATGACAAAGATGCATTAATAAAATGACAGATGATGTGGGACAGAGGGATAAAGCTGAGAAGTATTCTGTTGGACATGTGGTCAGTAGAGTACATATCAAGTAAAAATTACTTACAGAGCAGGGCATGTCTGCCCATCGGCTTTAGCTGAGAAGGAGCATCTTGGGCCATTTCCTGCCACTTCTGCACCAAGGCAATTGTATCCATTGTGTACTTCACCCCTCGCCTCTTGAGGGATTCATAATATTCCAATGTCACTGAGCTGCAGTTAGCCTCTGAAAACACTGATGCTGTAGTGGTGTCTTTACTGGTTGATTTGTTGCACTTCAGGGGTGTTTTGCAGGCCCTAATGCTGCCCTTCACACTGTTGGTGCCAGTGCTGAAGTCATTGGCAAATTTTTTTGGCTTTGCAGAGAAATTGAAAGTGCATTTGAGCTGCAAAAATAAACCATTAATCAAAGTTAAAATTAACAGACACAACCTACTGCAGCAGCACTTGCAGTGATTATAGCTTGCATGCCCTTCACTTGTAGAGTGTCTGTGTCAAGTGCCGGTACATTGAGGAATCCAGCAGTTGCATTGATGTGAGCAGACTTGATCATTTCTATCATGAACACCGACTGGTAGATCTTGTTGGGGTCACAATTCTCTGGATCCTCATAGAGGAAAGCCCAATTCTTGAGAAGACTTGCTGCTAGTTCCTGTTCATAGTCAGCATTGTCATCATCATCAATCTCATTATTTTTAGAAGTAGCCAAAAAATTAGTGACAAGGGCAATTGCTGTTGATCTGAAATTGCTGTGCCAGGAGCAAAGGTGTTGATTCACCTTTGGGTGCAGATTAAAATAGTTGGATATGAAAATAAGAGTGAGACATACCAAGCCCATAATAGGGCCTTTTGGTTGAACATTGTAATTCATTCCTGGAAATGCAATGTCAAAAATGGCCTGGAGCGCTGGATGTAAATTTTCGGCCTTGATGGACCAAAGTTTTGGCTGGGCACCTGCCCAAAGAAAAACTGTTGGGATAAAGCTCCTATGCCATGCACTGTCCTCCAGCATAATTGGTGGGAGATCCATGTTTCACCACTGACTTCCAGATTTGGGTTGTGTTGCCATGTCAGCAGACATCAAGCTGGGTTCAGGGATTGTTGGAAGGATGGGTTCCAATTTCAGTTTCTTAGGTGGGTTTGGTTTCTCAGTGCCAGTGACTGTCACACTAGTCTAGAGTATATATTAGCATCATAAAGATATATATATAAACACTTACCTTTGTAGTAGTGCACATTTGCTCAGGGACCTTTGTGATTGAGGAAGATTCTTTATTGACTAACATAGGGTCAATAATGAACTCCTCCTCCTTCTCCCCCTCGTTGTTGTTGTCTTGATTGTTGTCTTCAGAGGAGCCTATCAACCTGGCTTCCTTGATTGTTCTCTTCATGGACAAGACTGCGTGAGGTTGCTGGGCCTGCTCCAGAGCAAGTCTTACTATGTCAGCTTGTTGACTAAACAGCAGTAGATTAAATGGTGTGGATACAGGAATGTTGGACAATCCATCATCTGAACTCTCAGCAATCTGTACAATAGACTAAGACAAACTGATGTGAGTATGCATCAAATGAAGATGAGTGACTCACCTTCATTCCCACCTTCCCTTTTACATTAGTAGACAGGTGCTCTTCAAAATCTTCATTGTCCCCATTTCCATCTTCTTCATTGCCTCCATCCTCACCATTGTCCGATATGGAATTGTCTGATGAATCCATCAAGGAAAGGGGTGGGTCTTTTGCAAGTGAGACTGTGGTTGCCACAGTCTGACTTGTCTTCAGGGTTGTCACTGACAAAACAGAGCCACCTGAAGGTTCAGTTTCAGGTCTTGCGACAGGGGACACTTTTGACTTGGTTTCAGGTTCCATGTGAGTGCGCCAGTTGTTGACCTTTCCTGTCAAACCGAATTTCTTACTACTAAGTGCCCAAGTCAAGGTCATAAAACACAGTGTGGATTCAGTGAGCATCAACATGATGGTAAGAAGATAAATTCACTGACAGTAAAGGATTTCCTTGTCAGTACCAGTCTCTTTGACTTGCTGATCACTACCAAGGATTGTAGCACTGATTGCCTCATGCACCTTCTTGATCTTCTTCAGCAGCTTTGCAACCTTGTTCCCAACTGCTTCAACATCTCCTTCACCCATATCACCAGCATCCTGGCCCTTCATGCCACCTTGACTCTGAGCTGGTGCTGGAGGTACAGGCAGACTCCCAGAGGTAAGTTCACTAGCTGCACCTACCCTATCTGTCTTTTTCTTGACTGGCCTAGCATGAGGCTTTACTGGCTTCGCTTTTGCAGTCACCTGGATACCCTGCTCCAACTCCATGGCAGCCTCAATGCTTGCAATACGATCAATTCCATGCTGCAAATCAGCTTCCTGTGTGTCTTGTGCATCCTTGGCATGCTGTTTGTCCTCCTTAATCTGGGCTTGGGTGCATCATTTTTGTTTACCTTCAAGAAGCACAAGCCCAGGACATTGTGTGGCATTTTTGACACATGTATGGCAAGGAGGGAGGAGAGGTGCCATGGCAGATATGAATGGCAGGCAAGGACAGAAGAGGAATGTGGCAAATGACAGTGATAAAAGGTAAGTCAAAGTAAGTTGAATGTATGAAATTTCCTAAATGCAAACAAACAACCCTTCAGTAGCACTCAATACTGATTTTCCAAGTCCACCTATACTCACTACAGGTATGTGTACTCACCTCCAACACAGGCTAGTCAACTCAAGCTATCAGACAGTTCCTTCTGCACTCAGTCTCCAGTCCAGTCAACTGAATTCTTCCATACATCACTCAAGGCAAGGGCGTATCACTCATCTCAGTAAGTCAATCAAATTCTTCCATGCATCACACTCAAATGTCTACTCAAGGAAAGGGTGTACCACCCTCCCTCCTGTGCTCAACCTCCTCTGGTCAGTCAACTGAATTCTTCCACCCATCACTTGAGGCAAGGGCATACCATGCATCACTTGGGGCAAGGGCATACCACCCCTCCATCCTGCATTCAGTCTCAGTAAGTCATTCAAATTCATTCACATATCACACTCAAATGTCTACTAAAATACATCTACTCAAGGCAAGGGTATACCGCAACAGGTTCTTGGCACCATGTCACAATCACCCCGAAAGCCTAGCAGTCTTTCCATCTCTTGTACAAAGCCAGGGTGCAACTGCTGGTTTAGAAATCAGTCAGGGTACACTCAACATATGAATGCAAAGCACCCTGCTTTCTTAATGCCACCTTGTCCACCAAGTTTTGGGCTTGTGTCATATCCCACAATCCAGACCCATGTTCCATCATATTCCCACGCCTTCCAAGCCTACATCTGGACCACACTTCATATCCAACTCATTCCCAGATCCCCTTCTGCTGTGTGCTCCACACCTCAGCAGGATTGACTACACTCTGGATTTACCCCTGAGCTCCAGACCATTGGATCTCCACTGCTAGCCTGAACCATAACCCCCTGTCCCATCCACCCTATGTACACTCCATCCAGCAAGACATCCAGACTTTACCTTGTCTCGGATTCTGGACCCTATCCACCTTCTCATACCCTGGTCCTGTATCCACCTTGTCTTCCGGATCCCCAGATCTCTGGACCTCCGGATATTAACTCCGGACCTATTCCCACCCTCTGTCTGATATCCTGCGCCTATCCCCATTTAGGCATTCTCTGCCTTCTGGCTTTCAGTTACCTCTTGTTCCGTCTTGCTTATTGATCCTTGTATGAGTCTTCATCTCTGAGTTCATTTACTTATGTTCCATCTTACTTACTAATGTGTTTCCACATGCTTGTACATAGCCTTGCTCCTTTGCTTACTGATCCCCTCAGATATTGTCCAGTATATAACCCCTGTAGATACTCCTGTAGTTTCCTTAGTTTGAACATCAACTTAGACTTGCCCGATCCTCTCTTGGACTTTGGTCCATGTCATATCCACATATCCAGATCTCAGATCCGACCCTTATCTCTTCTCAGATCCATATCTTATCTCCCTCCAACATCTCGTCATTCAACCTGTCCACTCATCCAGTCCAGTCCACAACTTATCCAAATCCACAACCAGTGCTCGTCCCCTTTCAGTAACCCCCTAACTCCAGTATTTCGGTTATCTGTATATCCATCCTGTTCCCTTATCCGCTACCTATGTTTCATTTCTGTTTCATGATTTGTGATCTGTTTCTACTTACCAATAGACTATCCACATGCTTCATACATAGCCTCAGACTCTGCTGATTGATCATTCCATTAGATACCTATAGTATATAACCTCCTGTAACTTTCTGTAGTACCTCAGTTCAAATATCATCTTAGTTCTGCTCATTCCTGTCCTCTGGACTTGAGTACCTCTACTCTTGTCACCCTCCAAGACTTAGGATTGATTCCTATAGTCTATCCATATCCGCCTCTGTCCCCGACAGTCCATTACCGTTAGTTTCTAGTCTGGACTTGTCCGGATTAGCCCTATGATACTTATCCCTCATCTGGAAGTCATCCGGATCCGTTACGCTACTCGTCCAACCTTCCGGACGCATTAGCCTTGCCTTCCTGAAATAAGGGGCAATACTCGGGTAAGGGGCACAGCGCACAAGCTGAGGCTGAAACCCTTCAGATCCAGTTATCTTTTGAGTATGACCTTAACAGTCCACCTAAGTCTGTCCTACTCATCAGGCCTAGGGATTGATTCCCTAGGCCGGAGCTCTGCCTTTCCAGCACTTACCCTCTTTCTGGACTTAGGTCCAATCCCTGTCTCTCCAACTCTACCTTAGGGTAGTCTACCTCTGTTTGTTTCTACATTGGATGGAGTCCAATGTAGCCCCTATTCCTTCTGGACCTCCAGACCTCCTGTCCCTCGTACCTCTGGGCATCCTGTCCTTCAGATGTTCCGCCCTCTGTACCTTCAGATGTTTCCGCCCTCTGTACCTTCAGACGTTCCGTCCTCCTAACCCTCGGACATCCTATCCTCCTGTCCTTCGGACATCCTGCCCTCTGTACCTTCAGACATCCTATCCTCCTGTCCTTTGGACATCCTGCCCTCTGTACCTTCAGACATCCTGTCCTTCTGTCCTCTGTCATCCTGCCCTCCTGTCCTCCTGTCCTCCTGTCCTCTGGACCTTTGGACCTCCTATCCTTCCATCCTGTTTCCTGTAGAAGTATTACCTTGCAGTGGGAACTCTCCTGAACACTTCCTGCATTCCTCTGGAACTCTCCTGTGCTCCTCCAGATGTTTCCCGTGCTCCTCTGGACTTCATCGGACCATCATCAGACTTCCTCTGAAATGAAGGGCACATACTCGGGTAAGGGGCACAGCATACGAGCTGAGGCCAAGCCCCTCTGAGTCAGTCTCTCTCTCTTTTGAGCAACATGGTTCTTAACAATTCTAGATGATATTGACCAAAGGTGCGTTTTCTCTATTGTAATTTCACTTTGACTTAATTTTTTGTAGGATTGTGGCAGTTCCTCCATTCCCTGGATTGTGCAGATTTCCCCAAGGATGTCACTTCAAACAGTGGACAGGTGGCAACTCAAAAGCACTTATGAAGGTAATCTACATTTTGTTCTATGTAAAACATTGTAGCACTGATTGTCCCAAGGTTTACTTACCTGTGATTGAAGGCTATGTCCCAGTTGATGTTGTGCGTGCCTTCCAGGCATTACTTGAATTCTGTTACCTCATCCATCATAATGTCATCACCAAAAAATCCCTCTCTGAAATTGAAGATGTGCTTACTCATTTTCACACATATCACAAGGTTTTCAAGACCACCGGAGTAGTCACTACCTTCTCGCTTCCTAGGCAACATTCCATGTCTCATTATGTCTACCTTATTTGACTGTTTGGTGCCCCAAATGGGCTGTGCTCCTTGATCATGGAGTCCAAGCACATCAAAGCCATAAAAGAGCCTTGGAGGTGTTCCAGCCCATACAAGGCGCTGGGACAGATGCTGCTAACTAATCAGTGTTTAGATAAATTGGCAGCATCACACATGGATTTCCATATTTGTGGAATGCTCACAGGTACATGTTTAGTATTTAATTATGACTTTCATCACTACTAGAATCATTGGCAGATAGAGGATGTTAAGAACCATGTTGCTCAAAGGAGAGAGAGACTGACTCAGAGGGGCTTGACCTCAGCTTGTATGCTGTGCCCCTTACCTGAGTATGTGCCCTTCATTTCAGAGGAAGTCCAATGATGATCCAACAAAGTCCAGAGGACTTCCAGAGGCTGGCTACTCTGGTGGAGTGCTAGAGGACTTCTGGAGGAGTGCAGGAAACATCTGGAGGAGCATGGAAGAGTTCTGGAGGAATGCAGGAAGTGCTCAGGAGAGTTCCCACTGCAAGGTAATACTTCTACAGGAAACAGGATGGAAGGATAGGAGGTCCAAAGGTCCAGAGGACAGGAGGACAGGATGTCCAAAGGTATGGAGGGCAGAATGTCTGAAGGACAGGAGGATAGGATGTCCGAGGGTTAGGAAGATGGAATGTCCGAAGGTATGGAGGGTGGAAGGGAAGGTACAGAGGGCAGAAGGTATGGAGGGCAGAATGTCTGAGGGTTAGGAGGATGGAACATCTGAAGGACAGGACATCCAGAGGTCTGGAAGGAATAGGGGCTACATTGGATGAAGTCCGATGTAGAAGCAAACAGAGGTAGACTACCCTTAGGTAGAGTTGGAGAGACAGGAAGTGGACCAAAGTCTGAAAAGAGGGTAAGTGCTGGAAAGGCAAGACTCCAGCCTAGGGAAGCAATCCCTAGACTTGGGACAGAGACATAGGGGACAAATCCGAAGGTCCAGAATTCTGGCCTAGGGAATCCATCCCTAGGCCTTATGGAAAAGGACAAACTCAGATGGACTGAAGTCCAGAAGAAGATTGGGCAGATAGAACAGGATCTAAGATGATATTCAAACTAAGGAAACTACAGGAGTATCTACAGGGGTTATATACTGGACAATATCTGAGGGGATCAGTAAGCAAAGGAGCAAGGCTATGTACAAGCATGTGGAAACACATTAGTAAGTAAGACAGAACATAAGTAAATGAACTCAGAGATGAAGACTCATACAAGGATCAATAAGCAAGATGGAACAAGAGGTAACTGAAAGCCAGAAAGGCAGAGATGCCTAAATGGGGATAGGTGCAGGATATCAGACAGAGGGTGGGAATAGGTCCGGAGATCTGGGGATCCAGAAGACAAGGTGGATACAGGACCAGGGTATGAGAAGGTGGATATAGTCCAGAATCCAAGATGAGGTGAAGTCTGGATGTCTTGCTGGATGGAGTGTGCATAAGGTGGATGGGACAGGGGGGTATGGATCAGGCTAGCAGTGGAGATCCAATGGTCCAGAGCTCAGGGGTAAATCTGGAGCATAGTCAATCCTGCTGAGGTGTGGAGCACACAGTGGAAGGGGATCTGGGAATGAGTTGGATATGAAGTGGGGTCCGGATGTAGGCTCAGAAGGCGTGGGAATATGATGGAATGTGGGTCCAGATTGTGGGATATGACAGAGAACCTGCTATTCACTCTGTGCAAACTGATGCAGAAGAGCCCCATATTGGCTCAGACTCACAAGAACCTAGCATGCCAAAAAGTGCCAGTGCACCTGATGCTGATGTTATTGCTGACTCTGAGGACAATGGCACACCAACATCTGTCCTTGCACATGTTGAACTCACATGAACATCTCATATGCCATTTGTTCATCTGCTCAATCTTAATATGCTTACTATTGATTCAAATAGAGGGGACAAAGCGGGCACAAAGTGTCCATGCACTTGCTAACAAGCTTGATATCCCCCATTTGGCTGATCTTGTCTTGCAATTCCTTGCCAGACAATTATATCTGGACATGGACCCTACCAAAGTGCCTGACAGTCTCATGGACTGCGCTCATTTCAACGGGAAGATACAGGTCTTTAATTCTGCAGTATCAGTGTTCTTCGCACTGAGCGATTTGAGTGGGATTGGTGGGATGAAACACAAATACATTCGTGTGTCTCCCAAGTGGAGAAGTGGGCATGCACACAAAGATTGCATGTTTGTCATTACTGACCCAAATGCTCATGGAATGCAGGGTATGGACATTGCTCAGGTACTCACTTTTTTTTCTTTTCAACTTAGGGGTGTATACTATCCATGTGTGGTTGTCCACTGGTTCAACTGAGTCAGAAATACACCAGATGATGACACTGGAATGTGGATGGTGGAACCTTCTTCTGTTGATCAGCACACACATTTTGTGGTTATCCATGTAGATACTATTTTTGTTCTGCTCACCTTATTCCTGTCTATGGTACTGATATGCTCCCCTTGGTGATTAAATCCCACCATGTTCTCGACATATTCACCCTTTTCTACATCAACAAGTATGCTGACCATCATGCCTTCAAAATAGCATGTTAGCATAACTCACTTTTTTCTCTTACCTTGTTTACTTCTTCCTTGTAACTCACTTTTTGACTTGGTCACTTTTTTACAGCTTTTCCACTTATTATATGCTTGTTACTTAATTTCAAAGCATGAGCTTTTCATGTCCAAACAGATAGTGGGAAAAAGTGACGATCTGTAATGATCCACATAAATAAGTGCAAAAAAGCTAGAGAACTAAACTCATGATTTACTGATGTAGAGAGGGTGACTGGTGTTGACTAGTGGCAGTCAGGTAAGCTGAAAAATAATGTGTGCTGGAACTGGACAGTATATGATTACTATCTAAGTATGGATTAAATGTGTTAGTATGGTAGGGGGAAGAGTAAGTGAGAGGTATGCTTGGGAGAATACTGCAAGAGGATGAAGCAAACAGCACTTCACAGGATGGTCCTGCATGTGATGAAGTAGTAATGGAAGGAGTGATATCGAGATGAGGGCATGTGGTAGGGGGGACATTCTGATCAGTTTCATTAGAAGGGCCTTCATGGAAGGTCCATTTTTGTCCAGTGCAAGAGCAGCTGGCAAAAAGGCCTACAAAGCATTTATTAGTCTTGAGTTCTGGATGTGACTTGAAGTATTCTTTGATGGCTTTCAAGAGCTCTGGTTTGGTCCCTGCAGTAGAAATTTGGAGGGTGCCTGCAATATCAATAAGATCATCCTTGTTCTTGGTGGAAAAGGAGCCTGTAAAACATGCCACTGCACCAGCACCCTGCACTGCTGCCTGTTGTGCTACCTGTGCTGCCTTTCTGGCCACAGCATGTTCCTTCACTTCCTCCTTCTTCTTCCGAGCAGCTCCTTTCACCATCTCTTACTCCTCACATTTTTTGAGTCCTTGAGCTGACATTAACCAGTGTACATTGATATTGAGGGCATGAGTCTTTTTCTTTCCAGTATGTGAATTTAATTTCTTCCTCATACTGTAGCATTAACCTTGCTTAATGCCATTGTGCAGCACAGACCTTTGATTCTGTGGCATGGACCTGTGATTCCAGTTCCCTCACTTGGTCCTGAAGGACAGAGATGTCAGAGTCTTGAGACATGTTGCACTGATGGCAGCTGTGTAGTGGCAGTTGTGGGCAAGAGTTTGGAGTGTTGAAGGAAGGGAAGGACATAGTATGGTGTGTGGGCAGTGCAAAGGAGGTTCCAGTTGAGTTGATTGGACTGTCCTCATCTTTGTTCTCATCATCAGTACTGTTGGCATCATCCACATCATCCTCAGAGCTTGAGTCTATGCTTGAGCTACTGTCTGATTCAGTTTCTGGGTCATTCTGCAGAGTGTCGGCATCTATGTTTGGAGGATGCACTGGAAGCTGACTTGGCTGTATGGGGTAGGAGGCAGGGACACTAGCTTCAGTGGATGTGCCCATGCTTGGGGCAAAATCATGGTCGGTGAAAATACTGGGATTAAACGGCTGAATACCACTGTTCTTCCACACCTTTAAAATGATCTCAGTTGTGAACACCTTCTCACATGCTGCCATATATTCATTGACAAAGTCAGCATGTGCCATCTCTTCACTGGTTTCATCCAACACTTCCTCACAATGTTTGTACCATGCATGCTGGAGGGGACCAAAAACACCGACATCCAGGGGCTGCAGCTCATGAGTGGTGTGTGGGGGAAGACAGAACTGCTCAATATTATGCTCAACCACCAGGCGCTGCATCTCTGGTGTGACATGTGATCCATGGCCATCATAGATAAGGAGTATTGGTTTACCTGAAGTATCCCAGTGTGATGATCATACCAGCACTAGGTGTGTATGATAACTAGCACAGTTCTTGTGGAGAGTCTAGTTAAGACTCAGTAGAAGTTAATAGAACAATGCTATATTAATAAGTACCTAGTAAAGACTAGGTTACATGTGAGCAGGTGTGTCAACTACACAGTACAAGATGAGCTCACCTCAGTGAAAGTTAATAGAACAATGCTGAGGTGAGAAAAGGCACAAAGTGAGTACATATGGGTCTATGGAGGATCTGTGGCTGAGTGGTGAAGGTGCTGTACAGTACATAGTAAGAGGCAAGAACAATGACATGTTGGGAATGCATGATTATGTCAACACACCCCCTCAGTGAGACACCAGCTGGAGACCAGGCAAGTGTTTCTCGAAGAGAGGACACAGGAGCACCTTGGTAAAAATGTCTGCAGTATTCATGTGTGAAGGCAGCCACTTAAGTAGGAATGTCCCCTTTTCGATATGCTCCCAGATGAATAGATAATGAATGTCAATATGCTTTGACTGAATGTGGTTCCATGCCTCTGTTGATAGTGAGATTGCCCCAGTATTGTCCATGTAGATGTCATATGCCATTCTGGACTCTCAACTCTAAATTCACTTCTCTGGATATCTGGATCCAAGATCCAGTGTGGGAAACACAACAAGAAGAGAACTGAAAAGTAGACTTCTAATGTTGGGCTAAATGTGCTATGCCTAGCTGCTATTCAACCCTAAAGGGTTTCTGGACTAAGCTCAGTGCTCAGAGAGGATAGGAAATCATGCTAATAACTCTCAGTCTCAGACTGGTACTGGTAGATGGTGAAAACTATGATGATTACATAAGCACCAAAAGTGCGAACATAACACTAAGCAATATCTGCCTATACAAGCCCACAGAATATGAAATCCCTACACCAGATCTCAAATGATCTGATCTATCTTTATCTTCCTTCTGGAATCCAAACCCTATATCAGCACCCAACCCCATTTAGACTTCCCCTGTCTCCAGACTCTGGTTAACCATGTTTCCCTTCTGATTATTGATCCATTACATACATTTCATTTCTGGTGTTCATTATTTGTGATCCATCCTACTTACTGATAGACTTTGCATATGCTTCGTACATAGCCTTTATGTTTGCTGATTGATTCCTATATGATACCTACAGTATATAAACCTCCTGTAACTCTTGGAAATACTCCAGTTCAAATATCATCTTAGTTCCTGCTCATTCCGGTGTCCTCTGGACTTGAGACAAGTCTCTTGTCATATTCTGAAGTCTTAGGATTGCATCCTAGACTACATTTCCAACTCTACCTTAAGGTAGTCTATCCTCTGTTAGTTTCTAGTCCGGACTTTGTCCGGATTAGTCTTATCTGCTTGCCCAAGTAACATCTGGACATTCATCAGATTTATCTCACATTTCAGATCTGGACATCCATTGTCTGCCCTAGTCAAATCCTGGAAACTCCAGACAACTGTTCTAGCCCCCGGAAATTAAGGGCACATACTCAGGAAAGGGGCACAGCATACGAGCTGAGGCCAAGCCCTTGTGATCCAACCCCCTTGAGCACATGACCTTAACAGTAGATCAGGACAGGAAGAGTGAAAGGGACGTGGAGCTGGACAAGGAGGGATTTCAACCAGAGGCCCTCTTGGATGGTGTGAGTGACTGCCATGTACTCAGCATCCATAGAGGACAGCATGTGAGTGGTCTGCTTTTTGGAGATGTGCATGATGATCCCACCAGCAAAGAACCAGACATAGCTGGAGATGGAGAGATGGTCCTCAGGTGAGCTTGCCCAGTTGGTGTCGCAGTGGGCATGTAGTCCCTCATTCACCCAAGCACCCCCATAGTGGAGACAGAGGTTCTGAGTCCCAGAAAGGTAACAAAGAAGTCATTTGGCAGCAGCAAAATGTGCAGGGGATGGGTTTGAATTGTGTTGAGCGAGGGAGTTGACTGCATATGAGATGTCAGGATGAGTGCACACTGCAAGGTACAATAGCTCTCCAATGAGCTTGCGGAATCTGCTGAGGAGGTTTTCAATATTAACATGCAAGTTAGCCCACTGTGGCCCCAAGACTGACCACATTCCAATACCAACCATCCTAGATCTCAAAACACCCTGGACTGAACTGACTCCTCATTGGAACTGGCGAGAGGTCGACTGGGAGACCTTCAACAAGCGCCTCAATGACATCATCTCTACCCACCCAGCTCAGCCCCTAGCATCCGATGAAGAATTCCAAGATGCGGCTTGCCACCTCACTCAGTCCATTACGACAACCATTGACGAATGTGTCCCATACTCAAAGCCTTGTCCTCACTCCAAAAGGTGGTGGAACTGATGCCTCACAGGACTAAGGAACAGGGTCATGCAACTCAGTAGGATATCGTATCAAATGCAAGGTCTCCCTCTTCACACCTCCCATGCAGAACTCAAGACCATCAAGAATTTCTATGCGACTGAGATCAAAGCTACCAAGAAGCAGCACTGGATTGAATGGCTTGAGGACATCGAAGGCAATGACTTGTGGACAGCCAACCGGTATATCTCTTTGGATCCAAGCAATGGAGGGAAGGCTCATGTTCCCACCCTCACAACGACCACTCCTGATGGCACCATGATGTGGTCCTGCGGATTCAGGCCATCATTTTCATCATCATCATCATCATCATCCAGATCATTGTCCGGATTTCCACCATTCCCATCCGGCGGATTTCCGCCAGGGGTATCATCATCATTATCATCATTGTCATCGTCGTCCGGATCTCCTTTGCCCAGAGGGGCTAAGGCTGGGGTCCGTGTAGGGGTTTCTGGATGTTGATGACTCAGGAGTTCTGAGATGCTTCCAGCAGTAGCATGCTGGCTAACACGACGCTGAGAGAAGCTATTGAAGGTTTCGATGATAGGGGGACTACCTTAAGGTAGAGTCAGAAATGTAGCCTAGGATACAATCCTAAGACTTGGAATATGACAAGAGACTTATCTTGAGTCTGGAGGACACAGGAATGAGCAGGAACTAAGATGATATTTGAACTGGAGTATTTCCAAGAGTTACAGGAGGTTTATATACTGTAGGTATCATATAGGAATCAATCAGCAAACATAAAGGCTATGTACGAAGCATATGCAAAGTCTATCAGTAAGTAGGATGGATCACAAATAATGAACACCAGAAATGAAATGTATGTAATGGATCAATAATCAGAAGAGAAACATAGTTAACCAGAGTCCAGAAACAGGGGAAGTCTAAATGGGGTTGGGTGCTGATATAGGGTTTGGATTCCAGAAGGAAGATAAAGATGGATCAGATCATTTGAGATCTGGATCTTGGATCCAGATATCCGGAGAAGCAGATTTAGAGTTGAGAGTCTGGAATGGCATATGACAGGTTGCCCAGGTAGATCCACTACTGACTCACTCCATCTGCTGGAGGAGACAGTCAAAAATGCATGGAGGTCCCAAAAGGTGGTGTCAGCATTGTTTTTGGACATTGAGGGCACCTTTCCCAATGCAGTCACGAAATACCTCCTCCACAACATGCACATGCACCGCATCCCAGGTGATCTTATCCACTTTACTGACCTAGTTCTCTCCAACAGGCATACCCAACTCAAATTCAATGGATTCACTTCGGAATGGTTCCTGGTCACTAATGGTATCAGGCAAGGTGACCCATTATCTATGATATTATACATTATTTATAGCTCAGGGCTTGTTGATGTCACCAAGCCCCAAAGGGGCTGTGAATCACTAACAGAACTAACCCTTGCCTTTGTAGATGATATGGCATTTATCATGATAGCCAAGGACTTTGCCCCTACTCACCACATCCTGGCCAATATGCTTGAACAACCAGGAGGAGGTTACGCATGGTCAAAAGACCACAACTCCTGCTTTGAAACCAACAAATTTGCCCTGATGGACTTCTCAATGAATCACCTCAAAGACTGACCAGCCATGCACATCCAGGGCTCCATCATATGTCCCACCTCCACCCACCGGTTCCTAGGGGTAGTACTTGATCAAGAACTCCAGTGGAAGGCTCAGATTGACTCCACCATTGCACGTGGGACCA